AATTCTAAGTGTGTCCACTAATTAGCATCATACATGTCTACAATCTTGTAATCAGGTAGTCACTACTGTTATGTTTGGTGACATGGTGTGTACCACATTCAACATGAACCAGAGGAAGCAAAGAAAAGAGTCATCTCAGATTAGAAAGAAAAAGTTAAAGGCTATAAGACCATCTCCAAGCAGCTAGATGTTCCTGTGGCCACAGCTGCACATATTATTCAGAAATTTAGATCAATGGGACTGTAGCTAACCTCCCTGGATGTGGCAGCAGGAGGAAAATTGATGACAAATCAAAGAGACGGATAACCCAAACACAAACAACTTCTAATGAGACCCATGATGCTCAAGGAACATCAGTGTCAGATCACACCATCTGTCATTGTTTGAGCCAAAGTGGACTTCATGGGAGACGACCAAGGAGGACACTTTTGCTAAAAACACATAAAAAAAAAAGCCTGACTGAAATATGCCGAACTACATGGTGACAAGCCACAAAGCTTCTGGGAGAATGTCCTATGGACAGATGAGACAAAAATGGAACTTTTTGCCAAGACACATCAGCTCTATGTTCACAGACAGAAAAATGAAGCATACCAAGAAGAGAACACTGTCCCCTACTGTGAAACACAGAGGAGGCTCTGTTATATTCTGGGGCTGCTTTGCTGCATCTGGCACATGGTGTGTTGAATCTGTGCAGGGTACAATGAAATCTCAAGACTATCAGTGATTCTAGAGAAGAATGTGCTGGCCAGTGTCAGAACGCTTGGTCTCGGTTGCAGGTCATGGGTCTAACAACAGGACAGTGACACAAAACACAGCTAAATACACCCAAGAACGATTGGACTATTCTAAGGTGGTACTTCTGCAGAAGTAGCTCAGGAAGTAGAATGGGTTGTCCAGCAATCTGAAGGTTGCAGGTTCAGTCCCCAGGGAAAATGTTGATGTTGTGTCCTTGGGCAAGAACCTGCCTTGCCTGCTGCTTGTGGTCGGAGAAACCGAAGGCCCCAGTGTTCGACAGTCTTGCTTCCGTCAGTGCACCCCAGGTCAACTGTGGCTACATTGTAGCTCATCATCCCCAGCCTGTGAATGTGTGTCTACATGAGTGAATGACTGTGTTGTGAAGTGCCTTGGGGGGTTGTAGATCCCTATGCAGGTACAAATGAAATATAAGCTATTTACCATGGCCTTCTATTAGGCCTGACCTCAGTCCTATTGAGAAACCTGCAGCCTGTTGAACCCACTGAAAAAACGAGCTGTACGGCCGTTTTGATTGTCTGTTTACTCCATTTAATGCCTCTTGTGTTTTTCATGCCTTTTTGACTTTCTGTTTCCTCCCTCAGGTTTTCCAGCTGGGTTTCCTGGTTGCATAGCTTGTTATTTTCTCCTCCTGGCCCTGACGCTGGCTCCTCATGGCTTCCTGGAATGTCCATCTCTCCTACCATCTCATGCCCCCCTCACTTTCCCTCATCATTTGCCTCACTGCCGCTGCTGCTTTCCTCATTCTCTGAAATCATAATGGCACTGTTAGAATAAAGAATTATTTTTAAATAAAACAAATACAAATGTCTAATATTTCAAAAGAATCGTACCACAGTTTACTTGAGTACAACAGGTGTGGTCACTGGTCAGTGGATCAACATGCAGCGGTTCTGCTGTACTTCTCACTGCGGGATCCTTCCTCCTCCTTGGTTCAGGGCGAGGAACAAGCAGGGTTGGAACAGCATCAGCCCTGAGTCACACCTTGCCTTGCCTAGTCTTAGTAAACTGTCCCTCCTCAAAATGTGCCTGTAGAGTAGTACAGGTGCTGGCCAGTAAATTAGAATATCATCAAAAGGTTGAAAATATTTCAGTAATTCCATTCAAAACGTGAAACTTGTACATTATATTCATGCAATGCACACAGACCAATGTATTTCCGATGTTTATTACGTTTAATTTTGATATTTATAGGTGACAACCAATGAAAACATCAAATCTGGTATCTCAGAAAATTAGAATATTCTAAAGGCCAATGAAAAAATGTTTGTTTCTCTAATGTTGGCCAACTGAAAAGAATGAACATGAAAAGAATGTGCATGTATAGCACTCAATACTTAGTCGGGGCTCCTTTTGCCTCAATAACTGCAGTAATGCGGCGTGGCATGGACTCGATCAGTCTGTGGCACTGCTCAGGTGTTATGAGAGCCCAGGTTGCTCTGATAGTCGTCTTCAGCTCCTCTGCATTGTTGGGTCTAGCGTATTGCATCCTCCGCTTCACAATACCCCATAGATTTTCTATGGGGTTAAGGTCAGGCGAGTTTGCTGGCCAATCAAGGACAGGGATACCATGGTCCTTGAACCAGGTGCTGGTGGTTTTGGCACTGTGTGCAGGTGCCAAGTCCTGTTGAAAGGTGAAGTCTGCATCCCCATAAAGTTGGTCAGCAGCAGGAAGCATGAAGTGCTCTAAAACTTCCTGGTAGACGGCTGCATTGACCCTGGACCTCAGGAAACAGAGTGGGCCAACACCGGCAGATGACATGGCACCCCACACCATCACTGACGGTGGAAACTTTACACTGGACCTCATGCAACGTGGATTCTGTGCTTCTCCGCTCTTCCTCCAGACTCTGGGTCCTTGATTTCCAAAGGAAATGCAGAACTTGCTTTCATCAGAAAACATAACTTTGGACCACTCAGCATCAGTCCAGTCCTTTTTGTCCTTGGCCCAGGCGAGACGCTTCTTGCGCTGTTTCTTGTTCAAGAGTGGCTTGACACACGGAATGCGACACCTGAATCCCATGTCTTTCATGAGTCTCCTCGTGGTGGTTCTTGAAGCGCTGACACCAGCTGCAGTCCACTCTTTGTGGATCTCCCCCACATTTTTGAATGGGTTTGTCGTCACAATTCTCTGCAGGGTGCGGTTATCCCTAGAGCTTGTACACTTTTTTCTACCACATTTTTTCCGTCCCTTCGCCTGTCTGTTAATGTGCTTGGACACAGAGCTCTGCGAACAGCCAGCTTCTTTAGCAATCACCTTTTGTGTCTTGCCCTCCTTGTGCAAGGTGTCAATGATTGTCTTTTGGACAGCTGTTAAGTCAGAAGTCTTCCCCATGATTGTGGTGCCTTCAAAACAAGACTGAGGGACCTTTTAAAGGCCTTTGCAGGTGTTTTGAGTAAATCAGCTGATTAGAGTGGCAGCAGGTGTCTTCTATATTCAGCCTTTTCAGAATATTCTAATTTTTTGAGATACCAAATTTGGAGTTTTCATTAGTTGTCACTTATGAATATCAAATTTAAATGTAATGAACATTGGAAATACATTGGTCTGTGTGCATTGCATGAATATAATGTACAAGTTTCACGTTTTGAATGGAATTACTGAAATATTTTCAACCTTTTGATGATATTCTAATTTACTGGCCAGCACCTGTATATTAGTTTATTTTCTGCCACATTTAACAGTTTTATTGCAGCCTTGTGTAGTTGAGAGCAAAACATGTAGAGCCTTGACAGAAAACATTTGAGAGTGCATGTTAAACTCACTGCACACAGCTTTTTGTTCTTGTGATCTCTGGTCATGGTGAAGTTGCTCCTGCTGACTTGAGCCAACCATTTTCTTCTTCTCTCTGCGTCTTTGGGGAAGCCATACACTCTGATTCCTCCCTCAGACCGATTGCTACATCCATATGCAGCGCAGCCAACAAGATAATCAACCTATAAAGGCATTATGAAAATACTATTTTTGTACATACAGAAATATCGAACTAAAAAAATATAGAGATGTAAAATTACATTTTAAAATTTTATCCAACCCTAAAATTTGTAATTTCAAATTTTAACCCACTGACAAATTTTATTTTAATAATGATCAAAATAAAGTTATTCAAGAGTTTCATTAGGTCTTAAGTGCATTGCTCAAAATTCAGCTTATTTGTGCATATGTAATGACTAAACATAATGTTGGTAAAATGCTTTATTAAAAATGCTATTATACATGTTGTACAATGGCATTCATTTTTTCACAATTAAAACACACCTTTTTATCTACTGTTATGGACCATAAAGTTTTATTGAAATTTTCATTTTAATTTGTTGCTATTAGTCAGGCTATAGAAGCCGGATAAACGGGGTTATAGACGCATGTACTGTCTTCACATAAAAATATAAAGTACTGATTGTAAAATGTATTCTACTGAACATAATAGATCATCACTGAAAGCATAAACAGCTACATATTTTCTTCAAGCTAAGCTGGAGCAGAATTCTAGTAATGCATTCTCCCAGAAGCTTCGTGGCTTGTCACCGTGTAGTTCGGCATATTTCAGTCAGGCTTTTTTATGTGTTTTTAGCAAAAGTGTCCTCCTTGGTCGTCTGCCATGAAGTCCACTTTGGCTCAAACGATGACAGATGGTGCGATCTGACACTGATGTTCCTTGAGCACCATGGGTCTTGTTAGAAGTTGTTTGTATGCAGGTACAAATGAAATATAAGCCATTTACCAAGGCCTTCTATTAGCCCTGACCTCAGTCCTATTGAGCATCTTGAGAAGCTGAAATATCGTCGTCTGGTAAATGCACCCTTCTAAACTGAGAAAACTGGAGCAGTTTGCTCATGAGGAATGGGCCAAAATACCTGCTGAGATGTGCCGAAGTCTCACGGACAGTCACAGGACTGCCTCAAAAGGTTGTGCAACAAAATGTTAATTTTGGGGTTACCATCGTTTTTGTCCAGCCCTGTTTCATGAGTTTATTTTTTTATTCCACTGAAGCATGGTTGAAAAGCAGTGGCTGAATTTCATTGGTTGAATTTCATAAAATGTATTTATTATTACTTTTGTCAGATTCAAGTTATTTCTGACCATTTTGGGTTTTTCTTTCATTGACCGAAGGTACAAACATTTTTGTCCAGGTCTATAGTACACTCCTGAGCGTGCAAATATAACATGTATTCACATATAAATGTATCTTCCTACTTTAAATATTCCAGTGTGCATTAGAACAGATCATTTGAAATAATAACACTTCTTCATCACAGCGGCTTTTATTAAGATAAGTGTGATAAACTCGATAAAGATATGTGGAAAAAAATATTTACAGAGAATTTTTTCTAAAAGCACTTAACAAAATAAAACAACTTTTGAAAAAGTGATGCGCCCAAACAAAAAAATTACTTTGGTGCAGCCCTCTCCATGATGGACACCATTCGACCTAGCAGCCCTATTACTGCGCTGCTGTTTTCTTCCATCTTCTTTAGACTAGAAACAAAAACTGATGTCAGCCGTTCTTCTCGCCGACGCTCCTCCTCTAGCCGTTTCTCTGACCTCTGCAGATATTTGATCAGCTCTGAGTTAGCGCCGCGCTTCCGTTTACCTATGTCAAAATGACAAAAACACATCAATCAACATAAAATAAATTCTGTAAAGGTAACTGTAATAATCAGCAGGTCATGGTGTGAAATATTTCGTACCCAGACCGCTAGAGAACTGAGCATCTGGTACTGAAGAGCTGCAGGCCACTGGTCTAACCGCTTCATCGTCCTCTTTCCACGTCGGGTCTGTGAATGGATAAAAAAAATGCATAATTTTAAATTGCACAACACAGTTGGTTCTCGTTTTATTGTCTCAAATCTAAAATTTGGTAAAAGGCAATTCTGACTAATTCTTCTGACTCCCTGAGCATTTTTTGTTTGCTCTAGTTAACCCTCCCACTGTTCTAACGGGTGTGACCCTGCAAGGAAAGTGGACCATTGAGCAGGGTTGATGGTTCATCCCTTGAGGTCCACGTGGCAGGGGTGAGGTGGTGCTCACTCCTCACCCCTGCCACGTGGACCCAAGGGATAAACCATCAACCCTGCTCAATGGTCCACTTTCCTCGCAGGGTCACACCCGTTAGAACAGTGGGAGGGTTAAACAACTACAACACCTAGACTCTACACTAACAGCAGGATTTTTAAACCACAGTTAGTGACTGGTGAAACTTTAATTTTCTTTGTGAAAAATTATTAAAATGCATCCTTTACACATAACTTTAATCTGATTGATTTTTCAAATAAAGTTCATACAGGAGAGTAAAAGAGTACAGATGTTTATATTCACCACTACTGTACAAGAGGAACTGTTTGCTACTAAAATCATTTTACTCATACTTCAAACAACCAGAAACCATTTGTAATTCTTAACTGTATCAGAATGGTCGTCTGGAGGAAATTATTGTTGCTAAAGTACGTAAGAATTTTGTTTACATGTTAGATTAAAGTGATACAGAATAGTAACTTAAATAAAGCCTAATATAATTAGCACAAATTAAAATGTAACAAGAATACTAGAGCACTATTAAGCATTCATAAACTAATTAATAAAGTATTAACAACTGCTTAAATTGATGTTAATATGGTCCTAAACTTGAGGACGCTTGATAGTTAATATCGGGAACGTTAATAATGGGATCCTTTGTTTATTAATGCTTAATAATATTGCACAGTATATCAAATTTTTGTTTACTTTTTCTTAATGTACTTATCAAATATGTTACTTTATAGGGTCAATTTCTTTGTTACTTTGATAGATTTTACACAAACGTTTCACGTGGCACATTTGTTTGCTTTTGTTAGCTCGCTAGAACGCTTTAGCATGTGTAGTTTGAAATATTTACATGAACAACATAAAACATGGAGACAGTAAATTCCTCTTCACACAACAATAATGGGATATATCAGCCTCACAAACCAGATTCTGAGGCGTTCCTTTCCTCCTCCTCTTCTGGCTCGTCCACCATGGCCAGGAGGATGTTCGCTGCTGTGTTGGAATTCAGGGCCTCAACACTTTGGTCCTCTGGTTCATCCCCCATGACAGAGTTTAATATCTCAAAGTAAGTGTTTTGTTGGGGACTCCAGTGCCCAATTCGGCCCAACTCCCGCTTATGGTCTCTGAACTCCTTTTGTAGGTTTTTTAACTTGTTTGTGAGCTGGTCAACACTTTTGTGATATCCTGCAACAGACATCTCCCTCTGTAGATACTCGAACATTAGCTTTGTTTGAGTTGCCCCCTCAAATTTCTTCTGAACGTCTGATGACGACCACAAAGCTAAAAAACACTGGGTCTCCTCGTCGGTCCAGTCCTCCCTTTTTATACCTGCCAAGAAACAAACAACAGAGCAATGAGTGGAAACTACAACAGAGAACTGTTAGCATTTGTCCTCCTGGGGGGATCGGCATCAGTTTTTCTTGGGGCGACTAAGTTCAAATATAAGTCACAAAATACGTACCGTCATCCATCAAGTTATCCAAAATAGCAGTGACTGTGTCCATGCCTTTCTCCCTCTCGTTGCTTGCAGGTCTGTGCCCGTAAATTGCATCCATTTGATCAAACCACTTCCACTTTCTGTGGGCTTCACCCTTATTGCGGAGGTCCTTAATAGAGCGGTAATCGCTCTTCATCTTTTTTAACTTTTCACGGCATTGTTTACCTGTGCGCTGGAATCCATGACATGCCATCAGCTCAGAAATCTCTCTAAAAATTCTTTCGTTACGAGTGGCTCCATCTAGCTGCCTTTGGATCCTCTCATTGGACATCAAGCACAAAAAAGTTTGTACCTCATCGTTGGACCACGGGACTTTCAGGTTAGCCATTGTCGGTTAAAATCATAGACTGTACATACGTTAAAATGTGTAGTCGCTTTTTAAAAATGGCGGGTCAGAGTTTGGTAATGATGCAAACAGCGACTCCACCCCTTAGCCAATCAGTAACCGAGAGTCTTCCGAACTTGCATTTTTGGCACAGCTCGGTACGTTTGGTATCAAATCTGTAACAAATCGGTCCAGAAACCAAAACTGGTTGCAAAAACGTGCGATAACGTGATACCTGTTAGCGATAAAGGCTCAAAACTGCGCCGAGCTGACTCGAGCCGAACTGAGTAGGTACTAGTGGAAAAGGCCGTAATGGCGGCGGTGTGTGTTCTTTTTCCTCTTCTTCCCGTCTCTTCTTCTCTTGGCATTATTAGTGGTTATCAAACAACTGAACGGGGCATTACTGCCACCTACTGGTTAGGAGCAAAGCCTTAAATAGAGAAGGTCTGATTGGGAGTATGAACGAGGATTCCAACATCTACGAGAGAAACTAAATAAGCCAGTACACCGGAGAAACTACAATAAAAGTCGTCAACCGTTTTATTCCCCTCAACATATCAGTGTCTCATTTGAGTGCGCCTTTTTTATATTTCTGATAATAAACCGTAACTTGTTCTGTCTTTTCCAGTTTTAATATTCTAAACTGTTCAATCTAGCGTCCAAATCTGAGTTGCCCGCGTTTCTGCCACCTTTCCTTGAACTTGTAGTCTCTAATCTGCTGAAATGAACCATCAATTTCCCATTTTAGAGCTACCTTAAACCAAACCTGTTTTACTACTAAATCCTGGTAGTAACAAAAAATACTACTAAATAAATTACTGAGTGAATTTATATTTGTCATTATCTGGTTTAGATCTTATCAGATATTTTTGCATCACTTCACCGTTTTACACTTGGGTCTTAGCTCGCCCCCTGCTGACACTCAGCAGTACTACACTATGAACACACGAGGAGAGGTACCAAAATAGGTTTTATTTTACAGGACATTGTCAAAACCTAGAAAATCTTTTTGCATATAAACCTTTTAAAACAAGAAGACGATGTTTACATTTCACAGAATGTAAAAAACATTGACAAACAAATATATAATTAACTGAATCCAAAAAAACCTTCTGTTGCATCTTTATTGGAAGCAGTCACCAAAAGCTTTGCAGAGTTCAGCCTTAAACCGACACGGAGAGGTCACGTAAACAGCACGATGTCTTCAAACACTAGTACCGCACATTGCCAGCTAGAATCCAAAAACGAGCCTTTAAGTTGACTTTCATTCGGATATTCTGGAACAACCCTTTATTATTTAAGGCGTGCATATTGAAAAGTGGAGCGCAAAGCTGAAAAAAAAAAAAAAAAAAAAAAAAACATTTTTATACAAATTACTAAAACCGAGCACCAACTTGTACCATTCTTTAAACCCAAGCAACCATCATCTCTAGAAGAACAGCAGTCCCAGTGAAGAGCTGGAAAACGGGCTTACATGAAACCAAAATTATGATTTCTAATTATTTAGAAATGCTTGTTGCCAATAGTAAACCCATTACACCACCACGATTACTGAAAATAGCAAATACCGGAACAGTCTCCAATTCTCAAGTAGCAGAGTGGAAAAGATCATTAATATTCCACCTGAAAAACCTTATGTCCTTATCAAAATCATGACCAGGATGGCTTATTTTAATCAGTCGAGAAAAAGCCAAGCATTGCTCATCTCTGCATTTGACACCTTAAGTGATTTTTGAGCAGCTGTCTTTAAAATAAAACATTTCCTGAGACTACATCTGAAACAGGCTGTGAATGAAGAGAAAAAGCACGGTTAATCATCTGAATAAAGCAAATCGACTTGCACATGCATAGCTCCGCCAATCAAACCAGCCGAAAATAAAGAAACATGCAGACCAAAGTGTGATTTTAGCTTTCAAGTGGAGAGCAAATATCACAAAAATGGAAGAAATTTGCTATTTTGAAGACAAGAGATCTGATGCTATTTCCTTTTTTGCCTCCCTCACTCCACAGTAATGCCACCGAAGGTCAGCAGATAAACAACTTAATACCGAAAACACCAAACAACAACCTAAAGAACATTCTTACGTCTTTCATTCACCGCCCCAATGTTTTTACATCTTACACGGAAACCCATTTAAAACTCGTGTTTAACTTTTTGTCCAAAAATGAAGATGAGCTTTGAAATCCTGCTGGAACATTTTTCAACCTGTCAAAATCCACCATGAGCAGCATTTTAGGTGTCATCAAACGGATCCAACAGACCTTCTAAAGGAAAAAGGTGGCACAGAGATGATTTATATCACTTTTACATCAATGTCGTCCGTCCAGGTTTTAATTAGTGTCTCCTGTTTGATTTTAGTGCAACAAAAGTTAATTCTCATAAATCATTCCCCTGAAATAAAAACAATCAAAGCAAGAGTTAAACACAGCACTAATAAAGCACATGAAAAGGGGGCGACGACTTTATGTCACCTTCCCAGGCAAAAAAAAAAAAGCAGCTTTGATTTTTAACTATGGCATCATTCTTACTACTTTCCACTCATCTTTCACACATTTTCTCTTCCTTTGAGCCATTTAGTGTAAGACTTTAATGCATCATTCTCTCCTACCCCCTCCACCATCTTCAGTGATGAGACCAGCTTTGATCCAGTCGTTCCGTTTTGTGTGGAGTTAGAGCTCAGCGCTCATTTTCTTTTGAACGAGTCTGATTCCGTGTTAGGCAAGTCAGGAGAAGGAAGAGGCTTAGAGGGAATGTTGTTTCCCTCCACGAACATGTTAGGAATGTCCTGGCCGAAGTAGATCTTGCTGTTCGCCGCTATGGCCTGGTACTTCATCAGCTCCAGGTACTCCGGCGTTAGCTTCAGCTGCAAAGATTCAGGAGAGGTTAATGCTTTAGCTAGCCTAACTGGTATGTGCACACATAGCCGGGTATCAGAATGAAGATATTTTTCTACGATTTGGCCCGTCATTGACACAAAAGTCCAAATAACCGAGGTTTTAGATTTCGCAACGTCACTTTCCACAAAAAAATGCTCTGACATCACATGTGACCTCTGTTTACACTCGCTTGCTTTTACAAGCTCAATGACTGCACTATGTGGAAGACCACAGGTGAAGGGCGATGGTTATTGCCATTTACTTAGTTATTCAATGCCCAAGGTATAATGATGGCTGTGCGATAAATCGAATATTTATCGTTACGGAAAATTCTAACTAACCGATATTTTCCCAATGTCAATAAATTTGGTCATAAAAAATGAAAAGATGTGTGCAGGTTGGCAACGTTTATGTCTCTTTAAGCTGCATCACCTCGAGTCACATGACTATGTGACCGACAGCTCCATTTAGTGGACCACTTTTGGTTTTGCGCTTAAATGTAGTTATCGTCCATTTATCGTTATCGTGGTAAACTCTTCAATATACCGCAGTATAAATTTTAAGCATTTTAAGCCATACCGCCTAGCCCGAGAAATGTTTTTTTTCGGGAATTTTGCAGACGATTTGGGGAACTCCTGCCACCTACAGGCTTTGCATGCCTATGAAGGTGCTTCAAACTGGATTTTGATGGAAACGAGGTGGTGAGGACCCAAGTTGGGTGGGCGGGGTGGGGTTATTCGTCCGTCCGTCCGTCCGTCCATCCATCCATCCATTTTCAACCGCTTATTCAGAGTCGGGTCGCAGGGGCAGCAGCCTAAGCCAAGACGCCCAGACTTGCATAGTCCTCCAGCGTGTCCTGGGTCTCCTCCCAGTTAGACATGCCTGGAAAACCTCACCAGGGAGGCATCCAGGAGGCATCCTGACCAGATGCCTGAGCCACCTCAACTGGCTCCTCTCGACGAGGAGCAGAGGGTACTCGGTTTTACAAAAAGCCGCCTACATGTGTACATGCCCAAAACGACTCCAAGAGGGTAGAAGATGATAGTTTCAGGATCTGAATCAACTGAGCGGAATATTTCTCATCAAAGTGTTTCTGGAATAAGTCACAGGTAGGAGGTGATGTGGCGGAAATAACCGTCATCTAAAGCTCACCAGCTGGCCTTGTTAATTAATTTGGTTTTGCATGAATTTTAAATATTATTCTCTTTATATCAAAAGGACTGAGCTGACTCATTCAGCAGATCTGTTGACTTGTAGGAAGCTAGAGCTCATTTTATATGTATTTATTTCTATTATGGTTAAAAAATAAAGAATAACATGCATTTCTGTAATATTTCAGCATGATTGGGTCAGACTGTGTTATTTCTGTGTTTTTTTACCTGGTTTGCCTCAGCGGACTTAGCAGCAGTGTAGTACTCTGCATCTGCCTTCGCCTTCTCTCTGGCCAGAAAAGCAGCATCTAAAACAAAGAAACAGTAAGGAGACGTGTGATGAATCACACAGAGAGACGGGTGGCATTCAAAAATCAAACCAGCAACACCAACCCTCGATTTCAGAGATCTTCTTCTCCGTCTCTTTCTCCATCACCTTCTGTTTGAAATGGATCTCTGCAACTTGAGCGACCTTCTGAGCCTCTGTGGGACAGAAAATGATTCTGATCACAGCAGAAGGCGGCTGAAGTTAAATTGGTTGTTTAAGGGCTTTACCAATGATGGCTTTCTTTCTTTCAGTCTCGGCCTCTTTTTCTACAACCTTCTGAGTCTGAGCTGTTATCAGGAGACGAGTCTTCTCCGCTTCCCTGAGCGTACACACCAGCACGGATAAAAGAACACATTTGACCGTACTTACAGGCTAAAACTGAATCAACACTGAGTAAAAGTTTATAAACTCACATGAGTTCAAAGTTCCTCCGGATAGACTCGGGGATCTTTGGCTTGGTGACACGGACGGCCTTCAGGAAACACGACAAAAGAAAAAGATTCCTTGACCAGTTGCTAACAAAACATTTCTTTTTGTAAATCAACTATCAGCATCTATTGAGGATCTAAGATTATCCTTTCTAACTTTAATCCCATGCTACCAACTTGATTATAGGAAAAACTAAAGTTTGAATCTTTATTCATTTGTGAAGCTCTCAACCTACATTCAGTTCTGACAGAAACTATGGACTACATGTGGCTCTCTGTGTAACTGACTTAGGAGAAACGAGCTGTTTCCAGAGGAAATGTGTAAAACTTCAGCTGTGATTAAATAAAAATCACACGCGTGACATTTTAATTGAAAAAAAAAAACTGGACTTCTTCGGTTATTTTGTAGACATTTCACCTCTCAACCAAGGGCTTCTTCAGCTGGTTTATTAGTCTCCCTTGGGAGAAACTTGACAGAGGGGTTTACACCGCACCACCATACTTTATTCATCCACACCATTACTAAAATAAAACAATACACAGATTAATACTACACTGAGGATTTACACATCAAGTTCTACCAGACATGTTCCTCTTATGCTTTTTGTTCGCAGATGGCTTTAACTGGTTATGGGTAAGCTATCCGGCTGCTTGGCACTAGCCAGAGCTGTAGAAAGAGATGGCTAGTGCTAAGAGAGCAGGGACTGGTAGAGAGGGGACTGAAATTATTCTGTGCAACCTGTAAAATTTGCTGTGTGTGTGTTTGGGTATTGTTTTTCAGACTCTTCACAATGCCTCAAAATGCTAACTAGCTAACCCACTATCAAAATAAAAGCAGCGTTGCCTTAAATAGCTGTTTTGATGAAGAATGAACTTTTTCTTCAATAGACAGCAGGAAAAGCTGGTATTTTACCAGTTTTGATCAAATGTTCAACAAATATTATACAAAAAATACGTATTAAGGAACAAACTAGACTTTTATTATTACGTCAGGTCACTTTTTTAACCATAGAAACAAGCGCAACTGAGCAAGTGGGCTGAGCCAAGAACATACTCGTCAAGTACACAAAGACGCAATAGCGTACTTGAGTAATGAGAAACGGCCCATTTTCCCTGTGGGCTAGAGCTTGTCTAGTAATACCGCCCATTAGTTCTCATAAGTTGTGCCTTATTCATGCCCATCGATGTTTCTTCTTCTGCGGGCAGCTGATTTGTTTTCTAACAAAGTTCACCACTGCTGATGGTTTCTGGCCAATAGACACCAGCGGTAGCTGCGCCTGCTAGCTTCAGAAAGTCACTGGTTGCATATTAATATCGATATAATGTTAGAGTCATCTTATTTGAAATCATGACGATGTTTTAAAAATATCGATATATTGCCCAGTCCTGATGTGGATACATGCTTTCAAAAAGTTAGACTTCAGTCAGACTGAGGCAAAAATATGGCTTTCAGGCACTGCATGTGAGTGTGTTCACATGCTACTCCCAAACCAAGTTTTAGTGCTAAAGAAATATCTTGAAAGAGGGGCGAACCAGAAAAGCCCGTCTGCTTTCAAATAAAACTTTAGAATAGTGTCCCAGATGACTGCAGTTGTGTGTTTAAATACCTGTATCGTTAATCCGGGAGCCATTGCGTTCAGATCTTTCTGCAAAGCAGTCTTTAGGTTCTCATCAATAATATCTGAAATGACACAAATTAGCTAAATCCTTCAATTTACTTGATGACAAGCATCTCATTTCAGGAGATGTAGGAATAAGTCTAAAATAAAACCAATTCCTCACCAAACAGCTCGATGTAGACCTCTTGCAGAGTGTGCACGCTGCAGAACTGGTTCAGTTCATGGTGGATTTTGTTGAAAATGAGTGTTTTGTCATAATCTGCAGTGTAGTTTCTCACAATGTCCACCACTGCAAGCAAAGCAGCAGTTGTAGTAACACTGCAAGGCTTGTTAGGTGGAGAAAATAATAAACAGAATATTTAAAATGGGTGCACCTGCTGAGGGGACCAGCATATTCACAACTTCTATCCTGTCGAAATAAATCATCACACCACCGCTGAGAAGAAAGACAAAGGAACAGATGTTTAACCGGTTTCAAACAGGGGAATGGTTCCCAACAGCCAGCTCGGTAAACCTGGTCGTACCTCGTTCCACAAGGCACATTCTTGATCTCATCAGTCTGGAGTGTCGTCTGAAACACGTCAAAAACGATCAAACAATCATAAATAAATAAAATGTTATTGCATTTTTAATGCATGCTAGCAGTTTATAGGGGTGCAAGGGATCATCTTTGATCCACACGGATCTCTCTCTACGGTTCAACACGCACGATCCGTGGATCGATCGTGTGAAGGGCCGAGGTCACAAGGAAAGCACAGCGGTCGGTGGTCATGGAGGATGATGCAAACAGCAAAAATAAACACACACTCCTGTCTGACGGCACAGCACCGCGCACACCTAACTCAGATCACTGTGAATGGAGGGAGGTGGTGCCTGGGACAAGTACTACATTAAAGTGGTGGGGGCAAATCTGTAAAAGAGGAGGAAAGAAAAATAAACAACTCTTCAGAAAAGCAAGGACATAAGTGAAAACAGGACACGCAGGAAGCGAGCTGGGCTTCGGCAAGCCATTTTATCATTTAATCAGCAATCAGACCTCTAATTCTTATTTTAATAGCACGTTACCAATTTAGCAGAAAAATGTTGCATGACACGTATAACCAAAAATGACAGGAGAATGCTGTTTGTCTTTTCTTTTTGACGATGGAAAAATGGTCCGACTGAAAACAGTGATCTGATCTGAACCGAGTTTTAGGGTTGGGCATCGAGCACTGAGCATCGATTGGAACTGGGACCAACTGTTAGTTTTTCCCACAATCTGTCAAAGTTTTTTATTTCGATTCCTAGTGTGCCGACAGAAGAGGAATCCGCGGCCGATCTCCGTGAAAAATAAACGTGATCTGCAAATTGTGATCAACGCTTTTCAGAGCTGATCACACCAGCTGTCTGTGTGCAGCACCGAGTCCCCCTCCCTTCCCCCGACGCGCAGCGGCCAAGTATAAACAAACGTGTCTGCTGAACTTTTACTCCGTAATGTAAACTTTAACTTCTGCAGTGTAGAGGAAACTTGTTAAAATACGTCAAACGGTGGATTTAATAGAAGCTTTAAAAAAAAACTGGACGGTGTGAGGTGAGTTTGTCTCACTGCAGAAATAAAAACACACACGGAGCGTCAGCAGTCAGACGCAGCTGCTCACCAACACTTGTGTGTGTGTCTGTGTGTGTGTGTGAGTGTCAGAAGGCTGAACAACAACCTGTAGAATAATTAAAGTCATCATGCTAGAGCAGCTTCTCTGTGGTGGACCACACCAGCTTCTGCCACAATAATAAATAATAATAATAATAATAATAATAATAATAATAATAATAAATCACACACAAAGTTGTGAACATTTTAATTTCCTTTCTGAACTATTTCAGCTGAGAGTTTTAATGTTTAAAATCTGTTAGATTGTTACTGACAGCAGCTACATTTAAGTTTCACTTCCTGTTCTGACTGAATGCTGCTGCAGCATGGAGGTGTAGTTCTCACCCCGGCTTTCCACCGGAGCCGTCAGCAGCACGTTACTGCAGCAGCACGTCATAGCTGCTGATAGGAACCGCTATGGTGAACAGAACCTTTTCCACCGTAGCCGTCAGCAGCGCGAGTCGGCCGCGTCTCAGGAGCAGCATGTCGCGGCCTTTACGCGCCGGTTCTATTTTCTACGCGCGACGCCTCTGAAACGGGTCAAGTTCGACATTTTTGGGGAAGGAAAGACAGGAAATCGGAATGGGAAACGGAGCGAAGCTCCCGAGATTTTCAGAATAAAGAACGTACTGCCTTCCGGTTGCTTTACTTTAAAAAAAAGGTTACTAACTGTGCGGCCCCCGTGAGAAGTTATCATCTAGCTAGCGGTCTCCTTTGTGTTTCAGGTCCGTATTGGCGTTTATAAAACGGACAGAACATAAAACACAAACCTTTTGGAGCCATGTTGTAGTTTTCTCCTGCTTGTTGTTGTGTTTACTGACGAAGTCACTCGTGTGACTTCGTGCTCTGTCGGTGACAGCTGCTCCCCTGCTGCTTCGCGTCTCGTGGGAAGGGCCAAGCAGCAGCTTACGCGAGCAAGACGTGCTGCTGCAGTAACGTGCTGCTGACGGCTCCGGTGGAAACCCGGGGTCAGTCATCCTGGACATGATCATCCTGAGAGTTTTAGCTGAAAACAGCCGGACGTTTCTGGATATGTTGGAGACATTTAGCCTCTCATCCCAGAGGCCAAATCTTACTCTTACTTTGGTTGTGGTCAGAAACAAACACACTGATTGTGCTGCAAGTCTTTTTCTTTTTTTCTCCAAAACATGTTTTAGTCTAAATGAAAGTGATGTTGTTGTTCATAGCGTTACAATTCACGTTGAAGTTAAGATTATTTCATCAAGTAGGACCTGTGGTTAGCTGGCTCATGTAAAGCATGTCATGTCTTGAAAGAATCGGAATCGGGAATCGAAACGAGGAATTGGAATCGGAATCGTTCAAAATCAAACGATGCCCAACTCTAGTGAGTTGTTTTTATACGTTGCACCACTAATGATAGTGGATCCATATATTTCTATAATAACACCCTCTTATGTTAAATCTCTGAAATGTATCTGCTAAATAAAGTTTTATCGAACAGTTATTTTTATTTAACTTTTGTTCTAATTTTCGTTCTATAACAGACAAAAATAGTGCCTCGTCTGAGTAAAACATAACTACTTCAGTTGTAGCTCCCCAGCCTGTTTGTGGAATGTTGCTAATCCGTGTGCGACAGAAATGAAAGGAAAATCTGAAGTCTGAATTTACCTGCACAGCTCTGTAGGTGGTAATGAAAGGCAGCATAATGTGATATCCTGGACCGTTTGGAGATGTCAGCAATGCGCCACCTCTGAAACAAATACAAAAAAGGCTTATCTAAGGTCTAAGGGTGCTATGGTGTTGCAATTTTATCCTAAATAAATGTATAAATGTATATATATATATATATATATATATATATATATATATATATATATATATATATATATATAACAGAAGGCATGAACTTAAAATGTAAAATAAATGTAGAATAGCGTATTCTACAGTAGACTGTGACTTAACATTGACATTATGTGATGTAGCCAAAGAACAAGCATGTATTTTACATTGGTGCCTATGGGTCTGAGGCGCTCTGCTTAAATATGTATTTCCATCACAAATACCTTCAAACAGAACGGAACTAAGCTCTGACGTTAGGGCAGGTGCTAATCGGACTCTTGATACCCAGACTGGATGTCGAAGGGGACATTTTTTACCCTTTTTATAAAGCCACATAAAATCTGTGACAACATGAAAAAACTCGAAAGGGTACCGGGCTAAAGACAGAAATAGCAAAGCAGTGGAAGTTTTTATTTTTTGGAGAGCAGATTGTCATGATGTGGAATAGATCAAAGGGTTCACGTATATATTAGTTCCACACATTTAGCCGGTGAGTATGGTCCTATGTCTGAACTGACACTAGCAACGCTCTCAGACCCCAGTGAGTCATGGAGGATGGCTGCTTATACTGAGCCCGGATCCTCTGGAGGTTTCTTCCTGTTAAAAGGGAGTTTTCCTCCCCACTGTCGCTAAATGCTTGCCTAGTATGAGGATTGCTGTAAAGTCACTGACACCTGTAAGTAACTTGATGCAATTTGCTGGGTTCCTTATATAGGAAACTTTTTTCTGATTGGCTTAATGAACTGACCTGTATTGGAATATTTTATTATGTGAAAAGCCTTGAAACGACTCTTGTCGTGATTTGGTGCTATATAAATAAACTTGAATTGAATTGATGTGGAGTTATCCAGGAGACGGTCTCATCCAAACAGCATCCAGATATGGACAAAAACTGCTTTTTTGCCAGAGGTGGATAGTAAGCAAAAAATAGTGACACAAATAACCTAACAGTAAAAATAAGACCTTAAAGAAAATGTTACTTGAGCACTGTGAGTCATGATTAACTATTTGAGCGTAAACGTTTGAATATGATGTCTGTCAGGCTGTTTTTATCGATGTCCATGTACTTGCAAATACATGGTTTGTCTAGCATTAACACCCAGCAGCACTCAACTGTAGAATACACTATTAGATGATCACAAACAATATCAAATCAATCAATCAACACAGCATAAACCATAAAAACAAACATCTGTACACATGATGAATTTTTGAACATATTTGAACAAAGTTGTTCAAATATGAAAAAAAGAAGAGACCATGAGAACATGTAATGTCTTATTTCGTGGAAGAATGATGTGAACGACGAGGGATTCTAGTGGGCCATTCCCATCTGTACCGGGTCGGCCCAGGCCGGGTAGCCCCAGCCGGCCCCAGCCTGGCCCGGTTGATTCCACATATCCTTGCCTTAAGCCCATGTGGGCTGATTCTACCCACCAAGCAGAGGCTTGCTCTAATGGAAGGTGTGAATTTGCTGTCAGCAGTGGGTGTGTTGGCCCTTGTCGGCCTGAAGCAGACCCCCTCGAGAAGAGGGCTGAGAATGAGCCTTGGTTGGCCCAGAAAACTACCAGGCCACCCAGATATGTAAACAACCTACGCTACCCGGCCCGGGCCGACCCGGTACGGATGGGAATGGCCCATAAATTTGCCTTTGAGATACCTGTAGTAAACAGCAAGGTGTCCTTCCTCGATCTTGTGAATAGAGGAGTGCAACATGATGGCCATCACTCCTGCTATTGTTGCAAACACTGCCCCCACGTGCGGCATCGTCATCCTCATTTGACCTCACCTGCAGGCAAAGAGTGAAGCAAACACTGAAATGTTGTCACAACATTCTCTACTGGGAGAGGCACGATGGCTCTGGTCAGATAAATATGCTGTTAACTGTGAGCAACAAAAACATAAAAACCAATGTTTATTTTTAAGTAATAACCTACTGCTGCTGCAGTCTGTTTCCATGCTGAACATAATGAAGTCTTAAAAAGTTTTATATATTTTAATAATAATAGTCAAACAAAAATCAATGCACTGAACGTTATCTGGTATAAAACAGCATTCCACTTTACTTTTTTCAAAGTAACACTCAAGTTTAAATGAAATATGCCACTAATCATGTTCACCACCACGTTTAGTCCACTGTATTATTTATTTCTGCTCTCCTCTCAATTTAATATATCCTGATTTGCTCAAACAGGTGCTTTCAAGTCGGAGAAGCACCTCACTCACTGAAACACGAGTAAACAGTAGTCTGGGCTAACGCTAACATGATTTGCTTCAAGATATTTAAAGGAAAATATTTTCAATAATTTTGTCAAGTAATATTGCATCATGTGCGCAGAATAGATTAATTTCAATCGGCAGAATCACCAATTAAATTCAAAAGCCGGACACTTATTCCTTTGGTATGCGAATTTGGCAGGCTTAGCTAACTAGCCAGCTAGCTGTGTGTATCGGGTGGACTCGGAAGTCAGTCAATCCGTTAGCATCTTGTAGCTTAAAGTTAACAGTAGCTTGCGTGGCTGCTAGAACAAAGCAAATAAATCTCGACATGTTTAGTGTTCTCAAATACACTCGTAGCCATTTGAGCGTTAAAATAAACTGCTGAATGTTGACATAAATTTACCACAGTATCGAGCCGTCTCCACTTCTGATCTTATCATTCAGTGACCCATGCCCCGCCCACGGCCCGACTCCTCCCCCTCCCTCAGGTTTCAAGACTGCCGTAAGTGGGAGCGTGTCAAACTTAGGGAAAGCCGTTGTAACATAAAATAACCTGACTAGTCCAAAAATATTTATCTTAGTCAAAATGAAAAAAAATTCTAATACAAAATATGTGAAAATGTCTACTACAAAATTCCCCGGTGTAAAAATAACAAAACTAAACAAAAAACACTGTTTTGACATTTATTAAGAAAGAAAGAAAACAATCTTTTATACAGCACCTCTCAAGACAGTAATCATGGGGCGTTCACAAAAACTAAAACTAAAAAAAATTATTTTTGAAAAAGATAAAAAAAAGACAAAACCATGTTTCACATGAAAATAAATATTGACTAAAAATGCCATGAAAGAGAGAGAGAATATGAATAGAATTGAGGGAAAGATCAATATTTTTTCTCTTCCTGGTCAAACTGGACATTTGAAATAATCAAAATGTCTTTGTTTTTTTATTATTCAATCAGCATTTCAGTTAATGCAAATTGCCCAACTGAGTTTGTTTTAATCTTCACCTGCAGCTGTCTCTTCACCAAAGTCTTTTATACATTTTCTCAGAATTTGTTTTTTACCCACTTAAAATTTTAAATATGAGCAGCCAATTTCATCTGTTTTGCTTTTGAATTAAATGAGATAAAAAATAAATATGTTCAACTGTGTTGCACTAAAATATATATTATGAGAGTCAAAGCACTGTAAATGTTCCACACAGTTGTACAAATTTATTCACATGCACAATTTATCATTAGCACAGTTCAACTTAAATCAATACTACAAAAAATAAATATTATTATTACTATTGCCAGATAAACCTTTGAACATTTTGCAAATGTGTTTAATTTAAACCATGCATAGCTGAGTTTGTGATGCTGTTTCATCCAGAACTGCCTTACAGCAATGCAACCTTATAAATGACACAATCTGGAAACAAACGCTTTCAGATTTTAAACAGGCACTTGTTAAAGTATCAGCTGTATAAAAACTCTCCGCTACTGGGAGTCTACTTTCACTGCTCCAAACTGAATCCAGCTCCAATCCTGATCCTGGAGAGACAGAAAACGTCTCTGTTACAGCAGTAGTAAACATACCATTCTGAAACCTAGATAAGCAATTAACTCTTTCAAATAAAAATTAACCATAATTCCTTATATTTCAGATTAAAAGTGCATTTATTAGTAATTCTTAGATCTGCATTTAAACTAGTAATTAGCACACCGATTTGTAACTGAATACAGTACCATAACACTGTGCTCCATCTCCTGGGTGGCATCCTGAAGCAGCGACGTAAGTTGAGCCATATAACGCTGATTGTCATCAAGCAACTGAGAAACAGTTTCACTAAAAACAGAAAGAAAAAAAAGAACAGAACTCTTTGATGGGACCATTTACTCCACACTACCATTTTACTGTACTACTTTTATACTTGAGACAGTGACGCAAGTCTTGAACAGATCTTACCTGTCAGTGGATTGTTGTGTAAATGACGGAGATAAAGAATCCCTTTGAGCCTAAGAACAAAGCAACACACTGTGTTAGCTCCCGGATAACCTGATTACAATTAATACTGCTTAGCTTATAGCTTTAAAGAGGGCATTTTAAAAAATGTGCTGTTGTATGAGCCCTGAGAGTGGGATCTCTATAGGGAGTGTACTTCTGGACCATGGGTCCTGTCCTTCTGCAATAAATAAATACATAAATGAGAGTCTATGAGCTGATAAAAGTTACTATGTGCCATGATGTCCATGAATTTTAAAGAAACAATTTGATGCCAAGAAAGCACTTATTTTGACAGGTGGAAGGTTGTTTCAGGTTTTGTGTGAAAAGACATAGCAGACAACTAATGCTTGTCTCACCAAATTGACGTCATAGAAACCAGACACAAAGAAGAGGAGAAGAAAATGGCGTTGAGTTTAGCAAGCTTAGAATATCTATCCAGGACGACAGAAACAGCATTAAATGTGGAGAACTATAAATCTGGCCATGTGGAAAGCATCAGCTATGATGGGGGAGAAGAGATCCTGTGGTGATCATAAATGCAACGTCTGATTTGTCGTCATTTTAAATACGAATTTCCAAAAGCTAAGAAATCTCTAATTATGTGAGAAATTTGAATCACACATCAAGAATTTTTATTTAAATTGAAGTACAACAAATGTGCAGTTCAGAGCGTGTGTAAAAGCGGGCCAGAAAATAACTTTTATAGCCCTGTTCACTTCCATTAATGTTTTCTTTGCTCTGGGGACCCATGAGCTGAACGGGGGTTCAGGATTTTTGACATCTCTTCTCTGATTGGCTATTAGCAACACAACTCTACCACTGACTCCATTTGTTCTGTAACATTGATGTTTTATCTCCACAAATAACACAAGCCTGAAGAAGTTCTGCCGTGTTGTAGAGTTGCTAATGCTAACAGTTAGCTTCTACAAGCAGAAATACGCTCTGCTCTCTCATGGCTGCAAAAATCAACATCAGCCTTCCAGGTTGTGAGCTAAGGTGTCCAAGAATGCAAATTTACAGTGTGACATAGGTCTGTGTGGCTTTTTCCAACCAGGGCATGCTCCACTTATTTTATTTTGGTGGCTAATGTGGGCGATCAGGGTTAAAGACCATTTTCATGTTCAGCACAAATGTGGACCGATGGAATTTAAAAAGGAACATAAATTTCTCTGAGGACCTCAACTTTAAAAACTCTATTATATACTGTATTTCTTTTGGGTAACACTTTAAAATAAGGGCCCCTTTATTAATGTTACTTGGTGCATTATTAAGAATTAATAAAGTATTTAATGAAGTATTAACAACTGCTTCACCATATTACGTAATGCATTACTAAGCAGACAGAAAGCTGTCAGTGTTGCCCTCTCTACAGGTAAAAACCAAAAACTCTGCACGACATTTGAATTGAAATCTGCAAATGCTATTGGCTAAGATGTACCCTTTGATGTTAGCTGGTTCCATATGATGTTACAATGTTGTGTGTGCGTGTGTGTGTGTGTGTGTGTGTGTGTGTGTGTGTGTGTGTGTGTGTGTGTGTGTGTGTGTGTGAATTTATTAACGGTTTGCCCTCTCGGTCTGCCAGGCAACACCTCCTTGTGGTGTATTTTTCAAACAGGAAATAGGAGCGGAGTTAAGACTGGTTTGTTCTTTAAGTTAAAATGTTGTATCTAGTGCCGTTAGGCATGGGCAGCACCAGAATGTGGCGTGGGGTTGCTAAAGCAACGGCAAGATTCGGCTAGGCAGCGTCTTAACAACCCCAACTCTTGAACGGTACGTGCCCCTCCCCTTCTCATCAGTTCGCACAACCCCTTTCACTCACTAAGCAACAGTAACTCAACTGCAGGGAGAAAATCCTGCCGTTAGTGTGCACTTACACAAGCAATCTTTAGAAGGAACCAGAACTCCTTCTGTCTCTTCAGCTGCATCTGCATCACTTCAGCATTTGAAGCTTTTATTTTCACGATCGCCCCTTCCACTTCGGGGAACAAGTCCACGATGCGCCGCTTACATATCAGGATTTTACTGCAGACATAAAAGAACACAGTCTTGTGGCGCAGAATTTCACATGCCCGAGCGTATCCGAGCTCAGGGTGGAGATAAGTTACCTCAGATGTGTGTAGAGGTCTTTTAGCACTCTGTCCTGGTTCTGAACCATCTGGACTATAGTCCCCACCATATCTGAGCTGTCGCTGTAGCCATGTGGAGGGTCAGGGCCTGCAGAAAATACACTTTCAGAATGATCCATGTAGAATATTCAGTCACTACAACAAGCAGCACAAGTGCTGGAAAATTTTGAAAAGACCAAAAAGCAAAGCTCCTGTAAAATAACGTTTTATACACACTTTTGCATTTTGCCTTCAGTTGCTTGTAGAGTTCAATAGCTTTGTTTTCACTGGGCGGGAAAAAGCAGAATTAATATGTGTTTCCTGTGGTTGTTTTTAACAAATAAGACATCTCTCTTAATCCAGCTCTTTTCAATAATACTTTCTTAAACGTATCTGAAATAAAAACTGGGTTTGGAATTCATCTGAAGGGCCATTTAGGAGATAATAAAGTAATTTTCAACTATTTAACAAAACCTGCAAAACGCAAACCAAGGCAATAAATGAAAGTAACAGACAGCTGTTCCATCACGTCCCCTTGTCTCCTGGCAAACGGGCTTCTCTGCAGCTCCACAATCTCAGAATGAAGCGCCACAATCTCATCATCGAGACGACTCACATCTGCAACCTAAAACAACAACAACCATGTAATACAACCATTTAAAAACAAACAAACATTAGTTTAAAGATATGTTTCCTACCTCCATAAACTCATCCACCTTCTTTTCGTTTTCTTGCCATGTCTTCAGCATCTTTTCAGAAGCTTCACATGAAACAGCAACAAGAGGTTTATTTAGAGTTTCAAATACCTTAAGAAATTCCTAGAGGTAGAGTAAAATGCACGCACAGATGCCAGTGTCAGTCTGCTTGGTGTACTGCTCCAGATCATGCTGGATGCTGGTTTTGAAGATGGCCAGTTTGGCTCGGAGCTGCTGCGACTGGGAGAGCAGCACGCTCTTATATCGGGTCAGGTTGCTGTTGTAACGTAGCAGGCTGAGTCTACGCAGACATAAGCACAGGTTACAGATGTTTCCACATGCTAGTGTACTTCTTTTCATGTGATTTTATTGCACTTACATGGCAGCCCTCTGGCCCTGGTACAGGCGCAGGTAGTCCTCCTTCAAACCACGTATGTAGCTGACTGCTTCCCCCCAGACCTTCCTGAGAGCAGACAGAGGCAGCTGTGTCTTTGTTTCCCTGACTGAGAAAAACAAAAGATCAATTATGTTATATTTATTTGGATACTACAACCAAGTAACTTACAATAAATTAATATAATTCATCAGTTAAGCCAAACTTCTTAAAATCGGACGACATCCTGTCATCCACATCTTTTAAGGCCAAAAAAAAAGTACAAGTCAGCTGGAGAGGAAAGTAGCTTCACACGGCCGGGTTTGGACTCTTATTTCCTGATATTTAGACATCTCGGATTGGATAGCAGCAACTTGACTCGGTATTTGCTTTGTAACGTTGATGTTTAATCTTCACAAATAACACAAGTCTGAAGGAGTTCTGCTGTGTGGAGGAGTTGCTAATGCTAACGGTTAGCTTCTACTAGTCGAGACCTTCTGTGCTGTTTCCTGGATGCTAAACAAACAGCCTTTCCCATAACGAGTCAAGATGGGTGAGTCCATGAATGTTAAGTGACAGTGTGACAGAGATCTGTCAGGTTTTTTAAATCCTAGAGTTTCACTGCCTTTTTTCTATCAGAAGCTAATGCAGCAGATAGGTGTAGGAGACTACTTTCATGTTCAGCCTGCATGAAAAACTCAGAGTGACTGATTATAATCAGAAATAATAATTAAAAATGTTTTTGGTGATTCACACCTTTAACATCTCAAGCTATTGCTTTCAAACTGGTTTCAGTGGTTACAGAAACTGCAATAAACCACGTTGGTGGTTCAGGTGGGAACACTAGTGGGAGGTATCTTCCTGCTTTACTGTGCCGGCAGCTCACATAAAGGCAAGCAATTAGCTTTTGCAGTTGGTCGTTGACCATAAAAAAACTAGCAAGAAGAATGAGAAGTTAGAGAGCCTGAAAGTCAAAGAAAAAAATTTCTTTGGAGGCCAAGCAAAGTGCTAAAACTAAAGTGACCATCGACACGGCCTACACTAGTTAGTTTCGGTTTAAAACCATCTAAAAAAAGTAGCAAAGCCCTATTTTTTTCTCTGTTTCCAAACTGCTAATAATCATGTATTTATAAAAACAAGCAAAATACAACATCGTTATCTGGAAAGGCTGCAGCAGGGATGTTTACAACTGTTGTAATTCTGCTTTCAACCAGTAGGGGAGAAGCGGGAATCGTATGAAGTGTTAATTTAATTAGAAACTCAGTTTAGCGTTAAAAGTCTCACCTATAAAGTTAACACTGTCTGGAAGACGCCTGGCAGTCAGTGGTCCAGAGTACTTGGTAAGGCTCTTATCAAACAGGAAGACTATGAAGCTGTCCCATCCACACTAACATAACAAGATACATAAACAGAATTATCACTGCAGTTACTTAAATGTGTTTATAACAAAGGTTCATGAAACAATTAAAACTAAAATTTCATTTATTATGCTGATAAGTATTTGAACAAGTGAATAATTATAATGCTTTTATATTAGTTACTTCTAATTTAAGAGCAAATACATCAAATCAGATGGTTTAGGTCATGTTTTTGTCTGTTTTGTTTTCTACATACTAAACCATCTGGCAGACACTGAGCTGGTGGCCAGCGTGGATCCAGTGACATTCCCGACTCCTGCAGAAGCTCCTGACTCGGTGGTGGGATGTGTGCCTGGGTTTGAGTCTCCAGACGAATCTGCAGGGAATGCAAACTCTCCTCTGTTCCCAAAATCATGGAGTGCAGCTGGGCAGAAGTCATGTCCAAGACATGCATAACCTAGAAAATCACATGCAAAATGAGAGGTTGGCCTTGCATGCGGGTCTCTTATCTTGGTGCTAAAACATTCCCAACAATTTGGTTTAAATGACACAAACAGGACTTGTATAACTGACCTTCATATTGAGAATACTGTGCATAGCGGTGAAGCAGTGTGGCTTGTTTGTTTCTGGATCAAGACCTCCACCACGTAAAGCAGGATCCCATAGCAGCAACATCTGAAGAAGACACTCAACAAGTTCCAGCAGAGGTCTATAAAACACACACACACACACACACACACACACACACACACACACACACACACACACACACACAAACACACACACACACACACACACACACACACACACACACACACACACACACACACACACACACACACACACACACACACACACATCAGCACAAACAGGTGGCACACTAGTGTGAAGCTTTTCTGGTGACTTGTTGGCTTTACTTGCTGAGATTGTTAGGATACGGCAGTTGCGTTGAGAATCGAACTTCACCATTCATGTCTTCTATTGCCATGATGTCTTTAGGACCCTTGTTTTTTACTTTACTTATCCTGCAAAGTAGTATTTCAGTCATGTGGAGAAAAAAAATTACTAATTTAAAGATTACAAATGCTTTTATGACCAAATGGATGTTCATCAGCTCTGCCAGCTGTGCAAAGAGTGTGCACAGCCTGCATCAAAGCTAAAGGTGGTTATGTTAAAGCTCTCATTCACTCGTTATTTCAATAAAGCCCCTTCCACATGAAAGCCAGCTCCACTCCACGCTGAGGCGGGCTGGGGCTGACTGCCCCAGCCCGCCTCAGCCTGGCCAGGTTAAATATACACACCCTTCCACACATCCTTAGGAATGCGGATATGACCGAGCATATAGGCAGTCTCCAAAATTGGAGCAAAGATATCAGTGATGTCATGAGCGCATCACTGAGCACATGGGCGGGGCAAAAGACACGCTGAGAAGTCCGCTGTGTCTCCCTTAAACAAAACAAAGACAGACATGAGCAGTGTTGCTTTTGGAGACTGACTTTGATATTGCATTCTGCTCTGCTGTATCTGTTCTGGCGCAGCTCAAGTCCAGCAGCGCTGTGTGTGTGTGTGTGTGTGTGTGTGTGTGTGTGTGTGTGTGTGTGTGTGTGTGTGTGTGTGTGTGTGTGTGTGTGTGTGTGTGTGTGCGTGCTCCTCAGAGAGAGACTTTAGACGGCTCCCTCTAATGGTAGGCATGAATTTGAGCTGGCCAATCAGTCAGCAGTGGGCGCCTTGGACGACTTCAGTCCGAAGCAGACCGCCTTGGGAAGAGGGCTGAAAAAATGACTGGTTGAGCAAGGAATAAATCCAGGCTATGCAGGTGTGAACACTTCCTAGCCCATCTAGGTGGAGAAGAGCCGTTGCTAGTGTGGAAGCCCTATACGTCTGCTGTGGTCTCTAGTATAAGTGAATGCCTTGGTAGCCGTTCTCAGTAGAGAAAAAGCTCTGGCGCTCCTGTTTCAGGAAGTAGAAGTTAGCCGGGGGAGTGGGGGGCAGAAAACGGCAGGATTTGAATTGTTACTCATTAATATTCATGATATTGAGACATCTTGCTTCTGATTGGCTAACAGCAATGCAACTCTTCCACTGCCTCAGGTTGCTCAGTGAACTTGGTCTTTAAAGAAGTTTAAGTACAGCTTATTTTTTTTAACATCTTTTTAAATCCAATACTTAATTTCATGTATTATGTGTCAGGTTTTTTGTCCTTGGCAGACATTCACACTGCAAATGAAAACGTAATCATTAGCTCACCATTGCACTGGCTGCATGTGGTGCAGAAATGGCCGAAAGCCACAAATGCATTCAAAAATCACCGTCCCAAAGCTCCAGTAGTCCATAGTTGCAGTGTAGGGTTTACTCTCAAACAGCTCCGGAGCCTGCCACACACACAAAAAAGGTTTTCAATAAGAAATCATGACACTTGATAAACTGTAAAATAAAAAATAGTAATCCACATTTACTTACCAAATACTGAAGAGTTCCAACAAAAGACGAACAAAGGCTGCCCTGATCCAGATCCTTTGCATATCCTAAGTCGATGATTTTATGAACAAGCTGGAGAGATGATATTTTTAACCAATGACCAGAAAAATTGAAAATAAAGACGTGCAGATTACATAAGTAACAAGTATTCCTGCATGGATTTGAATTCACCTTCCCATCAACCTCTTGCAGGACAATGTTCTCAGGCTTTAGGTCTCTGTGGATTATTTTATTTTCATGGAGATACTGGACACCAGAACCTTTTCAAAAAATAAAAATAAAATAAAACATCAATCGTGCCTAAAGTTTTGATTTTAAAAGCTTTAATCAGGCTAAAAGCTGGTGAGAAGATTACCAATGTCGCTGAGCAGGGCGAGGACTTCACTCTCCTTCAGTCCACAACAATTCTCAGGTTTATTCAGCATCTAAATAAATAATATGTGTTATAGTAACATAACAGGCAATTAAGGTTTTTAAAACATTACTCATTAGGTACCTTGCGTAAGTCTCCTCTTGTGCAGTACTCCATGGCCAGCAGTGGTAGGTCGTTTAAAGCAATGGAGGCTAAGTCTTCTGGAACTTCTCTGGCTTGAACAACGTTCACATTGTTCAGCCTGTAAGAACAAACAAAAACAGTGGAATAAGTGCATCACTGACCTGAGAAGTACTAAATATTTAGTGATTCAAAAGGGTAACTCTCACTTCTTCATGATATGAATTTCTCTGCTCCATCTATCTTTATTCTTTTGGCTCAGCTCCAGACGGCAAAGTTTCAGAGCAATCTTCTCACTCGTGTGCTGCTCCAGAGAAACAGATAAGAGGTCAAACAAGGCAGGATGCAGGCGGGTTTGGGGTTGATGCAGAACGTACAAGATGCTGGTAAAGGTAGACATTCCCGAAACCTCCCATTCCAAGTTTTTCCTTCATCTCCCAGCTGCCACACAGCTCGTTCTGTTTTGGTGCAGGCCTCTCCATCGTGTCTACGAAAAACAAATCTTTATTATGTCCAAAAAGATTGAGACTTTAAAATGTTTTTCCTTTAATGTTAGTTTGCTTTTGCCTGAAAGGATCTATAACCTGATCTGTCAGGTAGTTCTGATGTAAAATATTCAATAATCTGTTTTCTTTAGTTTAAATAGCAACGCTAATACAACTTCATTTGCCATTCATTGGTGTTGGAACACTTTAATCACACACACACACACACACACACACACACACACACACACACACACACACACACACACACACACACACACACACACACACACACACACACACACACACACACACTGGCCTTTTTCTGACTAATGCTAACTAAACTAGCTTCTTTAGTCACTTTCTGTAAGACTAACAATACCAAAGTCCCATTTAACTTAAAAGAAAAGAAGACATACAGAAAAACACGTCGACTCCCAGTCAAACTGCCTACAACATAACAAGTTTGGTCTCCAGGGACCATGAACTCACCTGTCCTGGAGAGTCAACAGGATGACATCGTACTAGTCATACCATATAGATGCTACACACAGTAAACAAACCATGCTGTTAGCGGGTGGTCCGGGTATAAAGACATAACTAAAGTAAACCTGTAGTCGATGATCGTGGCTTTACATCACTTTATTTTGTTCTAGTTGAAGGTAAAAATCTGTAGTGTCTGAAAGACAAAGTGGAAGTACACAAAAAAGGGCGCATGCGCATCACAAAGGCTACGCTTCGAGTGTCACGCTGAAGTTGTTTATTTATTAATTTAATCATTTATTTAAACCGTTTTCTCGCTGACTTAATCATAAACCAACGAAATAAACGTTTTAAAAGTTGAAATTGAAAAATAAAAGTGAGTTTGCCTCCACGTGATTCATAATTACCATAAAAGCTGGGAAAATCCCTGGACGCTTCTACACACTTCACCCATTTGGTCACTAGAGGGCGGGAAACACTCAATTTAGATCACCACACGTTGGCGAAGGTGAAGCCACTTCAGGCAGTTTTTTTTCTAAACCTTTATTTAATTTAAGTATACAAACACAAAAATAAATAAATAACAAACACAAACAAACAAATAAACCATTAAGAATGAAAAGGAACAGAAAGAAGCGAAAATCTCTTGTTAATCTTCGCCCCTTTAAAAAAATAAAAAATATATATCAATAGCTTCCAATATTTGAAAATCTTCGAATAAAAATGTATTTGTTAACTTGCCCAACACTCTTTAGCCCATTAATTCAACAAGTAGGTTAAATTAAATGCTGAATGTTCACAGCAGTCTACAAAAGTGAAACATATTATACATGCATACACACATACATGTTTACCAATACAACACACTTAAATTATGATGAACTCAATACAGAAATTCATATAATTAATTTCATTATATGCTTTAATTAGATGGGGGTTTTTCTTCATTTTAAAAATTCCAATATTTTGACATTGTTTTATATCATCGTTCCATAACTGGACTCCTCTTGTTGAAATACAGTATAGTTTAGCATTAGTTCATATGGCTGGCTTTATGAAAATGCTTGTTCCTCTCCTCTCTCTCTGAGTTTAAAAAGCCTTTGGATACTGGCTGGTAATTGTTGTTTGATTATGAACATTAACTGAAGTATTTTGTAGTCAACAAGGTCTCAGAATTTCAATAAATTTAATGTAAAAAAAACATTTGTTGGTTCAGTGTTCGATGATCTAGTGATTATTGTTCTTATGGCCTATTTTAGATATTCTGAAATGTTGCTGCATTTTCTCTCCCGGGGAAATCAGTTTTGTGTTATTTTAGTCTACTTTACTTCTTAATGCTGACGAGTGAGTCCTTCAGCTAAAAAAATGGCCCTTAAATTCAAACAACGAACCTTTTGTTAAAGAACCGAATTCAACCATGATCATAGCCTAGACAGCCTAGATCATAATCTAGACAGGCCGTATCAGTAGAAATTTTGCTGTGCAGCTTTTTATACATTTACAAATGGATTGCCAGGCTATATGTCATCAGAGAAATAAAAAAAGAAAAATTAATTAAATTAAGGAAATCATTTGTCAGGTCTTTGGTTGACATTGGGCTGGTGAAGGTGCAGAGTGCAGGTGGAGGCCCCATGGAGGCAGGCAGGTGAACTCAAAAAGGCTTTAATAATGAAAACCAGGATAAAACAGTAACGTGGGACTACACAGGAAAAACAGATTAACAAATGTTTCATGAATCTGGGGAACTATACAACCTTTTTTAAATTTTCCAATTGCTTTTGGTTCCTTTTTTTAAGCTTTGCTTTCATTTAAAAATTCTTTCTGAGTAAATGAAAAGAGAAGCAGGTTTTTTGAGACTGAATAAAAAAGATGGAGGCATATGGTTTGACAGTTTTTCTCATCATTGTGGTTACTGACTCTTTTTTTTTTTTTTACCACAGCTATAGCTTATGGGCCATTCCCATCTGTACCGGGTCGGCCCGGGCCGGGTAGCGTAGGTTGTTTACATATCTGGGTGGCCTGGTATTTTTCCGGGCCAGCCAAGGCTCATTCTCAGCCCTCTTCTCGAGGGGGTCTGCTTCAGGCCGACCAGGGCCAACACACCCACTGCTGACAGCAAATTCACACCTTCCATTAGAGCAAGCCTCTGATTGGTGGGTAGAATCAGCCCACATGGGCTTAAGACAAGGATGTGTGGAATCAACCGGGCCAGGCTGGGGCCGACTGGGGCTACCCGGCCCTGGCTGACCCGGTACAGATGGGAATGGCCCATTACATGTTTCAAATAGTTAAAAAACGGAAACACGACGCTTAAAAATGTAAAAGTCAACAAATGAACTAATTCTGGGTAATGATAAATGGCTTGTATTTGATATAGGGCCTTCTAGTAACCCCCCCCCCCCCACACACACACACACACACACACACACACAAGACACTTTATAACACAGTCATTCACCCATGCACACACACACATTCTCACTCTGTGTCAATTTTCTATTTCAAAGTATGCTTTCATCAAGATAAAGAAGTGTTTTGGGGATGTTTTCTTTCACATTCACACCTTTCTGTCAGAATACATTATTTTCGTCCACCTTATCGTCAGCCCTCTCACGTTTCCTGTTTCTTTACCCTGTTTGTGGTTGCTAGAAGTAAAAATAGAGCAGCTGCAAAATGCTGGCCAGCTTATATATATATTTCCTTTGTAGGTTTAACTTTAGGTTTTATTCTACCTGTTTGACCATTTTTGTGCTTAAAACCACAAACATCATTTGTTCCAGGAACATGCCACCACTCACTACCTCAGAGCAACTTAACATGACGAAGTTACAAATCTGGAGGTAGCGCCAGGTGACCAAGAGAGCATTTTTAATTGTTTATTCATGAAATGATGAATTGGTGGTTTGCGTTTGGGGGAATCCAGAGTCTTTCATCAAAATGACCAAATTAAACACTTCAAATTACAGCTGGGTTTTCCCGACTTGTGAAACTAAACAGCTGAATGGCCCACAGTTTATCTAGAAGCTGGAATCATGTCTTTACCGATCCCAAAAAGCTCAAGTCCAAACAAAAAAAAAACAGATAAAGAATAGGAAATATGAATAATCCTTATTTACTTACTTTATTTAAAGAGAGGACAATGCATATTTATGAACAGCAATACAACTGTAAATGTGCCAGATTATAGCCTTAGGCTAATTTCCATCTGCAGTCCTCTGGCAGGTTAATGTTAAAAGAGATAAGACAGACAACAATATACATTTAGAAAAAAAACAGGAACATATTTTACTAAACAGACAAGAGTAAAAACAAATAAAAGTGTCATCTATGATTGCATCTTTGAGTTTCCTGTAGACACAGTTTCAATTGTCTTTTGAAACTAACAAAACTTGAGCTTTCTCTCACTTGAGTAGGAATGCTGTTCCAAAAAGTCGAGCCCTGGAATGACAAAACATTTTGAGAAAATGTTGTTTGCCTATAAGAGGGAGCTCACAGTCACCTCTGACTGTAGCTCGAGTTACTCTGGAAGAGTTCATGTGTGATTTTTGAATAATAAAATCATTCAGTGGTGGATGGGCTAGACCATGAATAACTTTATAGACCAGGCAAGCAGATCTGAAATGTTTAAAATCTTGAAAACTCTGTAGAGAATATTTATCCAGAATTGGACAGTGATGATACAACATTGGCTTTTTGTCCAGGATTTTCATTACCCTTTTATAGCTATTGAATAATGCAGGCGTTAATACTGGAACACTGCAAAAAGTGATTTCTAAAACAGTGAAAAAAATCCTCATTTTTAGACATTTTATTTTATTTTTAGTCTAAAAAGAAAATAAATTCTTCTTAGAAAACTAGCAGTACTTAAAATAAGGTCAATTTAAAACCCAGCCAATGGGGTGGGCAAAAAGTTGCTTAGCTAGAAATCATAAAACTAGCAAAATAATCTAATTTTACATTTATTATCTAGTTTTAGGAATTCTAACAATGCAACTTTTTTTCATCCCATTTGCCAATTTTTTTTATTTACCTTAATTAATGTTATTTTCTAGAAAATATTTTTTTTTCTTTTTAGACAAAAAATGTGATAAAATGTAAAAAAAAAACTGGCTTTTTTTAAACTTTCTTATAAATCATTAAAAATGTTAAACATTACAGATGAGGTAATGTTTGGGGTGATTTTATGTAAAAAGAAAGTTCCCAGTCCAGCATGTTAATGACTGTCGACGGTTTATGAGCTAAACCTCGACACACGAGAGGCGACATCGCCTCTCCCCCATTCATTTCAATGAGACATGCACGACAAAGCGATAATCGCTGGTCTCCCTCGTGGTAAGCCAGACACGAAAATTTTGTATGTGAAATTTTGCGCTCGTGCATGTGTCGTGCACAGACGAGCCAGCGACGTGATCCCAGACAGTTGAAAAGTTTCTAATTTTCCTCGCTGTCGCTCGAACAAGGATCAACTAGCGGAGGTTTTATTAAAAAGAAATAAAATGGCCTGTATTTGATATAGCGCCTTCTAGAGTCCTGGAACCCCCCAAGGTGCTTTACAACACAATCAGTCATTCACCCATTCACACACACATTCACACGGTGGTGGTGATGAGCTAAAATGTAACTACAGCTGCCCTGGGGCTCACTGATGGAGGCGAGGCTGCTGAGCACAGGCGCTATCAGTGCCATCTGGGCAAGAAGGGTTAAGTGTCTTGCCCAAGGACACAACGACAGTGACCAACTGAGTGGGGCTCGAACCTGCAACTTTCCGATCATGGGGTGAGCACTTAACTCTTGTGCCACCGTCGCCCACCGACTGACCATTAATGACTGACCAATGAGCGGACAGGATGCGTCTCAGGGCTAACATGAAGGAAAAGTTGATACTTGCCCTGTCTGATTTTTTACTAAATGTGTCACAGGACATGACAAACTGTGTGGTTTTGTTAGTAACTGGATTTATGTAATGTTCCCTCGAGAAAGACCTCCTACTTGTAACAGCTGTGTATTTAAACAGAAAGCAGCCTAGGGCGTAACCAGTGGTGCAACAACAGAACAAGCCACCAGAGTGTGTTTGGGTCGTCACAACTGCACATCACAGAAAACAGAGAGGGGCCGTCTGCGACAGGAGCAACAACGACCACAGAAAGGTAAGCAAATCTATCAAATATTTCTTTTAAATCACTGGATTCTGTGCTGCTACAAAGTAGTGAGTGAACCTAGTAACACCTTTATTATGGTACATTTTTAATCACTTCATAGTAAACAGTGCATATCCAAAATAGTTTAAATATTTGATATTGCTGAACTTGTTAATGTGATAGCGTGCACGAGCCACTTTGTAATCTACTAACCTAGATTTATGTTGCACTCATTGTACAGATAGAAACTATCTTAGTAGCACAGAGAAGGCACAGTGAACATCCGCTAACGGTCGATATCTGAATAAAATGTTAACTTTGCATGTTTTTATTTAATTCTTAAATAAATACACATAATTAATGCAGATGCATGAATGTAAAGTGAAACGTTTGTGTGTGTCGTCCTCCCCTAAGACATATTCGCACGCACATTTGCTTTGTGTCAAATGCTTCATAAAACACTCCATATAAGGTCTGCACACCCTTTCCTCCGTCACATAATCCCATTTCTGTTTTTTTTTTCTTTTCAAACCATTCTCAGATAAAAATATTCACGAAAAGCAGAAGTGAAACCAGAAGTGAGGATGAATCTACTCGTGATCCTCTCCATCCTTTTGGTGCTTGTCATCCACGTGGTGAGCAACAAGTGGCGATGTCATTGAGTTTAAAAATGAGCACAACAGGTTGTAAAACATTTGTTTCCTCCTTTCAGGCCAATTCAAGATGTTTCAATAAAAACAAAAGGGGTAAGTCACCTGTGTGGATGATAAACCCTAACCCTGCACCACTTGGGGTTTACTGAGACGTGTTCTTGAATGTTTCACCATCAGATGACTCGTGTCGATCTGGAGATGGGAGCAGCTACAGAGGGTCTCTTTCAAAGTCTGTAAATGGACGCAAGTGTCTCAGATGGACCTCCGTTACACACCAGTGGGGTCTTTCAAAGGGAATTGGCAACCATCATTACTGCAGGTACATTTTAATCATGACACCTAGAAGTGTTTAGGAGAAGAATCACACTTTTAAAATGATTGTTTTTTTTCTACCATTAGGAATCCTGACCAGAACTTGATGCCTTGGTGTTACGTTCTAAAAAGAGGGATTGTAAAGAGAGAATATTGTGACGTTCCAAGATGTGAGCGCACAACTTTGTTGATTAAATTATTATAACAATTTGGTTTAAATTCCTCTAATCACCTCTGATTTTTGCTCCAACGCAGGTTGTAAACCAACTACAAAGCCGCTGCCGACGAGTTCTCCTCCTTCAGCAGACACAGGTAGACTCAGGTCTGTAGATTCCCCCAGCTGAATGTCCTTCTTCGACACTCACCTTTTCTCTCTCCATATCTCTACAGAGCGGACTTGTGGCGAACGGTCTGAGAGACGGAATAAAATTGTCGGCGGCTCGTTCACTCGCGTGGAGTCTCACCCTTGGGTCGCCGCAATCTATCTGAAGGGAACTTTCCTTTGTGGTGGCTCCCTTATCTCACCCGGCTGGGTCCTCACCGCTGCACATTGCTTTGTTGGCGGGTGAGAAAACACACCATCATCACCTTTTCTACTGTAGTTAGAATATTCCAGCGTATAAGAACGTTTGTGTGTTTGCCATCTGCTCAGAGACAGAATCAAACGCCAACATCTGTCCGTGTTCCTGGGAAAGACAGCCATCAACGAGACAGACGCAAAAAGGGAACAGAACTTCACCGTGGAAAAACTCATCAACCATGAAGCATACAACGAGTCCAGCTACAACAATGACATTGGTGCGCAAAAGCGTTGATGTTTGCTGCAGAAACATGGACATTGTGTGCAGAATCTAAACCTGTGTTTTGATTTCAGCGCTGCTGAAGATCAGAAATGTAAATGGAGGATATGCAGCGAAGACGCCTTCTGTGAGGACGGTTTGCCTTCCTCCTCTTCACACTCACCTTCCTGCTGGATTCACGTGCAGCATTGCAGGATTTGGGAAGCAAACATTTAGTAAGTACAAAAAAATGACTCACGCAGTCTAAGAAATGAAATGTTGAATCTACTTAACCAAGTTAGGTCAACTGTTTCCATTAATTTACTTGTTTAAAGAGTAACTAAACCCCAAAATAACTTTTTTTTTTTGGCTCAAACTGCATCATTGGGTCTTTACAAATACAATCTTTCTGTTTCTGTACATTTTTGAAATGTTTGTGTAAACTTGATTAAATCTAGAATCTAGGTCTAAAAATGTCTTAGTGCTGTCCCCTGTGGGTTGAACTGGCTACTGCATATTAAATTTGTGATTGACTGGGGCTGGTACAATATCATGTCATCGGTACAGTCTCCTCCCACTCCCCCTCCCTCCCGGGATGGAAATTCCCCACACGTGGCCATGCCACTCCATTTCTCATGGAAACGCCCACGCTCAAAGCATTTTTCAAATCTTAACTATGGGTAGAGTTACATTTTCGGATGGTGTGCGTTCCCTCTTTAAAGAGCAGGTTCACTGAGACACTGTTTTTTATTTGTTCTTTCTTAAATCACTTATGCTGGATGTGAAAGATGGTTTCTACCCATATTTCCTGCACTGACTGAAAATTGGTGGGGTCCGAAAAGGCCACACTGTAAATTAGCATTCTTGGACTCACCCATCTTGACCCGTAACTGGGGAAGGCTGTGATAGATTTAGCTTCCGAGAGAGAGTAGAGCACCTCTCAGCTAGCAAAAACTAACCATTAGCATTAGCAACTCCACAGCACAGCTAACTCCTGCAAACATGAGCTATTTATGGAGAGAAAACATCAACATCACAGAAGGCAGTGGAAGAGTTGTGCTGCTTTTAGCCAATCAGAGGTGTGATGTCCAACTATCATTAATATGAAGGGGTAAAGCTAACTTTTACTTCCTGAAACAGGAATGCCAGAGCTTTTTTTTCACAGAGAACGACTCACAAAGCATTCATTTGCAGACCACATCAGATTTTTTTAAATCTGAATGAGAGCTTTAAGCAACTGGGTTTAGTGGATCCAGTTGACACACTTGGATTCAACACTCCATAGAGTGTGACTCACTCAGATGCTTCAGGAATTCTTATGATTGATGTTGTTGCCTGCAGATTCGTGGGAGTACTCGCAGCTTCTGAAGCAGGCTGAAGTGAATTTGCTCTCCAAGGCCGAGTGCAAACGGGAAGCGCCTTACAAAGATTACGTCTCTGAGAACATGTTCTGCGCTGCAAGCCCCGACTGGACCACAGATGCCTGCAAAGTAAGCATTTAGTCTAGAATTAGAGCATTTGAAACCAAAGTGAGTCAAAAAACAGAAGTCGAATGACTCACAGCTCTGAAAGATGCAACAAACCAAAAGATCTCTCACGCCTTTCTTTGCAGGGTGACTCCGGGGGTCCGCTGGTGTGTGAAACGTCAGGCCGTTTCTTTCTGTTTGGGGTGGTGAGTTGGGGCGATGGTTGTGCCAGTGTAAACAAACCAGGTGTTTACACGCAGGTTACCAACTACAACAGATGGATTGCAGAAAAGACGGGGCTCACACAATACACAAAAGGACTCATGTATCCTCAAAAGTGAAACAGTGTGATGTTTTTTCTGCGTTGCAAAAAGGAAAGGAAAGGTTGGCAGCCTTTTAGTAAGCGTTCAATTGTTTTCTGATGTTTCTGAGTTGAACAAACTTTGATTCAGTCTAAAGTTAACATTGATGGCCATTGATCAAATTTACCTTGGTTGAAATAGGATTCTTACTTGTACATACTAACTCAGGGAAACAGTTAAAATAAGCATATTTGTCTGTCAGTAAATCATACCATCAAACGTAAAGCTCTGGTTGCTTTTTGTGAGCAGCTGAATGACTGTTTTTATTTAAATGGTTGATTGTAAAAAAAATCAGTATTGACTGAATTTTTCTAAATATCTGTTTTCGTAAAAAGTTTAACAATGCAATTTTTGCCACACAGGAAACACATTTTTCATAAGAACAATGTGTTTTGGAGCAATTCTATATTTATGTCACTTTATTGAGCACTTTCATCATCTGAAAGGCTGGTCTTGCTGTTGCTTAATTTAATTTTATAATAAAATAAAGATTTTTGTATGAAGACGTTTTTGTGTGTTTCCTTTAACAGCCATTCTTGCAAAAACAACATCTTGTAGAGTGCTTTCTTAAATCTGAGTTTTAAAAATGCATGCATTTCAAATACAGCACAGTCAAATAAATCCAATACATTTTAACAAGTATGAAAACTTTAAAAAATGAAAAAGAATGTATGTTAGTATAAAATGTTTAAACTTTGCTTTAAGAATTCTGTAATTTTCTGTAAAACTGTTTTACACACACACACACACACACACACACACACACACACAGACACACGCACGCACGCACACACACACACGTTTGTATTTTTATCATAATGAGGACCATCCATTGACTTCCATTCATTTTTGTAACTCCACTTTGCCTAACCCATACCCATGCCCATACCGTAACCCTAACCCTAACTAATGCTGATCTACTCCTAACCCTAACCTTAACTAAAACTTAATATTTACTAAACCTCTAAAACCAACTGGTAAGCTTTAAAAAAAGTGAGGACCAGAAAAATGTCCTCACATTGTAGGGAAAATGGTTAAAATGGTCCTCAGTAGGTAGTAAGTGCAAGAACACACACACACACACACACACACACACACACACACACACACACACACACACACACACACACACACACACACACACACACACATGAATTACAACATGCGATAACAAATGTATTTTAACTGTAAATGCTGATTTATTTAAAACAAAATGAAAACTTGAGTCTTGTTGGAAGATGCTTTGTGTGCATAAATCCAACATGAGAGGGCGCTGTTGTGTAAAGATGATAAACGTTCAGCGGACAAGTGTTTTATAGGAGAAAAGTGATGGAGATGAATCAGTCAAGTTTAACAAATAAAGCAGAAGTTTCCACAGAAGGGGTCAAAGCTAAAAATCATGAACGTATTTCAGGAGTTTTATTATGCCTTGGTCTCATAATAATATATATATATAAAAAAAAAAATAATAATAATAATAATAAATCATTTTAAAATAATTAACAGGGGTGGTTTTTGCGCCCAGTGACCCACCCTTGTTGTCATCTGTGCTCTTATGCAAGGTAAAAAAAAGCCATTAAATTAATAAGTAGCAAACATTAAAATATATAAATATTTGTATTGAGTCTTGCCTGAGAGCTCATAGCTGAGCTCTCATATCACTGTGTCAGAATCATTGCAATTTTTCACTTTGAAAACGTCATCCTACATTTCATGTTGCATTGTACATGTTTTAGATTTTGTGGTTTGGTTGTTTATATAATACACGTGTTTTACTGTCTCAGTTTTGGGGGGCACCGGAGGTGGCTAGCCTTAGAAAAGCCCCAGACCCCCTGCCTGGACCAGCCCCTGGTTATGAATGGAAGTGCAGGTGAGAGACCCGACATCCGGATGGCCCAGTAGCTGCTTTTTGGTCCAAAAGGTGTTGTTGGCAGAGGTATAGACAAATTAAATTTTTTATCTTTTCTTTCAGCAACATATCTATTACTATACTATGTTAGAACATTAAGAAGCATGGGCAAAGATGTTTAAATATTTGTGTAAACACTTGTATTGACTCTCACCTGAGAGCTCTTAGCTGAGCTAACACAGGCACACAAATAAAATGTTAATTTTTTCAGAATAATTGCTGAGTTGGACTTTACTTTTTAAAACCATAGCCTTTTATGGAAGACTTTTTAGAGCAGCTCTTCTCCCTCTGCAGGTTTTTATTGCATTGATCATTATCGTGATGAACTGATGCAATCTCAAAGCCTCAGAATGTGAGCACATAGCATGTTTCTCCTTGTCCAAACAGTCTGAGATCAGTGCATGCTTTAATTGTGTTTTACACATTTTTGTTGCAAGTTTAGTGCTAAAACATCAGACATCCTCACAATCCTCAAAATTTCTATAATATTTGAAATAACTTAATGTTTTTCTTAGAAGAAAGTGTGTATTCCTGTGCAGAACTGTGAAAACAAAGGGCATATCCATGCAGAGCTTCTCCCCAGGAGCAAGTTGAGCATCACATCTTCTCACAGCCTATGACTCACGGTTCTGTCTGATACCCCATACCTCTCACTCCCCACCCAGTATAAGAAACATCTCTCAGAGAGGCTGCATCACTTCTCCAACCGTGACAAACAAATTAAATGTGCCGTATGCATAAACACTTCCAAACACCATCCAGCTAAGGAACATCAATAAGCATCCTGCAGCACTGTTTTCTCTCACATTCTGTTTAGACATGTCCACATACACAGATAGTTCCCAGGAGGACTACATGAGCCAATCAGAGTCCTTTTTGCACCCTTTCAATCACCCACAGACACCAGTTTACTTTACTGCTTCTCTTGCTGTGCCTCGACCCATATATGGGTTTAAGATGCAGCGAGGGCGACTCTTCACTCCTGTTTAAGGGTAATTCCTAACAAGAGGTCCTGATGAGAGATGCTGGAGCTGTTGGATCTAGGACCAGATTGTCTGGTGCAGGACAGCAGCTTTCTCTCAGCTTACACCGCTCAGATAAACACAAGGGGCTCACTTGGCCACGAGTTCTTGGGTCACCATGGGGTCTCAGGGGTATAAAGCTGTTTGGGGGGTCTCTGGTTTCCCCAACATAAGCTCAGGTTTCAGGAGCAGGGATGAGCCATCACACACACTCAGATTACTTTTTTGAGAGACAGGATCGAGTGTAGGCATTGAAACACCTGACAGCTATGGTCAAAGGTTTGGGAGTGAAGTGGGAACCTTTGCTGCAATCTTAGAAACTCCCCTCAGTTTAAGCCATGCAGCAAGTTGAATCCTTGGTCTTTATTTAGAGCTGCACATTGAGGCCTGGTGAACTCCTGACCCACCTTTTAATGAACACAGCTTGTGTGTCGGATGGAGGTTTAGGGCTTCATAAACACCACACGTTTTCTCATCTTCTCCTCAGTCTCACCTTTAAGAGGCTACAGGGATCACATCACGGTCAGGCGCTGATAACCTGGGGATGCTTCACCTCCTCCAAGATCCAGGCTCATATGTTGGAATTACAATCATCTCCCATTATAGGTCATTAAGTTACCCCAACACTTTCCTTTTGGGTGCCACTGGCATGCATGACGTCATTTGGGAAGCGCTCTGAGTGTGCAGCGTCAGTGCGCGCACCAACCAGCTTGGCAGCTGTATTCCTTGACTGTGATTGGGCGGAGGGCGGTGATTCCTTCTGTCACGATTTGGGTCGCTCCCACCGGAGGACACCGGCTTGAGCCCATTTAGGCACCGAAGAGAGGAGACGGTGGCCACCGGGAGGAGAGGGACTCTTCAAGACTCGGTATTTGTCCGCCTGTCTCGTTGAGGAGGAGGAGGTGGAGGAGGAGGAGGAGGAGAGGGATACATCAGCGCTGCTGGAGCTGCCTTTTTTGTTGTTCTTCTATCGGGGCTGCAGTGAAAGTCGTTCATGATGCCGGTGTTTCACACCAAGACCATAGAGAGCATCCTGGAGCCGGTGGCCCAGCAGATCTCCCACCTGGTCATCATGCACGAGGAGGGGGAGGTGGACGGCAAAGCCATCCCGGATCTGTCGGTGCCGGTGGCCGCTGTGCAGGCGGCTGTCAGCAACCTTGTCCGCGTGAGTTCAGAGTTATTGAACCCAGTGTGTGTGTGTGTGTGTGTGTGTGTGTGTGTGTGTGTGTGTGTGTGTGTGTGTGTGTGTGTGTGTGTGTGTGTGTGTGTGTGTGTGTGTGTGTAAAGGATCAATGACAGCAGCCCTTTATGGTTTATTGATGATACAAATAAAGAAGAAAGAGATCATAAAGCTGTCGAGCCCCCACTCTCCCACCCCAACCCCCTGCCCCTTACCATGCTGTTGTGGGTTTTGCGTTTTTCCACCAGTGCGCAAATCAAACTTTACCCAGAAAGAGAGGAGTTCAGTAAATTAGCGGAAAACACAAGAGCTGACTGAATTAACAGGATTCAGCTTCCACATAGAAGAGCTGGTTTCAGCCTCCACAGACTAAACTCAACCATTATCTTCTCTAATGATTGTTTTCTACACTCAGCTTTGTGTTCTTTATCAGTGGTTTCCAATCTGAGGTCCACAACCCCCCAAGTGTACTACTAGAGATGGCTGGGGTCCTCCTCGCAATTGGAGTTACCAAGATTACATTTGTAAAAATGTAATTCATAAAATCCCAATAACACACCCAACAATATAACCAACTCAGAAAAAGAGAGGAAAGTATTTATTTAAACACTTTTAAAGTGACAGTATGTAGTTTCCTGGCACTAGGGGGCAGTATATACATTTCAGGGTAGTTTTACACCACATCACTGTGACTGTCACTAGTTTAAAAAACATTACTGTAAATGTTACCTGTGGAGCAGAAAGCATGCAACCTCAACATGACTCCTCAGACTTTGATGGTCCTTCAGTAAATTCTGAAAGCAATGCCGATTGTAGTTTTATGGCACTGTAGTTTGGATCTGCTCGGGACCCTGCACCTGCCGATGACATCATCATACTACGGCAATACCGCTCAGCCATAATATATATAACAAGTGAATTTCCCTACTGTGGCATCAGTAGTCTATTCTATTCTATTCTATTGCATCTCTTTTTCAATTCTGTTCTTTCACAGAGATTTTGGAAAGAGTTTAGCTGTTTTGTTTTTGAATTTGTGTTTCTTACTACATAAATGATTTGAACATGGTAACGTAACGTCCGTAAGTCATTCGTCCAGCCTATCATCTAGTGTGATGCCATCGACAAGTGCAGGACCCCGAGCCGGCTAGAAGGAAACATGGCGTCTAATATGGCGTTGCCCAGAGACTCTAGTCTAGACCCTATGTAGTTTAGACCCAATTTTTATAGCTATGTGGTACAAAGCCACCAATATTTTTCAACAACTAGACATAATTGTATTCATTTTCAACAACGTTTTGATGAATATTGGTAATAACTACACATTGTGTCTTTATGGTGCTGTGGGGTTGGGGGGGGGGGGGGGGGGGAGGTCCTTGGCTTGAAGTTACAAGGTTGTGTACTGCTTTACAGGATGTTTCTCTATTCCACTTGTTCAATAATTTCAGTCTAATGGGTCAGCCTGAGCTGAAACAGCCCAGATTCAGTCAGATATTGATGTCTCCTCCATGTGCTCTGGCTGGAAAAATCAGTAGGGACCACATCATTGATGCTGATCCCGGTCATTGACCCATGGACGGGGCTTCACTCATGGGGAAACACAACCACTCCTATAATAAGGGGAGAAAAGATTTCTCCTGTGACTCCTTCATGTCTGTTGGCCTGCTGTCTTTGTCTGTCCAGATAGGATTCACTCCATTCAGTCAGGCAGCAGAAGGAGGCTAGCCTCGGGCTTGTCGCTTGGCATCAGGTCACGAGGTTGCAAAGAGAGATCAAGAAAAGTGTTAGTCAGAGAAAGTGCCTAAAGAGGTCAGGCCACGTCCGAATAAAGATGCACTCACAAGAACGCACTTTTTTCTCTTGGGCTTTGAGGGTCACTGATATGTGAAGTGGTTCAAGTCCTCCTGCTTAAACACTCCTAACAGAAACTCTCCAGGCAGAAGAGGAAAGACATGTTTGCTGACAGAGTGAAGGAGTGAGTGACAAGATGTTGTTGGAAAAAAGAGGAGCTTGTAACACTTCCTAGCTGGTTGCTGGGTAGATGCGCCTAAAGGGATGTAAAAAAAACCCACTAAAAGCTAAAACCGATGCAGTTCTGAGCACACATGCTCTGTTTTAGAAAGGTGATTCATTTGAAGTCAACACAGTATACTGTAGAGCAACGTGCCACAATCACCAAGAGTCCCACCGATACAATTACACAGTCCACGGCATGCATGGTGGGCTAACTGGGAGGGTGGGGGGCACTTGAGATCTGGGTCACTGAGTCACTCAGACACTCAAGATGGTGTCAGTCTTGATCCTTTCAGAGTTTGTGTAGGCTGATGCAAATTCAGCTAAAGCTGTGACACGTGCCGCTGTTGCGTTTGGTTTAAAAGTGCGAGCTTTCTGCCTCAGTGGTGTAAGTGAAGCGTCTGCTCCCAAACGAGTCAACATGGACCCCGAGCATGTCTTCACGGGGAGGGGGAGGAGGAATAAATAGATTTAACATTAAGTGTACAGAGCAGAGAGGGAGAAGAGGCATGTGAGGGGTGAAACACAAGGAGTGATGAAGACGATAAAACTTTTTTTTTTAGCAATTTTTATTTGAAAGAGCAACGCCATACAAGGAGGGACACATGTCTCACACAGTGTCTCCAGCCTACTTCAGTGTGTATTTATTTTTCTTTTAAGCTCCGATGAAAATCAGCATTTGTTCTAAAAAAATAGATGAGTGTGTGTAACCTAAAGAGTGTGTGTCATATTTTATTGTGAACTAAACAAGTTTAGCATCAGCATTTTTTCAAGTAAATATGCGTCAGGGTCACATCACTTTTCTTAGAAAATTTCAAGCAGTGTCAATGCTGTTAATTTTACTTCCATTGTGCTTTATCAGAAACTCTTCCAAAATTACAAATGCTTGTAACACTTTACAATATGGGTCCTTAGTGCATATTTAAGCATGAACTCATTCACTGCCAGCTGTTTTCTGAACAGAAAGCACCTGGCTGCCAGCGTTGTTAAGCATTTTTACTGAGTATTGTGCTCTATGACCATGTGGAAACCAAACTACCAGAAGAAAGAGTAGACACTCTACATCAGGAGGAATCAGCGTGTTTCTAGCTTTTTCCGTTCTTTCACAATTTGTTGTGTGAGCTGATGGTGGTCGGAGGGACCAGTGGCGTCAGTGCTCAGCAGACTCGCCTCTGTCAGTGCGCCCCAGGGCAGCCGTGGCTACGTCGTAGCTCATCCTCACCAGGGTATGATTGTGTGTGTGAATTGGTGAATGACTGATTGTGTTGTAAAGCGCCTTGGGGGTTCCAGGACTCTAGAAGGCGCTATATCAAATACAGGCCATTTAACATTTAAGCTGCAGAAGCTCTTCTGGTTTGCGCCGCAGCCTTTTGCATAGCGGCGTCCCAAAACGATCTCCTAATACACAGATGGTCTGCTTCATGATCTCGTGACATGTGACACACACGGATGCAAATCAACGTTCGAGTCGTGATGTTTACTCTCAAGGTGCGCAAGCTCGTTCCCTAGCTCACCCTGTTAAAAAACACAATTGATGACTTTAGTCGTTGATGACAGCAATCGGTTGCATTTAAAATGACAACTTTAATCATCAATGGCAGTGAATAAATTAATAAACAAAATGTCCCTTTATTAATGTTACTGTTATTGTTAACTATTAAGTGCCCTTAAGGTTAGGATGAAGGGGTGGGGGCGTCTGCTTAGTAATGCATTACATGTTTATGTTTATTCATTTAGCAGCCAACCATTACATAATATGGTTGAGCAGTTGTTATTACTTTATTTATGTTTATTCATTTGGCAGACGCTTTTATCCAAAGCGACTTACAATTTATAACCTATAGGGCATGTTGTGATCTGTGGGGGAAACCGGAGTACCCGGAGGAAACCCACGCATGCATGGGGAGAACACGCAACTCCACGCAGAAAGGCCGCAGCCGAGTTTCGAACCTGCAACCTTCTTGCTGCGAGGCAACCTTGCTAACAACTGGACCACCACGCAGCCCACCAATAGTTTATTAATAATAATAATAATAATAATAATGCATTTTATTTATAGGCGCCTTTCAAAACCCTAGGTCACCTCACAAAACATGCTAAAACTTACACAAAAATAAGAATAAGATCATTTAAACAATAGCATTACAAAGAATATACTATAAATTAGTGGAGAGTTTGTGGACTAGAGAGTGTAAGACAGTTTGAACAGGTGAGTTTTGAGTTTGGATTTGATGATGTAATGTAATGATCTGATGTAATTTCCTGAGTTAAGCCTGAACCACACTGCATTTTTGGCCCTTCTAGACAAATCCCTCGTCGTGAACAGAATTGTGACAAAAAATGGTGAACATGATGGTGATTTGCAAGTCTGTGGCCGTCCAGTGTGACCGGCTCAGCGACAGCTTACTGACCCATCTCACGACCAAAGTCAGCCTCTGCTTGAAAAGCACTGCTTGAAAACTTAACTCCCATCTGCAATCGACCAATGGAAATACAGCCGGGGAGTCACGCGAACAACTAGTGACGAGAGTAAAATACGAGAGTAGAATTAGCAACACTGGAAGCTACACGCAGAAACATTCGGACCACTCCTTTTTGGAGTTTGTGTTCAGAGTCTAATAAAAGAAATGTTAGCATTCAGCGTTTCGGTGAGCTGTCTGCTATTAGTAGCGTCTACTTTTTGGGGGTGGGCTTGAATGAGACGTCGGGCAGTTAGGCTCGCTGAAATCTAGCGCTGTACAGTATGCCACCTCTCTTGAGTTTTAACTGAGTGACCTGAGCAGTCCTGTGTGACAGCCAAAACGCAGAGTGAGATCCGGGCTTTGAGCAGAAGTCCCGCCCAGTGACTCTACCAAGCCTTTTTGAGTACATTGCCCAGTTCAGGTACTCCATTGGTTCCTGAAATGGCCCGGAAAATAGTCCTTTTGGATTGGTTTGGTGAAAATGAGACATGCGCTTGCCATGAAAGTCCTGGAAAATCACCCGGATGCTCCAATGGTGGACACAGACCTATTGTGTCAAAATATGACATATTTGAGGTGTCGTGTTTGAGATGTAATTGTTTGTTTGGCCCAACTGGCCCAACTTAAGTGGAAGTTATCAAGATTTTGCACAGATGATGTTTAAAGTTTAAGTTTTCCTATTTATGGGGGTTATATATTTGTAATGAATTAGATTATGTGTTATTTAATGAGTCATAAGGCGTGGGATTCCATAGGAAATATGAAATCCACCTTACGGATCTGTGAGTTATTTAAACCAGAAGATTGGATCTTTTTATTGCAGGGATTAGATAACCGCTCCGTATTCACTCAGAGACAACAGAATAGAGAGAGTCAAGTTTAAAAGTTAAGAATTTTATTACTAACAAATTAAACTAGACTGACTTCAAAACTAAATGTATAGCGTAACTAAAATGGATGAGACGGTGGATGGATGACGTGTGATGTTAAATCAGAACCAGTAAATCCAAAGAAGCGATTGTTCTGACGGTAACTGAAGGTGTTGTTTTCGCATTAAGCTTTGGTTCGGAAGTTCAGAAACACATGAGACACCATCATGCCGGTCTACCTACCCTTGGTGGAAGTCCTCTGTAGATCCGGAATGTCGAGGTCTTAGCTTGACCCTCTCTGGAACCGAGCCGGTAGGAAAAGCAGCGGTTCCGACCAGACCAGTCTTTGAGTTACTTCCGGGTACACGACAAGTTGTTGGCGTCTGGTGAGACCCAGGCCTGGGTCTGGATGGTTCCGCTTTTGTTCTGAAAGGAACTGTTGCCGCGGTTGGTATTACAACGAATTTTTCTTTTCAGCTTTTGTTGGTTCGTTCGGTTAAAGAGTTTAGATCAGGATTGGCCACTCCATCACTTTCTCTGGAACGCTTTGAACTGGCGTCAGAGCTGACGTGGCATAGTTGTACTTCGGATGTTATGGTTTATTGTTGAATGAAAAATTACCAAACACCATCAAAACCACGCCTCCGTCAGATCTGTAAGATTCTGATTGGATCAGTGAAAGTAATGTGTTATGTCTTCTTGACGCTACGTGAAATGAGTCCTGTTGGATCATTTAAAGTCATATTACTTATTATATTCTATAGGATTATAATAAGGTAATTCATATTTTGATTTCACAGATCGGTCACATCTTATTTATTGACTAACACTTTGATGGATTAGCTTTATTAAAATAGAGTTCTTTGATTAATTAAAAGAAAAGAGTTCATTCTTCATTCTTTTGTTGAGCTGAAAATAATCAGGTTAGAAGGAATGCATGAGACCTTGACTATTTCTCATGCAGACTAGTCTTGAGCAAAGAAGGGAAAAAACACAGTCATTCCATTCCGTTACATATTTATTTTTGATTCATGTTATCCAAAATTAAGAGTTAGACTATATCGGTAAATTAGATACCAGTAAAAAATCCTATATCGAACATTCCCATCCTATCCTTGCTAAAAAGGCTCAACTAAGCTTTTACACACTAATAAAAATGAAGTCAAACTGTGTGAAATTTGACAAAAAACCTAAAACATTAAATAAATATGCTTCCTGAGCGCAACCACAGATGCATTGTCCCCACAGGAACGGGTCAAATGCAGAGAGGTATTTTCACTAGTGTGTGATGACTGATGATGCAATGTTCTGTTAAAAACAACTTTTTAGAGTGTGTGTCATTTTCTGTGAATAACATCTCACCGTCTGTCTGCTCATGGTGCTCTCACTCATTTTGACACACACATCACACATCTCTGAATCTCACAAACCACTTTACAAAACATTAATAATGTAGTGAATAATCAATAAGTGTTGCTGCTTACAGGAAAGTGAGTTTTTCAGAAGGGGGTGTTCAAGGTGAGTTCACTTGTAAAACTGCATTCCTCACATTTGGAAACTTTATTTTTTCACTCTGTAGAACATCTACAACATAAATTAAAATGTATGACAAAAAATGTCATGCAACATGCTAAATACTGCACAAACCAACTTCATTTACATTCAGAACACAGAGTTGTCTTAAACTGACTTTTAGACAAAGTTATTTCTGCGCATCAGTGTGTGTTGAGTTTTGTTTGAAACCTTTCTGTGCACATTTATTGCATAATTTATTTCAGATGTTATTTCAGTTTCTTCATAGAAACTAATGATTTATTTCTATTAATTATGGCAGCAGACAAGGTGGTTCATCCATCCATCCATTATCGTCCGCTTATCTGGAGTCGTGGGGGCAGGGCTCAGGCTTCCCTCTCCCCAGCCACTTGGGTTAGCTCTTTGGGGAAATCCCTAGTGTGTATTGGGTCTTCCTTAAGGTCTTCTACCGGCTGGAAGTGCCTGAAAAACCTCACGAGGGAAGTGTCCAAGAGGCATCATAACCAGGTGCTCGGCCCAACTGGTAAATCGAGAGCTTCGCCTTCTGGGTCTCTTCACCATGACAGACCGGTACAATGACCGCATCAGATGCAGCACCAATCCGCCTACCAATTGTGTGCTCTATCTTTCCTTCACTAGTGAACAAGACCCTGAGATGCTTAAACTCCTCCACTTGGGGCAGGACCTCGTTCCTGACCTGGAGAAGGCATTCTACCTTTTTTGACATAAGACCATGGTCTGGGATTTAGAGGAGCTGATTCTCATCACAGCTGCTTCACACTTGGCTGCAAACCGCTCCAGCAAAAGCCAGAGATCACTGTCTGATGAAGCCAACAAGACCACATCATCTGCAAAAAGCAGAGACCTGATCCTTAGACCACCAAAATGGATCCCCTCAACTGCTTGTCTGGCCCTAGAAATCCTGTCCATAAAAGTTATGAACAGAATCAGTAAATGGTAAATGGCCTGTATTTGATATAGCGCCTTCTAGAGTCCTGGAGCCCCCCCAAGGCGCTTTACAACACAATCAGTCATTCACCCATTCACACACACTTTCATACACTGGTGGGGATGAGCTACGATGTAGCCACAGCTGCCCTGGGGCGCACTGACAGAGGCGAGGCTGCCGAGCACTGGCGCCACCGGTCCCTCCGACCACCACCAGCAGGCAAGGTGGGTTAAGTGTCTTGCCCAAGGACACAACGACAGCGACAGACTGAACGGGGCTCGAACCTGCAACCTTCCGATTACGGGGCGAGCACTTAACTCCTGTGCCACCGTCACCGTGTGTGTTGCAGGTGGGGAAGGAATCAGTGACAAAGGGAAGCCTTGGCAGAGTCCAACTCTCACCGGGAACAAGCCCAACTTACTGCAGGTGATGTGGACCAAGCTCTGACACCAGAGACCTAACAGCCCATATCAGAGGGTCTCATACTCCCAAAGTACCCCCACAGGACCCTCAGAGGGACGTGGTCATCTTTTTCTATAATTCCTCTTTATGTGGTTTGGTTGCCTCCTGAAGTTTGACCTTTTCTCATTTTTGCAGATTTTGGTTAAACAGACAGATCTATTTAAGGCAGATATTTAAAGATATTCATATATTTAAATATATATATATATATATATATACTTTTGAGTACTTATGTAACAGAGTAAATTCTTATCAAATGAATGCATGTGGCCAAGAAAGGGGATAAAAAGCAGATGCATCAGTTAAAGCAAAACAAAGTCTTGTGTGAAGTAAAACTGTTTGGAGTGATGCTGTTTTCCTATTCTCCGGGGTCAGAAAGTCCATTAACCGAGTTTAACAGACACAGCAGCGAGAAACGGATGTCATCAACTTGCTACAATTGCATCTCAAGCTTGTTAGTGTATTTCTGTGTGTGTTTTACATTTTGTGGTCTTGAAACCAAAAGCTTGGTGTACTTGTGCCGCTTTGTGGGGACCAAAACGCTGGACCACACAAGTGTATTTGGTTCATTGATGATCTCCACTTGGTTTCAGATTTAAACTCTGATTAAGATTAGAGTTGGAATTCTGTTGTGATGGAAAAGTTTGGTATAACATGCTCCGGGTCAGTAGGGTTTGTGTTTGTGTGTGTGCGTGGCCTAGACGAATGAATGTCTAAAGACAGCTTTTCTTACAGATGTGATGACCAAAAAGCACTCTTATTCAATTATTTAATTTTTATGGTGATGTTGTGAAATGTAGAGTTTTAATTAATACATCTAGAAATTTAAAGCACCCCTCTTCCTTTAATAAACAGAACAATGAACCAGAGGATTTAAGTCACTTTCGTCAGCTCAATAGATATGTCACGCACGCATGGTTGCAATAGGTGTAAATTGATACTCGTGCACCCATCAGCCTATTAATAGAGCTTCTGTTAGTGCTGCAGCTAATGATAACAAAGTACATCTGTGTGTGCATTTGTGTGTGTGTGTGTGTGTGTGTGTGTGTGTGTGTGTGTGTGTGTGTGTGTGTGTGTGTGTTGCAGGTGGGGAAGGAAACAGTTCAAACCACAGAAGACCAGCTGATGAAGAGAGACATGCCTCCTGCTTTTATTAAGTAAGTCTGTCTGTGGTTGGCTGTTTATCATGATTAACAAACATCTGACTGCTGCTGTTTCTCTAGTTTACAGTTGCAACTCTTTAAAATTTATTTCAGAGAATTAAATAACAAAAGAGGCGATTTAATACGAGGAAACATGGCTTCATTCCCAGCGACGACAAAGAGGCTTTTGAGTCAGACTCCGGGTGCACATTCGGCCTCAGCATTGAAACAGACACTGTTACTTATTTCCCAGCTTGTTTCCGGAGAGCTGACATGAACTCAGCTTGAGAGCTACTACTCAGCAGATCTAGGTTTCAGACTCCAGGCTGTTTTACTGTTTTTAACTCAGATTTTACTGAAACGTCATCTGTTTCTGGTTTGCTGTCATCCTGGCTTATCTGTTCGTTTGTTTATCAGAGTCCAAACTGTTTCACAGAAGTGATCCATATCTGAGTTTAGTCTATTCACCTCTTTGCTGCTCCGCTCACACACGGACTACTACTCCATAAATCTCACTGGCTTGGCTTAGGAGGGGGCATGTGGGAATGTGAAGCACCTAAATATAGACAAACCATCAGCCATTGATACCCTGACCAGTGGGGTCAGAAAGAAGAGGAATTTGACATTATTAAATCCTCTTCATCAAATTAGAAAACAACGGGAAAAAGTTTTTTCTATGTAATGTTTTTATTCCAAATTTCTTGGACCTAATAAACACATTTTAGCCTCAAGGTTTTTCTTTGAAATGTGATTTGCAGGTTGATTAATTGCAGCTACCAGTCTGTGTGTACGTTGTGTGAGGATTCCTGAAACAGCTGTGTGTTTTCAGGGTGGAGAACTCATCCTCCAAGCTTGTCCAGGCAGCTCAAATGCTCAAAGCAGATCCGTACTCCGTTCCTGCAAGGGATTACCTGATCGATGGATCCAGGGGGATACTGTCTGGGACGTCCGACCTGCTCCTTACCTTTGATGAAGCAGAGGTGTGCACTTTCCTTTCTTACATCCCTGAGCGTGTCTTAAAATTCTCGCTTAAGGTTTGCTTCAGCATCTTTCAGGGAAATCAAGCTTAATTTAGCAGGAAGGAAGAACTCTTGGAGCTGTAATGGAGACTCAAATGCAGCTAGATTTAATCACTGAGATCAAATGACCCTTCTTCATCGTAACCCAGGATGTGTGTGTGTGTGTGCGTGTGTGCGCGCGTGCATGCATGCGTGTGTGTGTGTGTGTGCGCGCGTGCATGCATGCGTGTGTGTGTGTGTGTGCGTGCGCGCGCATGTGTGTGCGTGCGTGCGTGCGTGCGTGCGTGTGTGTGTGTGTGTGTGTGTGTGTGTGTGTGTGTGTGTGTGTGTGTGTGTGATTGCACAAAGGTTCGGTGGCAGCTCCATAAGTAGAATCGCATTGAGCACGTGCTTAAGCTCATCAACAGCCTCATTTTCAAAAGAGCTGATTTTCTCTGTCACAAGATTAAAATCACAAGACAACACACACACACACACACACACACACACACACACACACACACACACTAAGTAACTCCTTTGTATAAAAATGTGAAAACAGTTCATCCACATTGTGAAATTTTCCCTTTTACTTAAAGTTTTGCACCATTTTTTTCTTGTGTCTCTTCGTGTTGTCTCCTAGGTGCGTAAGATCATCCGAGTGTGTAAAGGCATCTTAGAGTATCTGACAGTAGCTGAGGTGGTGGAAACCATGGAGGACCTCATCACGTACACCAAGAACCTCGGACCAGGTCAGCAGGCACGTTTTCTTCAAGACCAAACAAAACAAAACCCTCTTTCTTTCTGTTACGATTGGAGTTAAATTTAACTCTGCTTGACCAAAAATAAGAATCACAAGATCCAAGTTTTAAAAATAACCCTTCTAACTTTTCTTTCATGTGAAATTATAACATTCAATGTCAGACCTTTTTTTTTAATAAAAGCATCACGGATTAGCATTTAGTCTTTAGGTTAAGGCTCCATCTGTTATGACACAGAAACAAATTAACCACTGACTGCTTCTTTGACTCTGAGATGCTGTGAGTGAGTCTTCAGCTGGCAGTAGGACCAGTAAACAGTCTATTTATCATCAGAGGCATCGGGTTAATTACATTTTCAGAGCTCTGTGACTTAATAAGCCGCTCTGACGCAAAGGTTTCCTGCAGTCCTTGTAGAGCTCAGTAGTTCACGGAGCAACAATGCCCTAAATATGCTGGTAAATGCACGTAGTCACAGCCAGGTCAGAACCAAAGTCACTTCAATTTCTTGCACTTTGTCTTATTTGTCTCCATTTTCTCCAGGGATGACCAAAATGTCAAAGATGATTGAGGAGAGGCAGCAGGAGTTGACGCACCAGGAGCACAGACAGATGCTCATCAACTCCATGAACACGGTCAAAGAGCTACTGCCTGTCCTCATCTCAGGTACATAAGTGAGAATTTGTGTGGGCAAAGATGAGTGTAGGTCATTGAGCATCCAGCGGTTGCTATGGTTACACTGATAATAATTAGCTGCCGGGCATGTGAGACTAACAGTATAGTGTCCACTTGCAGCTCTGCACCAGTTGAGCTTTAGCTTTGAGAAGCTGTGCATTTAAACATACAAACATGTAAAAGTTTTTTAGTTTCCCCATAAAAAAATATATTTTTCTAACAAGGAGTCACACGTTCATTAAATCTTTTAAATTAGATTTAATAAATATGGTTTCTTTGTGCTTTAGCTGCAATTCAACAGATGAACAAATAAGTTTGAACAAGCAGGGGAGCTTCTAGAATAATATTAGAAGGGGGCCAGGCTGGGCCCCCCGACTAACATTAGAGGTGGTGGGGTCCGGGCTCTGTTAATGAGGCACATTTATCAATCAATCAATCAATCAATCAATCAATCAATCAATCAATCAACCAATCAATCGATCAATCAATCAATCAATCAATCAATCCAGTTTTATTTATATAGCGCTTTCCACCACCCTCAAAATGGGCCCAAGGTGCTGGACAAGAAAAGTAACAAAGACAAAAGTAGCAAGTCATAAAAACATCAAAAACAAAATAAGAACATAAACATTTGTGAGAACAATAAAACGCCAATGAGATAAAATTTAGATAAAAGAAATTTTAAATTAATTAGTTTGCAGAAAGCTAAGAACAAAAAATGTAAACCAGAAACTAAAAGCTTTAGGAGAAAGCCATCCTATAAAAATTAGTCTTCAACCTGCTCTTAAAGTCTGCCAGTGATGGGGACTGTTTGGTTGTGAGTGGGAGCTGGTTCCAGAGAGAGGGTGCAAGGACTTGAAAAGACCGATCACCACGAGTCTTCGGGTGCGAGGGATGATAAGCAATTTCTGGTCAGCCGACCGTAATGAGCTTGAGGGAACTTGCTTATGGTCAGGGTGGCAATGGTCCACCCTGGACTCCCACTCTTAGAACCACTCCTGTGTTCAGAAAAATTTAGATATGATATGAAATTTTTGGGCCGATATCAATACCACCATTATGGCCGATAATCGATATTTGCCGATACCGATATACTGACATTAATGCTTCTAAAATCAGCAGATTTTGTATAGAATGAAAATTATTAAAGCTGAATTTACATTATTATGTACACACACCACATACATTTATGCTTCTGAGATTATTACAATCACTGTCACATGACTAAACAAACACACTTCACCCCCCTTACCCTCTGAAACAAATGGAAACAAGATGGAAAAAATATCGGCTGTTAATAATCGGCCCAGGTTTTTTTATCGGACCGATACGATATGTCAAAAAATGACTAACATCTACTGATATTGATGCCAATGTATTGTGCATCCCTAATGCAAAGTAACAAATTCATTTCTGAAATCTGCTGAATTAAATTTTATTTATTCCTTACAGTTGTTGCAGAATTCCCTCTGCTCAAACATGGCCTAAAGAGGACAGCATTTATGTTTTAAGAGTGTTTAATGAATAGTTCCATCTTCTGTGAGACCGTAACTGTAATCAGACAAATTTCTGCCCACAGCTATAAAGATTTTTGTTGCAACAAAGAGCAGCCGAGGAGCCGGTGTCGAGGAGGCAGAGAGGAACCGAAAGTTCACCTTTGAAAAGATGAGCGCTGAAATGCACGAGATCATTAGAGTCTTACAGCTCACCACATGGGATGAAGATACTTGGGCCAATAAGGTAAAACACCAGCTGTGCAGAAAGATCCAGAGTGGGTTTGGTGAAAACTGAAAAAACTTTGTTTCCTTTAGTTTCACCTTTTCACACACAAACGGCAGACACAGACTCTCCCACCGAGCTCTGAAAAGTTCACTCTGTTTTCTCTCCCTTTTGCTTTTGATCGGCATTATAACTCCAGGTTTTTCTTTTCCCTTCTTTTTCTTTACCTTCCTCCTCCATTCTTTTCCTCCCTGTAGAAGGTAAGCCTGTTTCTCTCCCCTCTGTAGTTGCCAGCATGCCAGCTTGTATGCGTGGTTGATTAGGAAAAACGTCCTCATACTTACATCCTGTGTATCCGTCTCTCAGGTCTCCAGCTGTAAGTGTGTGGTGTGTTGTAGTCTGTTAGCTGATGCGACGATGTGCCACGCACATCCTTCATCACTACTGTGTTTAGTTTTATGTGCATCTATTCGTCTCTAGGTGCTCGTTTGAGTGAAATGGCCTGAAAGAGATGGCGGGATGATTTGGAAGTTTTTTGTGAAGCTCACTGTGCAACAGAGCTAGCAGTGGAATAAATAACATCCTGTTTATGAGCTGAATATCTGTTTTTGGGAGCTCAGATTTAGATGTCAGTTTAAACTGCAGACAGACAGATGATTTATTTTAAGGTTAAGATCAGCTCCACTTGCCTAACCTGTAACGCTGCATGTTTCTCTGCACACAGCTTCCTTAGATATTGATGGGTGTGTGGGTGTGTGGGTGTGCGTGCGTATGTGTGTGCTGTACAAATGCTGCATAGTCATTATGTGAGCTGTGATAAGCACTTACTGTCAGTGTGAGAGGGAACCCATAATATAGGCTGTATTGAACGATTCCACTTAAGCGGCTGACTTTCCTCTCAGCTGGACAATGTTGGGGATTTTTTTGTTTTTATAAGGACTCTAATAAATATTTAACTGCCTCATTTTTATTCTCAGTTCCTCATTTTCCCTTAAGTTTACAATGCAATTTTTTTCTGTTGTTGCTTTTCCTTTTCAGCCTTACACACACTTATTGAACGGTCAAGTGCCACAACTTCAGATACCAGGTGTTGCTCACTTCATCATAGTCTTTGATCCCTGGTTGTTGCTTGAACTTTGCTGAGATTTAGCGATAGTTTACACCTAGGTGGTGGACGGGGTGCCGCCCTCGTGCATTTTTCATCCAGAAAGTCTGGGTGGAGTAAGCACAAGCATCAAATACGTAGATGTGACGTGGACTGGCGCTGCCTTTTGGAGCTGCCGTAGTGGCTGGCCGCCATCTTGAATGGATCTCCATTCGCCACCATTGGATACTATGGAATGTGTTTACCAAACTAAAAATACACATTTATAATGCTTTTTCAAAAAATCAGACATGTACTACATGATAGTTAAAATATCCTGTTGATTCAATAAAATATATAATAAATGAGAATAGTTTCAATATGGCATTGCAACATTGCAGGTAGGCTAGAAAAGTCAATAGTAATCACACGTAATCTGTTTTCAATAGTATGCCATTTGTTACAACCGTAGACTGCCTTAAAAACAGGCATAATGCTCATTCTGCATTGACTCCAGTTGGGTTTGAAGAGTGAGGAACCCATCTATCATGGCAGTGACTCGTTACGCTCTCCAGTGCCCAGCGCGTGTCTATGTATTCATGTCTATGGTTGTAAGACTCTGGTGGGGGGTGATTTGCTCTTTAAATCAGAAATTAAGAGTTTTTTCTCAGAGGGCACCACCTAGCCCTCTGATGCATAGTGGTCACTGCAGTGGACAGCTTCTAGAACGTGCTTATCTCTTTAATGCATTGGTTTCTATGGTGGAATTGCATATTAGCTTCTAGAGTGCTCTCTACTGCCATACTCCATTGAGGTCAATTCAGTGTTCAGTCAGTGCATCTGCAAGTAAATTTCCTCTGAATCCAAGATGGCGGAGAAACTGCCACCCCTACCAACCAGTGCTGGAATATCCTGTCAATCCTTCTATTCTGGAAGAGCCCACCAGGTTAAAAAATATGATGATATGCAGTAACATCTAGGGAAGGATATTATCTATTTGGAATAAGAAATTTTTATTTCTAATTTGTAGAAAACTACAATTAACCATGTGTCCAATGAAGTGGACGTCATGCATTACCCAGTATATTTTTTAACAAAAGTAATAAATTGCTTCACTCTTTCTTGGATCTGTTTTGGTTATAAGTAAGACTATAATTGTTACATTTATAAGCTACTCATTAAAAATATATATTTTTGTGTAGATTAGCTGTAGTTTGAGTTACTACAATAATTATTTTTATCATATTTTGTAGACTTCAAATGCAGCAAAGAATAAGGCAGCATACAGAATAGTCCAGGAAATTCCCTCCAGCTCCAGTGATGATGATTTCAGTGATAAGTCCAGTGATGATGAGTGGCTGCCAGAGAAGAACAGAGACATAGGAACTACGGATGATGAAGACACAGCCAGACAGGATACACAAAGTGAGAGTGATGAGGGGCAGGATGAAGAGGACGGTCAGCATGATCAGGGAGCTGTGGGAGATGGGCACATGGCACCTGACCATACTCAAGCCCGCACAATTATTTGGAAAGTCCAAGGCAATGTCTTTGATGGAGACTTGCCTTGTTTCCTAGGAGAGTGGAATTTCAATGTGGAGGGAAAGGATCCCATTGATTTCTTCAGACATCTGTTTCCAGAAGATCTCATTGATAATATAACATACAACACCAACTTGTATGCTCTTCAGAAAGGGAAAGAAAATCTGTCAGTAACAGGAGAAGAGATGCAGGTATTCTTAGGGATCAACCTGATCATGGGATACATTCGGTATTCAAGGACACGAATGTACTGGTCTAGTGAGGACAGTCTTCGTCTTGGAATAATTGCTAATGCCATGTCTGTAAACAGATATGAGCAAATCCTGAGATACCTGCACTTTGTGGATAACTTGACTTACTAGCCAGCAAACACAGATAGGCTCTTCAAAACAAGACCAATCCTATGTGCACGTAGCAGACATTTAAGGCAGCAGCAGACCCTGAGGAATTTCAGTCAGTTGATGAGCAGATAATTCCTTTTAAAGGCCTTCTGTCCATCAAGCAATACATATCAAAGAAGCCCAAACCTTGGGGAGTGAAGGTATGGGTGAGAGCAGGAACCTCAGGCTATATGAATAGATTTGAAGTGTACCGAGGTTCTGCAAGTAGTGGTCGCATAAGTGAATTGGGAATGGCTGGAGATGTGGTGATGCGTCTTTGTGAAGACATAAAGCACAAAAATCACAAGTTTCTTTTGATAACTTCTTCTGCAGCATTCCACTCACCGAGGCCTTAAAAGACCAAGGCATCTATGGCACAGGCACAGGCAGAGCAAACAGGCTGAAGGGAGCAGATCACAAACTCAAGAGTGAAAAACAACCGAAGGAACTGGGCAGAGGAGCTTGTTCTGTTGTCAGCAATACTGCAAACATCACTGTCACACGTTGGCTCGACAGTTCTGTCATTCACATGGTCTGTTGCCAACAGATGGGTCAAGAAGGAAAAAAAGATGATGATGGTCCAAAAGCCCTTCTCTGTGGCCCTTTACAATCAACACATGGGTGGGGTTGATCTTGTTGACCAATGTCTGGCAATGTACCCCCACAGACGTCGAAACAAGAGATGGTACATCCGGGTGGGTTTTTTTTTTTTTTTTCATTTTTTTGTTGTGACCATTGTAATCGCCTGGCGTCTCTACCAAATGTCTGGTTTGGAAGAAATGAGACTCCTCCTCTTCAAAGCATCTGTGGCTTGTGCACTGATAAATAGTGGCACCCTCCAGCGATTCAAAAGAGGAAGACCCAGTGGGACCCCACAACCCGTAAAACGGAGAGCAGTCACCAAAGTAGCACGTGAGGTCAGGTTCGCCACAGGATATCACTGGCTCCTACTGACCGAGGTGAAAAATGCAAACAGATGCTATGATGCTGCGTGCACACGGAAGACCAAATACATCTGCATGCAATGCTCCGTGCCATTGTGCCCTGGATGCTTTGCAAACTTTCACACAGCCTAGGTGTGATGAACATGTTAGTGTTCGTAGATACAGAGACTAAGTTGCCAGTTTGTCTCTCTTCTAACATACTAATGTAAGGAGTTGGTAATACTGTCCTGCATCGTTATAGAGTTGTGTGGACTCTAAAAAGTTTCTCCTGTTGGAGATCGTTTGGTATATTCAGATGTAGGATTCACAGCTAGGACTGTTCATTTGTTTTGTTAGTTACGCCTAAACATTGGGGCTGTATAGAGATGAAAGCTCAAAATAATGCAGAAATGTTTTTCAAAGCATACAAGCAAACAAGTGTTTGTATATTTACAATAGAACACAAGGTACATCATTTTTACAGTAAGTACAGTGTTTAATGTTGAGTGCTCAGGCGCATGTGGTACACTGGATTGGACATGTCTATAACTTCATAAAAAAAACATTTTTTTTGGAAAATAACTGTTGAACCTTTTTTTTCATGTCCTGAGAAGAATAAAAGCACTTCAGAATAAAATCTTCACCAAGGCTTTCATAATTCATGCATCAGAGGGCTAGAGTCCCTCTCGGCTTCTGTGAGACAGCTGTAAGCACCGGCTCCTTCATGAACGAGCACCTCCAGCTGACCAACAGCTAAAACACATAATTTTACAATTATCGTTCCAACATTTTGTATTTGCTCATGCATTCCTAAACATTTGTCTATAAGAAATCTTGTCAACTCTGCATCCAAGTTGAATCCGCAGAGATTTTTCCGAGGTAAATTCTGTCTTTGAGGTGCTTTTGGGTAAATTTACTCCGTGGGCTGTTTCTTTACTTCTGTCTGTCTTCGAGTAGAAGCAAGCAGTCATGAAATCCATTTTGTTTGTGGCTGCGGAGGTGGTTGTAGCTGCTCTATGAGTCGTGGTGTCTGCACATCTTAGTAAACAGCTTGAAACCACTACTCTTTCTCGGTAGCCTAGTGGTCACATGTCCGTCCTGGGACCGGGAAATCGGGGTTCAAATCCGGTCGGGTTATACCAAAGACTTTAAAAATGGGATCCAATGCCTCCCTGCTTGACACTCAGCTTTAAGGGGTTGGATTGGGGGGTTAAACCACCAAATAGTTCCCTAGCACAGCCACTGCTGCAGCTCAGCATTCTCCACGGGGGTGGGTCAAATGCAGAGATGTAATTTCATCGGTGTCTCATGATGTCTAATGGGACTTTAAAGTGCATGGGCACGCTCTGTGATTGACATCTGCACCAGTGGATGTTGAATGCTATTGGCTAATGCTGTGTGGTGGTCAACTAAACTTGCATGGGGCTCTATGGGACGATGGCGAGCTCTGCAAAAGAATGACATATTGCCTATTATATCACATTACGGGGTACGACTATCCTTTTTTCACGGATTTCCAAGAAAAACCAAACCCAAGAAAAATGGGTTTGAACCGTCACCTTATCGTGGTGGAGGAGTTTGAGTGCCCTAATGATCCTAGGAGCTATGTTGTCTGGGGCACTTAGTGCCCCTGGTAGGGTCTCCCATGACAAATTGGTCTTAGGTGAAGGGTGAGACAAAGAACGGTTCGAAGGATCTTTCATGGCGGTTAAAACGAAGAGTCGGAGTACCCGGCCCGAAGGGTTACCGGGGTCCCACCCTGGAGCCAGGCCTGGGGTTGGGGCCCGTGAGCGAGCGCCTGGTGGCCGGGCTTTCGCCCATGGGGCCCGGCCGGGCCCAGCCCGAACCGGATACATGGGCTCGTCCAACTGTGGACCCACCACCCGCAGGAGGAACATGAAGGGTCCGGTGCAATGTGAATCGGGTGGCAGACCAAGGCGGGAGCCTTGGCGGTCCAATCCCCGGACAAGAAAACTAGTTTTTGGGACATGGAACGTCACCTCGCTGGCGGGGAAGGAGCCGGAGCTTGTGGCAGAGGTTGAGCGGTACCGGCTAGATATAGTTGGACTCACCTCGACACATTGCATTGGCTCTGGAACCCGAGACCTGGAGAGGGGTTGGACACTCTACTTTGCTGGAGTTGCTCCGGGTGAGAGGCGGAGGGCTGGGGTTGGCTTTTTGTTAGCCCCTAGACTCTCTGCCTGTGTGTTGGGGTTTACCCCGGGGGAAGAGAGGGTAGCTTCCTTACGCCTTCGGGTCAGGGAACGGGTCCTGACTGTTTTTTGTGCTTATGGGCCAAATATCAGTTCAGAGTACCCACCCTTTTTGGAGTCCCTGGGACGAGTGCTAGATAGTGCTCCATCAGGGGACTCCATTGTCCTGCTGGGGGACTTCAATGCTCACGTGGGCAATGACAGCTTGACCTGGAGGGGTGTGATTGGGAGGAACGGCCCACCTAATCTGAACTCGAGCGGTGTTTTGTTATTGGACTTCTGTGCAAGCCGCAGTTTGGCCATAACGAACACCATGTTCGAACATAAGGATGCCCACCGGTACACTTGGTACCAGGGCAGCCTAGGTCACAGGTCGATGATAGATTTTGTAGTCGTATCATCTGACCTGCGGCCGTATGTTTTGGACACCCAAGTGAAGAGAGGGGCGGAGCTGTCAACTGATCACCACCTGGTGGTGAGTTGGATCAGATGGCAAGGGAACATGCCGCGTAGACCTGGCAGACCCAAACGCATAGTGAGGGTCTGCTGGGAACGCCTGGCAGAAGAACCTGTCAAGACGGTCTTCAACTCCCACCTCCGGCAGAGCTTTGACCACGTCCCGAGAGCAGTGGGGGACATTGAGTCCGAGTGGGCCTTGTTCCACTCTGCGATTGTCGAGGCGGCTGTTGCTAGCTGTGGTCGTAAGGTGGCCGGTGCCAGTCGTGGTGGCAACCCCCGTACCCGCTGGTGGACACCAGAGGTTCGGGGAGCCGTCAAGCTGAAGAAGGAGGCCTACAGGGCGTGGCTGGGCAGTGGGTCTCCGGAGGCAGCAGACAGGTACCGGATAGCCAAGCGGGGTGCAGCAGTGGCAGTTGCCGAGGCAAAATCTCGGGCGTGGGAGGAGTTTGGTGAGGCCATGGAGAAAGACTATCGATCGGCTCCAAAGAGGTTCTGGCAAACTGTCCAGCAACTCGCTCACACTGTTTACAGTGGGGATGGGGAGCTGCTGACGTCAACTGAGGCTATAGTCGGACGGTGGAAGGAATACTTTGAGGAGCTCCTCAATCCCACCAATGCGCATTCCGAGGAGGAACCAGAGCTGGGAGGCCTGGGGATGGACTGTCCGATCTCGGGGGCAGAAGTTGCTGAGGTAGTCAAACAACTACACAGCGGCGGAGCCCCGGGGGCGGATGAGGTTCGTCCTGGGTATCTCAAGGCTATGGATGTTGTAGGGCTGTCATGGTTGACACGTCTCTACAACATTGCGTGGTCATCGGAGGCAGTTCCTAGGGAGTGGCAGACTGGGGTGGTGGTCCCCATCTTTAAGAAGGGTGACCTGAGGGTGTGTTCCAACTATAGGGGGATCACACTCCTCAGCCTCCCTGGAAAGGTCTACTCCAAGGTACTGGAGAGGAGGGTCCGATCGATAGTTGAATCTCAGATAGAGGAGGAGCAATGTGGTTTTCGTCCTGGCCGTGGAACTGTGGACCAGCTCTATACCCTTGCAAGGGTGATGGAGGGAGCATGGGAGTTTGCCCGACCAATCCACATGTGCTTTGTGGATTTGGAGAAGGCTTATGACCGTGTCCCCAGGGGCACCCAGTGGGGGACGCTCCAGGAGTATGGGGTGGGTGGCTTTCTGTTAAGGGCCATTCAGTCCCTTTACCAGAGGAGCGTGAGTTTGGTCCGCATAGCCGGTAGTAATTCGGACCTGTTCCCAGTGAGGGTTGGACTCCGCCAGGGCTGCCCTTTGTCACCGGTTCTGTTCATCACTTTTATGGACAGAATTTCTAGACGCAGCCGTGGTGTGGAGTGTGTCGAGTTTGGTGGCAGGAGAATCTCGTCTCTGCTTTTTGCGGATGATGTGGTCCTCCTAGCTTCATTCAGCTCTGACCTTCAGCTCTGGCTGGGTAGGTTCGCGGCCGAATGTGAAGCGGCTGGGATGAGGATCAGCACCTCCAAATCTGAGACCATGGTTCTCGACCGGAAAAGGGTGGCTTGCCACCTCTGGGTCGGGGGAGAGGTCCTACCTCAAGTGGAGGAGTTTAAGTATCTCGGGGTCTTGTTCACGAGTGAGGGTAGGAGGGATCGGGAGATCGACAGGCGGATTGGTTCGGCGTCTGCAGTGATGCGGACGCTGAGCCGATCTGTCGTGGGGAAGAGGGAGCTGAGCCAGAAAGCCAGGCTCTCAATTTACCGGTCGATCTACGTCCCAATCCTCACCTATGGTCATGAGCTTTGGGTAATGACCGAAAGAACGAGATCGCGGATACAAGCGGCCGAAATGAGTTTCCTCCGTAGGGTGGCCGGGCTCAGCCTTAGAGATAGGGTGAGGAGCTCGGACATTCGGGAGGGACTCGGAGTAGAACCGCTGCTCCTCCGGATCGAAAGGAGCCAGTTGAGGTGGTTTGGGCATCTGGTCAGGATGCCTCCTGGACGCCTCCCCGGGGAGGTGTTTCGGGCATGTCCTGCCGGCAGAAGGCCCCCGGGTCGACCCAGGACACGGAGAGGTTACATCTCCAATCTGGTCCGGGAACGCCTTGGGGTCCTGCCGGAGGAGCTGGTGGACAAGGCCGGGGAGAGGACGGCCTGGAGCTCCCTAGTTGGGTTGCTGCCCCCGCGACCCGGACCCGGATAAGCGGAGGAAGACGAGACGAGACGAGACGACAATAATATTAATTTTATAACATTTCAGCAGTGCTTTAGCAGAAGTTTTGAATGAGCACAGAATCTTCTGAAAACAGTTTTTCGTTAAGAGACAAAACGTAACTCATGGTTCATAATTTAACAGAAAATGAAATGCTCCGCTGCTAAAAGAGGCTAAACTTTTTCTATTTTCTCATCATTTCAGGATATGGAGGCTTTGAAGAGATCTTTGGCTTTGATTGAGTCGAAGATGGCACAGGCTAAAAGCTGGCTGAAAGACCCTCATGGACAGCCAGGTAGCTTTCTGTCCCCAGAAAGCTCTTTGTGTTTTTCCATGTTTACATCATGCTTGTAGCGTGTTGTCCTCTAGGAGACCCTGGTGAGGTGGCGCTGCGTGTGATCCTGGATGAAGCTGGTAAGGTGGGAGAGCTGTGTGCTGGGAAAGAGAGGAAAGACATACTGGCAACCACTAAGGCTCTGGGACAAATGTCAGACCAAATTGCAGATTTACGAGTCAGGTAGTGTGTTTGCACTTTTGCCTTCATTGCCATGTTGATTTTACTTCAGCTGATTACGTTTACTGTTTCTGACAGAGGCCAGGGCCCAACACCGGGATGTGTGCAGCGAGCGGGCCAGTGCTCACAGGGCTTAGATTTGCTTTTTGGCAAAGTGGACAGCGCCGCACGCAGACTGGAAGCTCTAATCAATGCCAAGCAGGCCATTGCTAGAAGACTGGATGCTGCACAGGTCAGAGAAAAATAATGTACAGAAAAGAAAGAAAGGAAAAAGAAAGAAAATGATCTTTTATATAGCGCCTCTCAAGATAAAAATCATAAGGTGCTTCACAAAAACAAAAAAAAAGTAAGTTTCAAAGGATTTCAAAAATGAATAAAATATGTTTAAAAGGAGAAAAGAAAAAATGGCAGGAAAGGAAGAGAGAAAATGAACAGGAAAGAGAGAAATTAATGGATCCCAGGAAAGGCGGAATAAGAACAGAAGAAAGAGAGGGTGGTGATGAAGGTCACGCAAAAGCCAGCGTGAAAAGGTGAGTCTTCAGCTGCTTTTTAAAGGAGACCACTGAGTCCACTGATCTCAGGCTCAGGGAGAGGGAGTTCCAGAGTCTGGGATTCACAGCAGCAAAAGATCTGTCACCTTTGGTCTTTAAAGACCAGGAAGGTGACCTGGTCAGAACCTTTGGTGACCTTGAAGTTGAAGGTGACCTTTGGTCAGGAGTAATCCATGAATCACACCATCTAGGTCTGTTATACAATTCTCCTTTTTGTTCAGTTAAAAAGAAAAGCGTATTATTACTCAGAGGTAAATTTGCTGTTTAAAAACCTTTAGGCCTGGCTGGCCGATCCTAACGGTGGTGCTGAGGGAGAGGAGAACATCAGAGCACTTCTAGCAGAGGCTAAACGCATCGCCGATCTTTGTGAAGACCCCAAAGAGAGGGATGACATCCTTCGGTCCATAAACGAGATTGCAGGACTTGCCGCCCGGCTTGTGGAGCTACGCAAACAGTAAGCTTCTTCTCTGATGCTCATGTCAACAACTAAACACTGAATATGTCATTCTTGGGCCCTTTTCTTTTAGGCTCAGGCTTCATCCACAAGCCACCAATACGTGGCTTTTTATGCCTGTTTGGAAAATATGTTGCTGTTCAATAACCTTGGGCATTACTCCTACGATTAGGTTTCTAGATGTTCCAGTGTGGTTTGCTGGGGTTGGGTATGAGATTGGTAAAAAAATAAATAAATAAATAAATAAAAATAAGCACAGAAATAAAACTGGGAATAATTTTGAGGGAAGTACTACGTAATTAACCACCTTACAAGATGAGGAAAAAATATCTGTGTCTGCACGAGGGAAGGGATTATCAAATATTCTCTAATCTGGAACAGACAGTGCAATATTTAACACAGAGATATTTTACTTTGTGTGACTCTATAAGAACTGGCTGTACAAGGTCACAAAACACAAGTATAGACGTATTTGATTTTTTAACATAAAGTCATAATTGTGTTTTTTAAATGGGGATGATTATAACATTTCTAAAACAGGTTTTGAACAGGAGCTTTGTTCTCAGCCTTCAAGGATGGTATTTCACTTTTAAAGTGTCATCTAACACGGCTGCAGCGAGACATTAACCAGGTGACGGGTCTTTACTAGCAGTAGCTCAGGAGGTAGAGCGGCTTGTCCCGGCTCCTACCAGAGGATGCTGCTGTTGTGTCATTGGGCGAGACACTTGCCTGCTGATGGTGCATGGTCGGAGGGACCGGTGGTGCCTGTGTACAGCAGGCCTCGCCTCTCTCAGTGCGCCTCACGGCAGCTGTAGCTACATTGTAGCTCATCATCACCAGTGTGTGAATGTGTGTGTGAATGAGTGGATGATTGGTTGTGTTGTGAAGCGCCTTGGGGGATTGTAGGACCCTAAGAAGGCGCTATGCAAATACAGGCCATTTACTACATTACCATCATTGCTTTTTGCCTTTTCCTTTCCACCACCTTTTGTTTCCGTCTCAGGGGTAAAGGTGACAGCCCAGAGGCCCGCGCACTTGCAAAGCAGATTGGAGCGGCGCTACTGAACCTACAGTCCAAAACCAACCGGGCTGTGGCCAACATGAGACCCGCAAAGCCTGCTGTCACTTTGGAGGGCAAGATGGAGCAGGCCCTCCGCTGGGTGAACAACCCCGGGGTGGATGATAGAGGCGTAGGTAGGCGAAGAACCATCTTTTTAGGTGATCCTGAGAGAGATGGAAGCTGTTAAAACTTTACATTTAGCTGATGAATGACAAAGTATCCCATTCAGAAAATGATCAATGACTGCGGTTTCCACAAAACCCCCGGCGATGAATCTCGTGCATGAATCACTGAGCAGCTCAGTGAAAGCTTTGGTTTCATGCCTTGCTGTTTTTGTTTCCTCTCTTCTCTCATGCTTCCACATGGGAGCAGAGTGTGAGAGGCTACAGTGGATCACAGGTACCTGCTTACTATGAGCCATCTTAAAAGACATAACCTAAAGCTATTGCTCACAAAATGTCCTTACTGGAAAATTATGCACCTTATTCCTGGACCTTCTCATGTGAAAACGATGATGCAAGCAACATCCGGTGAGATACCGGAAGTAGCACAAAGCTATTGGTTTTGCACGATGAGGTTTGTTTCTCGGTAGCTAAAATGCTACAGTACGTTACCTTTGGCCTGATTGTCACATGATCCTCTATTGCAGTAGGGGAATTGTAACGGCATCCGTCAGCTGTGACAACTGATGTTCCCACATAGTTCACGTCTCTAAAAAGACCATAAAAAATGGATTGGTGCCAGCGGATCGTATCATCCATCTTTGGTAGCAATGTAAATATATACGCTGGACCGGAGGTAAGTCACATTTTCACGCAGAAGGATCTTGGGGGGCTGGGAATAAGGTGGATAAGAACAGAATGCAGCAATTCCCCAATTCTGAAGAAAAAATCTTCAGTCAGCAAAGTTTCAGTTATTAGATGTTGTCTGAAATGTAATTCTTGCAGGTCAGGCGGCAATCAGAGGGATGGTTGGCGAGGGGAAGAGGTTGGCAGGAGGCTTGTTAGGCCCGTACCGACAGGATATGATTGGTCGTTGTGACCGGACAGAAGCACTGATGACGTCTTTGGCGGACATGGCCAACAGGGGAGAAGCTGAGGCTCCTCACGCACGAGCCACAGCTGCACAACTGCAGGACACCCTCAAGGTATCTCAGTACATCAGACACATACAGTATAAAGTTGTCTGGCTATGAAGGGCGCATAAACCTTCAGTTTGATGAAAAATCAACTTTAGATGGTTTTTGTAAAAGGCATGGCCACATAGCGCCACCTAGTGGACAGAATCAGCCCTCTCTGCTTGTCCCAGGACCTAAGGCAGCACATGCAGGAAGTGATGACCCAGGAGGTGTCAGATGTTTTCAGCGACACCACCACACCGATCAAGCTGCTGGCAGTTGCTGCAACTGCTCCTCCTGATGCCCCCAACCGAGAGGAGGTCTGCATTATAAAATAAAATAAAAAAAACTCCCAACTACTCCTGAAATCTAAAGCATTTATTATCACTTTGATAAACTGACATAAATGTTTGACTAAGGTCTTCGAGGAGCGAGCAGGAAACTTTGAGACCCACGCAGGTCGGCTGGGTGCGACCGCTGAGAAAGCCGCTGCCGTGGGAACGGCCAACAAAAGCACAGTGGAGGGCATCCATGCTGCTGTGAAACATGCCAGGGAGCTAACACCACAGGTGCTCCTGTTTGCTTTGGTCCACCTGATTTGCATGATGACATGAAGCATGTGGATGTCACACTGAACGCGAGTGTGTACATCCAGGTGACCTCCGCAGCTCGGATCCTGCTGAAGAATCCCGGTAACAAAGCAGCATACGAGCACTTTGACACCATGAAGAACCAGTGGATTGACAACGTGGAAAGAATGACTGGTGATGGTTTTCTAAAAGTTATAAGCAACGAACACTTTTATTTCACTGAGGCACTCAAAGGGATTCACGTGTGTTTCATGTGTGCACCTTCAGGTCTGGTTGATGAAGCCATCGACACCAAATCTCTTTTAGATGCTTCCGAAGAGGCTATAAAGAAGGACATTGATAAGTGTCGAGTTGCCATGGCAAATGTTCAGCCCCAAATGCTAGTTGCTGGGGCAACAAGCATAGCAAGGCGAGCTAACCGGGTCCTGTTGGTGGCTAAGAAGGAAGTTGAGAACTCCGAAGACCCCCGGTTCAGAGACACAGTGAAGCATGCCTCAGACATCCTCTCTCACACCATCTCACCCATGGTGATGGATGCCAAGGCAGTGGCTGGGAACATCCAGGATAAAGGTATACAGGTTACTGTAATGATTAACCTTTATGTTGTACCTTATCTTGTGGTATTATTAACTGTTTTGCCTACAGCTCTACAGAAAGCTTATCTTGACTCGTGTTTGAGGATCCTGGCTGCCGTGGGAAAAGTTAGAGAAGCCTTTCAACCTCAGGAACCAGACTTCCCTCCTCCTCCGCCTGACTTGGACCAACTCCACGTAAGCACACTTAATACGAATTACACCTACACATTTCAGATAAATCTGGTTAGATGAGCATTAGAAGCTCAAAATCCCCAGCGTTTTCAATTAAATTTAGAGGTGGGACTCGATTAAAAATATTTATCTGATTAATCATAGGCTTTGTATTTAATTAATCACAATTAATCACATTTTAAATATTCAAGAAAAATCGCCCATAAATGAATTTTGTTTTTGTTTTAATAATCTTAGTAAGACACGGAATCAAACAATAGACATGGACATTATTATTGTAAATTTAAGCTCTTTTAATTTCTGAAAAAAAGCTTTTAATTTATATTTCAAGTCAAACAGTTAAAAAATAAAATAAAATAAAATAAAATAAATAAATAAATAAAAAAAATATATATATATTTATTTATTTTTATATATGGGAAAGATCTAAAGTTTAAGTGCTATTTTGAGTAAATTTTGATAATGGAATTACCTTTAAATAATAATAATAATAATAATAATAATAATAATAATAATAATAATAATAATAATAATAATAACAAAACAAATACATTGTTCATGAAAACCTTTGAGCAGTGCCTTCCAAACAGGCAGACATGGGACATGGGATTGTCTCACATGAAAGATTTTTGAACCACGCTGGACAAAGCAGGCGCTTCGGATTTGTATCTACAGTATTTAACAGTGGGTTTTGCAGTGACCTCTGATATTTAAGTATTATTCATATTTTAAGTGCAACAATAATCTGTTGAAATAATTCAATAACAAAAATTTATGAGATTTTCTAACAATAGGAATTTAGCTCACCTTGCATTTGAACAGCATCTATAAAGCCTCCCGTGAGGAGATCAATACAGAAAACGTTGCCTGCTGCGCTCAGCAGAGATCAGAGACATCTCTGATGGATCATTGAAAAAAAATGTCCATGTCACAGACTCCATGCAGATTGTCAGCAGACAGTCAGCAGTTTGTGGTTTTCAGGAGGTTTTTTATTTTTATGAGTTAGGAGAAGAGGCTGAGGTGTTTTCTCAAACACTGTATCCGTCCAAGCAATATGCTTTCTTTAAATTCTCCTTTAGGTGAGTATAGCTCTGTTTTGTGCATTCATGTAATCGGTGCACCAGAAAATGATGCAATGGCAAACGTTCTGCTTTGCTTGAATGCACTATTTCTTCTAATCAGTTAATCGTAATAATGCATTAAATCGTCACTCCTAATTAACCCTCTCAGGCTCAAAATAAGTTTTGATAAAAGGACGAACAACTAAGTCTTTCAGGGGTACTTCTGAGTTAAAAAATGCTCATGAAATACATATGTGGAGTAACCAGGTAGGTAGGTTTTAACGTTGCAAATCTGCAACGCCCGCCTCCAGAGGGTTAAAATGTAAATATCTGTTAACATCAAACTGAAGATGGGTTGACTAAGCTGTTGGATTTGAAATAAATCAAGTAAAACAATGAGTTTATCTACTTCAGATTAGTGGCGGTTTTACCATTAGGCATAGGTCGGCAGCTGCCTGGGGCCCCCTTATGTTGGGGGGGGGGGCCCTAGCACTTACCGCTGGCACCCCTCTATTAGTCCCACAATGGACTATTCCTTTCAGATGCCGATGCACGAACAGAAGGTGATTGGTAGTCATTCCACTCCAATCCAGTTGGTGGGAAGCACCAAATTAATGTTTGCCAAGTGCCATAAGACCACAAATAAGAATATGAAGAGAAAGCAGAAAAAGAAGAAGAGAGGCGGGAGCGTTCGTAAAAAACTCAAAGCGGTAGTCAAAACATTAAGCATGAAATGGAGTTATCCTAGTGGCTCCAACAAGAGAAAGAAGCAGCTTGCTTTAAAAAAGCTTTTATCTTCACTTCCAAAAGTGACATCGTTTTTCTATGTAAACATCAAAAGGAAGCAGAAAAGGAAAGACAATATAGACCAAAATGGAAAATAGAAGAAAAAAAAGAAAGGCAAAAGCACAGGAGCACTGACAGGGAGAAGAAGGCACTCAAAGGAAGAGAAAGACAGGAAAAAAGAGGAGGACTAATAAAAAGTGAAAATAATTCATGTCAGAAGAGGGGAGAATTTCGCAAATCCAGTTAAAGATAAGATTGTCAAAAATGTTGTGTAAGGGGGCCCCACGTCTGTGTTTGCCTTGGGCCCCCAAATTGCTAAATCAGCCACTGCTTCAGATGCTTTGTGTGTTTTAATCTTGCAGGTTAACGATGAACAGGCACCACCAAAACCTCCCTTACCAGAGGGCGAGGTGCCCCCTCCGCGGCCCCCACCACCAGAAGAAAAGGATGAGGAGTTCCCAGAGCAGAAAGCCAGCGAGGTGCTAAGCGAGCCCATGATGGTAGCAGCCAGGCAGCTGCATGACGAAGCAAGCAAGTGGTCGAGCAAGGTCAGTTAAAACAAACACACACACAAGTACAATCTCTTTTTAAACAAACATTTTGTAATATTACAAGATTAATAAAAAAAAGTGCACTGTTCTATGTTTGTAATCACATGACATCATGGACGTAATTTTCACTTTAGAAGTGGGGGGACACGGGAGGGGAAGGGGGGGGGGGTATTTTTACAGTATGCTCTAATTGGAAACAGGCTTCAACACAAACAGTTGTTTTCCGCTTGGTCCTAGAACTCAACCAGTGTCAATTTAATATAGCGTAATGTTGCTTTTGGATGGCAAAAAGTGCAGGGGTCAAAACTTGACTTTGGAAAAAGTGGGGGGGACATGCCCCCCCCCCCCCCCCCCCCCCCCCCAATTACGTCCTTGCATGACATTACTTTATTTTTCGGTTAGCTTTAAAGCTTCTTCTGGAGAATTTTTCTTATCCAATGTCACCATCTAGTGGCTGACAAGCGTATCACACAAAACCGCTGTTTTTTAAGATGGCAACTTCACGTTTCTGTTTATAAATGTGCTTCTGTAGCCGACAAACAGAGCTAAAACACATTGTTTTATGAGTATTATTCTCCTGTCATGCAGTGTTTTTATATATTTATATTTTTATAGACTTTCTTGTCCTTGAAAAGTTCATCAGTGCTGCATCAGTCGAGGTATTCCTTAAATTTGAAGCGTCTGAGCGGTAGTCCAACGCTATTGCTTAGTTCTGGTCAGCGCTCAGTTTCCTACTGCACGGAGCTCTGCCGGGCAGGGGGCGTGCTTAGCAAAAAAAAAAAAAAAAAAGACGTATTGCTTATATCACAGTACATGATAAGATAATCACTTTTACGGATTTCTGACAAATCATTCATTATTTCTGAAAGAGGAAAACTCCGGAAAGCAGCATTAAGATTTGTGCTTCGTACTCAGAAAATCAGAATTTACATCCTGATAAGTGGACATCAGTGACTTGATTCCACAGAGGAAAACTGGAAACTGTCATCTGTCCAAGTTCAAGTTTGTTTTGGGCTCACACACACATCGATGCAAGACAACACAACTTTCAACACAACAATTAAGTTCAGAGCAGGTCCACTGAATTTGCAGAGGATCAGGTGTTCGGATGAGCAGAACCAGCTCATTACTGGAAGTCGGTGATTATCCAGGACTAAAACCCATTTGTCGTTTATTTCTTACAGTTATTTAAATTTTTTTGTTGTATACTTGTCTTTAAAAACAATAACAGGAATAATATTGCCTCGGTTCCATTGATGGGGACTGGTGTTGGAATGGGTCAGAGCGGGTCGGGGCGCTACTATAAATGATCTGTAAAAGCGGGCCGTACCATTCAACTGATCCACGCAATTCACAGGCCCCCTTCAGTTGTTGGCCCATAGGACAACTGAGCGATATGACAATGGTGGAGCGGCCAGCGTCACACAACACGGCACATTGATTAAACAGGAAAACGTTACTGCTTGCAGCAAGCAAAAACAGCACCAGAATGTTGTTGTTTGTATGATTATTTGTACACGAATGTGAGAAGATGCCATCAAGTGGTAGCAAGGTTTGATCGGCTTCAGAACTACAAACATTCTTCACCACACTGGTATGATTCAACAGCATGCATTTAGGTTAAACTCCGCCTCCCAGGTGAGAGTCCAACTGGTGATTGAATCACTCACCTGAAATCGCTGACCAGTACCAGCCCACAATTATTTGCTTCAACCCGTCCCAGCCCACTCAATGGAACCGAGGCATGACAGTCCAAACTCCAGCAGAGAAATACCGGCTCACGGCTCCAACTGGAGTTGGGCCTCATTTTGTTTGTTCATCACTATGTGTCAAAGCAGCCATCGCCTCAGGCACATCATGCAACTGCCTTCCCAAACCTACTCCTTTATTTTGTTTGCTCATCAAAGCTGTTTGTCCGCTTGTGGGCAGTTTCACCTCCCTATCCTCTATCCCTATTCCTTCACACTTATTTTTGCTTCTCCTCCTTCCTGTAAATCTCCTGTCCTATGTTCTTCCATTCAGTGACTCTCATACTGTAATAAATGCCCCCTTTCCCCATGCTTCCTGTTTACCTGCCATCCCTGGCTTTCTCCCTACCCCTCTTCCTCCTTTTCTTCCCCGTTCTTCCTCCTTTACCCTCCACCCCTTTTTTGTCCTCTTTCTCCAATCAATACCTGCTCCTCCAACAACCCCCTGTCCCCATCTTACCCCTGCCCGGCCCAGCCTGAGGATGAGGAGGCAGTAGAGGAGAGGGAGGTAGATGATGAAGATGAGTTTACTGATGGCGAGGATGACTATGAGCCAGAATTGCTGATGATGCCATCCAACCAGCCTGTCAATCAGCCCATTCTGGCGGCTGCCCAGTCTCTCCACCAGGAGGCCCGCAAGTGGTCAAGCAAGGTCTGTGCACGTACATGCACATGAGCGTATGCACACATGGAGTCACAGTGTTATTGTTGCAGATCTGGGAGAATCAAACATTGCTGTTTGACCCTACATAAACACACATTTAGCACTTCCTCGCATGCAAATAGACGAATGCATCATGCCCGTGCTGAACAAGAAACTGAGGTTCTGTCAGAAGTGACGGCAGTTCTGTGAAAATTGAGCTCTGCATCCACTGCTACTATGGAATTCACCACCCAGTTTCAGCGGCACTTTCACTGAAGAGATAATTGACACACGAATTGTGGCACCACAAACTGGCAATAGCTTCACAAGTCTCTTTTTTATTATCCTAATTAAGAAACGTTTCCACGGGAGCGCCAACGTTCTCCGATTTTTCTCACCAACCTATAAAACCGGAGGATGGCAGTTTCCCTAAAGACCCCTGGGTGGTGCAGCTTCTAACCACCTGTGATCGCTTGCTTCAGCTCAAGTGTGCATCAACTAATCTCCTGCTAACTGTGCTGTTGACTGCTGAATTATATCTTCATAAGTGGAAGAACGTGAGAACTTGTGATACTGCATGCAGCAGGCTGCTAAACACACTTTTTCCAGTATTTTAAATACAATTTATCACCTGAAAGCACCAGCTTTCTATAAATGTTTACAAATGTATAATCAAAAATGCACAAAACATGATTTGTGTAGAAAGTTTTCATTTTGTTCTCAGCTCTCACTGCCTCACCTTCATGATCTCTCTGCTTAGGGTAACGACATCATAGCAGCGGCCAAGCGAATGGCTCTGCTGATGGCAGAAATGTCTCGACTGGTGCGCGGTGGAAGCGGGAACAAACGAGCGCTGATTCAGTGTGCAAAGGACATCGCCAAGGCCTCAGATGAGGTAACGAGATTGGCTAAAGAAGTGGCCAAGCAGTGCACTGACAGACGAATCAGAACGAACCTGCTGCAGGTAAATTCTTAAGCTTTTCCCTTTTATGGGTGCTTTTAATACCAAAAGGTTATAATTTTCATTTTTTTAAAGAGGGTCAGAAATATCACATTCCACAGCTTGAAACTTTTCTGCTGACTTCCTGTTAAAAAGGAGGAAAGTTGGACTCAGAATAGAACAAGGCATAAATGGGTAATAAATGTAAGGTTTACTGAGAAACCATGTAATACTTGTTCTTTTTGAAATATGATTGGTCACGCTGAGTTTCACATGCATGCCGAATGTGAAACTGGTCTTTGAAGATGGGCAACTTTTTCATTTTTCATTTTCTTGAGCCAGCGTGTGCTAAAATCACCATTTACTGTCACGGTGTAGGAGGTGGAGATGATGGACCATGTGTGGTTGAGCTGAGCAGGAGGAAAAAATGCAGGCTTCAGTAAAGTAAAAATGGTTTAATGGCAGGATGGGATGAACAGGAACACCAGCAAACAGCAACAATGAACTGACAAAGGACAGGGGCAAAACAGGTGGTTTAAGTACAGAGGGCTAATTAGGGACACATGGGCAGGTAAACGAGGGACAGGTGAGAACAATAAGGGCAATCATGGCAGGAGAGGAACACAGTCAGGCGGGCAGGGGCAGATCGTGACATTTACAGGGTTAATAAAATGTCACTCAGACCCACACCGCCCTCTGTGGCCAGAATACCGCATTTGCAACTTCAGAGTACCAGTCCAGTCTGTTGAACTTACAAAAAAAATGAGCTGACATATCTGGCGCTGCAGTCGGCTTCCTGCATGTTTCCTGCATGTTTCGATCAAAAACACAACTGTTTTGTTTAATGTAGGGATGAACCACACCTGTAGACACCGATGGAGACTAAGAAGACATTTCAGTAGTTAGATTAAGGTGTTAAAAAGAAATGGTGAGAAGTTAGGTTTTGCTTTTGGTTCTACTAAACGGACACTAGGGGTGCTAAAAGAAAGCCAAAACTGCCTAGTCTTCCTTTAAACCCTGTTTTATGCATTAGTTATCAAAAGAAAACAGACTGGGAAAGGTTCATGTCAGAAGAAGCCAGACTGCTATATGTAACACTGTAAAATTATCATTAATGGAGTCACCCACCTTGGCTCACGACCAGTAAAGGCTCTGTTTATTTAGCAGCCAGGAGACACCAGAGCTTCTCGGCTAGTAGACACTAACTGTTAGCATTGCCGACTACACAAAACAACTGAACTTATATGGTTCTGTGTTATTTCTGGAGATAACATTGCATTTTTTTACCCAAAGAAGAGTGAACAAAGGCAGCAGAAGAGTCCTTGCTGTTAGCCAATCAGATGTACACATATCATGAATATTAAAGCAACACTAAAGCTCTACGTTCACACTGCAGGCAAAAGCGCATTAAATCTGCTTTTCTAGGAGGTATAACACTTTAATGAATAAGGGGCTCTGTCACGGTGCGAGCAAGGAGGAGGTTAGGACCCAAAATGCAGATACCCAGGATGACACGAGGCAGGAGTGAAGAAAAGAAATATCCTTTATTTTGGATGAACCAAGAAAATAAAATAAATCCAAAGGCTGGGAGCCAAAAATCCAAAAATGTCCAATTACTGAACTAGAGATCCAAAACACTAGAGACACGAGAAGACTGAGATCCAAAATACTAGAGACACAAGAAGACTGACAGAATACCACAATGGACCGACACAACAAGGACTGGGTTTTATACACTGGGGCTGGAGTGATAGGAGACGAGAAGCAGGTGTGTCGGGAACGGGCACAGGTGAAACCAATAATTGAGAGGAGGAGCAGAAAGGAGCAGGAGAGGACACCAGACCAGACTGGGGAAGGACACACACACATACACCGAGCTGGGGAAGGACACACACACACACACTCACCGAGCTGGGGAAGGACACACACACACACACACACACACACACACACACACACAACTGAAATAAAAGACCTATAGAAACTAAGGTGGGGAGACTAAGAGACACGAAGAAAACCAGGAGGGAGCTGGGGACAAACAGGCTGGAGCTGCAAGGACACAGAACGTGAAGGAACACCTGGAGGGGCTGGGGATGACTGAATGAACACAGGACCTGGGAGGAATGATCTGGAGGCTGCAACCAGGAGACACATGAAGAACACAAAGAGACACAATAATGAGATGCAGACAAAGGACACATGAGGGCGCTATGCGACACAAAAGGAGAACTTAGAGAGGGATGGAGAACACAAGGATACATATGAGGGGAGACGCAGACGCAGACCATGACAGGCTCGACACACGGGAGGCAACATCGCCTCTCCATTCATTTTCAATGAGACATGCGTGACAAAGCGATAATCGCGGGTCTCCCTCCTACTAAGCGAAACGTGAAAAACGTGCATGTCAAATTTTGCGCTCGTGCATGTGTCGTGCACAGGCGACCCAGCGACACAATCCCAGAAAGTTGAAATATTTTTTACTTTTCATCGCTGTCGCTCGGACCAGGACCAATCAACGGAGGTTTCATTCACTGACCAATGAGCGGACAGGATGCTCCTTACATCTCTGAGCAAACATGGAGGAGAAGTCGATTATTATTATGTTTTATACAGTAAAATCAGAAGTAAGATTTCACATAACTCTAGCAGCACCTTGTGAAACATCATATCTACCGCTTTTTTAAACTCTGAACCACTTAAATAACGTTTTTCGCATTTCGCTTAGTAGGAGGGAGACTCGCTATAATCGCTTTGTCGCGCATGTCTCATTGAAAATGAATGGAGGAGAGGCGATGTCGCCTCCCGTGTGTCGAGCCCATTCCTCATTAAAATGTTTTGGGCTCAACACACGGGAGGCGACAAATGACCGAGATCAGCGAAATTTATCGCTGTCACTTTTATTGCCTGACACACGGGATGTGACCCGCAGCAGCGGCCAGCGGCAAAGCCATCGGCGCGTTCTGTTCCATGGCGAAATCGAATCTTCCGTTGTTTTGATTGGCTGTGTCAGGTTGGAGAATTAACCCTTTGATGCATGAATTATGAAATCTTCAACCATGATTTTTTTAACAATTTTTTTCATTCATCTTTAGGTGTGAATGAAACAAATTTCAACAAATATTTTTTGTAAAATTTTATAATGTACAAATAATTTATTACATGTCCACTTCAGTGGGCAGCGTGCATTCTGAACATGAAATATGTTGGCTTGGCTAACTGAAGTCCAAATGGAGGGGCTCAAATGCAATAAAGTCTTCAACAGCTGTGCTTAATAGCAAAAACAAATAAATAACAATTTTGAGTACCTGTCCACTGTAGTGACCATTATGCATCAAAGGGTTAAGGTTATTTAAGCAGTTCAGAGTTAAAAAAAAGGGGTAGATATGATGTTTCACAAGGTGCTGCCTGATTTATGTGAAATCTTACTTCTGATTTTACTATACAGGTATATGTAAAAAAAAAAAAAAAAAAAAAACAAGAATGGGTTCGTCCAAACCAGAGAAAGAAACGGAGAATACCATCATTTAATGAGGGACATGATGTGTTAATTCTGCCACCAACAATTTCTCATGTCACGGCCTTTTTGTGAATACCTCTATATTCTTTGGTAGAAATATTGTAGCCTATAATTCTGGGAAATCCGTCACAGCAAGTATCAACTTTTCCATGTTTGCTCGGAGATGTACGGAGCATCCAAACATGAAGGAGAAGTTGATTATTATTATGTTTTATATAGTAAAATCAGAAGTAAGATTATACATAACTCTAGCAGCACCTTGTGAAACATGATGTCTGCCGCTTTTTTAACTCTGAACCGCTTAAATAACCTTAATTCCCTCCAACCTGACCCAGCCAAACAAAACAACGGAAGTTTCAATTTCGCCATGGAACAGATCGCGACGGCTTTGCCGCTGCCGCTGGTCGCCTTCCATGTGTCAGGTAATAAAAGCGACAGCGACGAATTTCGCTGATCGCGGTCGTTTGTCGCGTCCTGTGTGTCGAGCCCCTTAGACTCCAGATCCTGCTGTTTTCTGCCCCCAACTCCTCTGACTGACTTCTACTTCCTGAAAAGGAGCACCTGAGCTTTTTGCCACAAAAATTGACTCACAAAGCACACCAGAGACCACAGCTTTATTGCAATATCAAGCATATGCCTACTGTAACAACTGGGTTGTTGTTTTGTGTCCTTTTTCTGCAGGTCTGTGAACGAATTCCCACCATCAGCACTCAGCTAAAGATCCTTTCTACTGTCAAAGCCACCATGTTGGGAAGAACAAACATCAGTGAAGAGGAGTCAGAGCAGGTAAACACACATAACTTTTAGAAATAGACAATCAAACTTATTTTCTCTACTGGAGCATCTGTCTATTGAGTGTACAAATAGAGTTTAGGATTTTCAAAATTTAGGATTTTAAGGCTGGGGTCCATAGCATAGCATCATCAACAAGAGGAGGAGAAGGAGTATGAGGCTGCCAGTTTTGTTCCTGCTTAGACACACCTGATTCTAACTGCTGAAGTACCTCCTCAGCCTTCATCAGGTTCTGCTAGAGCTGCTAATCACTCGTTTTAATCAAAACAGCCATGTTAAAGCAGGGAAAGACCTATAACCGGCAGGAATCCATCATTTGTGATTGAAGCACACCCATGCTAATGATACAACAGGCTAAAACAGATTGCCAATGTAGAATACTCCTCAAGTGGAGGAGTTTAAGTAACTCGGGGTCTTGTTCATGAGTGAGGGTAGGAGGGATCGGGAGATCGACAGGCAGATTGGTTCAGCATCTGCAGTGATGCGGACGTTGAGCCGATCTGTCGTGGTGAAGAGGGAGCTGAGCCAGAAAGCCAGGCTCTCGATTTACCGGTCGATCTACGTCCCAATCCTCACCTATGGTCATGAGCTTTGGGTAATGACCGAAAGAATGAGATCGTGAATACAAGCGGCCGAAATGAGTTTCCTCCGTAGGGTGGCCGGGCTCAGCCTTAGAGATAGGGTGAGGAGCTCGGACATTCGGGAGGGACTCGGGGTAGAACCGCTGCTCCTCTGGATCGAGAGGAGTCAGTTGAGGTGGTTTGGGCATCTGGTCAGGATGCCTCCTGGACGCCTCCCTGGGGAGGTATTTTGGGCATGTCCTGCCGGCAGGAGGCCCCCGGGTCGACCCAGGACACGTTGGAGAGGTTACATCTCCAATCTGGTCCGGGAACGCCTTGGAGTCCTGCCGGAGGAGCTGTTGGAGATGGCCTGGGAGAGGACGGTCTTGAGCTCCTTAGTTGGGGTGCTGCCCCCGCGACCCGGACCTGGATAAGCGGAGGAAGACGACGACGACAAATACTATTAAATGCTATGCTAATCACTCCCAATCAGCTCCAAAACAGAGAAGATAAATCCCTTTTCAGATAGTCAAATTCAAAGGAGTAATTGACTTGTTTAACCAATATATCAGCAGTTTTAGGAATGAATGCCTTGTAAGTTGTCCTCAGGGGTTAAAAAAGATACCGGAGGAGTTTCCGTTGAGAAGTGGTGTTACTAATGCTAACGGTTAGCTTAAACTGGCCGAGACACCAAAACAGCAACAGCCCTCCTCACTGTGAGTCAAGATCTGTGAGTCCACGAATGCTAATTTGCAGTGTGATGTAGATCTCTGAGAATTTTCAATTCCTAGATTTTCTATCAGAAGCTAATGTAGGAGATAGGTGTAGGAGATTATTTTCCTGTTCAGCCTGCATGAAAAACTTAGAATGACCGATTATAATCAGAACAAAAAAGGTTTTTCATTCAACCACACCTTTAAGTATTTTTACTCTGCTACTTTTTTAGATTTGTGTGTGTGTGACAACCAAAGCAAAAATAAAGAATATGTATTATGAGACAAAAAAAAAACGTTAATACTAAACCTCCGTCACAAACCTAAAAATGAGCACTATTTAGATTTTCCTAATTAGATATCTAACCTCTGTTTATGCTGTTTCTCCTCCATCTGATTTCCTGACTAGGCCACAGAGATGTTGGTTCACAATGCCCAAAATTTGATGCAGTCAGTGAAGGAGACTGTCAGAGAAGCAGAAGCAGCATCCATCAAGATTCGCACGGATGCAGGATTCACCCTCCGCTGGGTGAGGAAGACCCCGTGGTACCAATGAACAACCCAACCCGCTGATCCTGTCAACTTCCTGGTATCAGTTACTCAAACCTCGACTGAAGAGCTTTGAGCGTCCTTATAGAGTTAAAGAGAAATGAGAGGATGTGGAGCCATTCTCTGCTGTTGTTTGAGTGTAAAACAGCAGAAATCAGCAGGTTTGATTTATAGGCGTAACTTCAGCTTCGCACATGCTGATCTGAGACCGTTTCTATTATATATTTTTGGTATGTTGAGTTACAAGAATTTATCTAAATGCTAGGTCTATAATATATATTTTTGCATGATTTTTTTTCTATTTTCTAAATCTGCGATATTTAACTCTCAGAAGATATTTACTTTGCAATGTTTTTTTCAGTAGTTTCTTAATCATATATATATATATATATATGTATATTTATATATATATATATATATATATACAAAAAAAATCATTGGTTTTACGGACAATATTCAACTTAATTTGTTCAGTTTGACACTAGAGCGTAGAGTCATTTGTGAGCAGAAGACCTCTATTATCCTCTTGTTTACATTCAGTGTGAACCAAGCACAGATCTATAAATTAGATGCAGATTTATGATGTTTTACTCGGGTGACAAAAAGATTTTCTGGATTAAAAGCTTTCAAAACGTCTCATTGACTGCTGAAAAAGTATAACTTAAAGGATAAAAGAATGTGCTGGTCTGTCAGTCAAACTTAGCTTAATGTGTTTTGACTTCTTTACTTTAATTTTTTTTATTCTATCAGTGAATGATGCCAAAGGATTTATTTTACTTCACTGTAAATCTTATTTGGTTTACTTAACTAAAAAAAATCAGGTTATTGTAAGCAACAATGTAGAACAGTTTCTGAGACCTTGTAATACTGTTTGAGTTTTTTCTTGCAAAAACAGGAGTGAACTTTATTTTTATTTAACCTGTGTTCTGTAACAGTTAAACTGTTTGTGATTTTTTCAGACATTTATATCAACATCCAGATGTTTTCTCCTCAGCAGACCCAGCCTGAACACTCTAATGCAATTTTTTAAGACCCCGGTGGTTTGAGAAGAACATTTCTATGTGACATCAAGAACTTATATATAGTTTTTCAGGTTTAAACAAACAAAGATTTTATTATGAGTGTTTAGAATTAAAGCCACTGATGTCACATATTTCTAATGCATATTTTCATTCCTTTGTTTGTTTGTTTTTTGTTGTTGTTTTCTTATTACCTTGGGTGAGTATGTGTGTGTGTAGTCTCTTTACTTAACACGGTATTAGTGAGCAATCCCTGTTAAATGTAGGGATGAAGCTTTGACTAACAGCACAGGAAGTTGCTTTTATTTTGGAGGAAAGTGGGGTGGGATGTGGGGGTTTACTGAGCATGTAGTGGTCACAGCCTCTTCACTGGGAGTGACGGGTTGTAGAGCTGTACGTGCTTCGTGTTTAACTACACGCTGAATGTTCTCTGATAGTCTCTAGCCCTGCCAACACATCTGCTGTGCCTTGAAAGAATAAAGACTATGATAAAAACTGGGGTCGGCCTCTTAACTCACTTTCTAAAGAAAAATATGGCTACTGGTATCAAATACACAAAAATATGCTTTATTATTTGAGGTAGCTGCTCACAACTCAAAAGGTATATTTTTAACTGCTCAGATGAGATCGACCGATTTGGGTTTTTCTGTTACTGATAAGTAAAAGTCATGATCAGCCGATGGCAGACATACACTGCCGATTTTTTAAAGCCCTTTTTAATGGTCGATATCTAGACGTTTCCACCTTGTCCACATGCTAAAATGTTGCATTAATAACAGCACTAGATTCGCAGCATTTCAAAGAGGAGTCATAAACAGTAAGTTGAGTATTTCTCTATAATACTGAGACATTTTAATTGCAATTTTTTTCCAATTCATTGTTAGCATTGTTAGCTCAATGTCAACCTCTAGCCTTCTTTACTCAATTCAGTGAAACAAAAAGGATGTCATGGATTCTTGAGGGTACAAGAAAAAACTTCTGGGTCACTCCTGTAACCATTCTTTCCAAAACGCTGCTGCTTTTTGCCAGCTGGTGCCAAATTACAAAAAGTGCATACTTGGCAACCCCGCGGGCTCACATATAGGGAATCTAATGGGCCATTCCCATCTGTACCGGGTCGGCCCGGGCCGGGTAGCGTAGGTTGTTTACATATCTGGGTGGTCGGGTATTTTTCCGGGCCAACCAAGGCTCATTCTCAGCCCTCTTCTCGAGGGGGTCTGCTTCAGGCCGACCAGGGCCAACACACCCACTGCTGACAGCAAATTCACACCTTCCATTAGAGCAAGCCTCTGATTGGTGGGTAGAATCAGCCCACATGGGCTTAAGACAAGGATTTGTGGAATCAACCGGGCCAGGCTGGGGCCGACTGGGGCTACCCGGCCCGGGCCGACCCGGTACAGATGGGAATGGCCCATATGTCTCCTCCCTTTGTGGTCGGCTCATGGGTCCTTGGAAGAATGAAAAAATGAAATAATCCGCTTAGCTTCATGCCCTGGATTGCACATATGTTGTACTGCAATTTATGAAAACTAATGATGAGTGTTTTGACCACGCCTGTCACGTACTTTGAGATTTATCAGCCTGTAAAAGTTTGTAATTAGCACGACTACAAACCAGACATCGACACCTCGCATATATGACGTCACCACATAATCTCTCTCCCCTAGTTTAGCTGCTACTTACCACATGGCCAGATTCATGGTGGATCTTTCCTCCTGAAGGAAGGATTTGAAGATTTCTGATCTTACAGCCATTGCCCTCTGTTTTTCTCCATGCCTGGTTCGATGATGTCACTTTGGTGAAGCGCATTTGTAGTCCTGGACTTATTTCCACACAAAACCTAAAATAGTGTTTCCCCCCGTTCGAAAAGAAGCACTGTCTTGGTATCAGAATGTGTCTTTAAAATTCACGGACATCATATGTGAAATCCATGGCGCAAAACAAGCGGAATTAGAAAATGGTGTTTTTAGTTTCATTGACTTGCACTCATTTTTTTCGTTCTTCCGGGGTCCCATGGTCCGGAAGTAGATGGGCGTGACTTCGGCCCCCTGTTGTAAACAAAGACTACATCCCTCTTCTGCCCTTTTAAAAGGTAAAAAGCTGGCTATAGCCCAGCGAGCTGAGAAGAAAATCTGTTACAGTGTAACCTTCCTTCCAATATGACTGAGACATTAAGACTGTTTTGTTTATATTTTGCTGGATAATTCTTTCCTATTGCACAAAGTTAATCAAACAAATAAATAAACTGACCAAGACCAAGATGGAAACAACTCAGGAACGGTGCTCGTTTGAAACGGCTTTGGTATTCACTTTGGAGGATTTAGACTTAGGCTTTTCTTGGAGACATGAGCAGATGAAGGTACTTAACTAATTTATTTTAAAAAAATAATGTTTTTCTACTTACTCTTCATCTACGGTGTATGACAGACTGCCCCGTGGTCTGTTTTCTGTAGAGATGAATACGCCACATGGTTGTTCGTTGCTCTGATTGGTCCTAGTACTGTCCAATTATGTTCAGACAGTTTGAAAGACAACCTAGAGTCTGCCCCTCCACAACAATTATTTCAATGGCCCCTGGCCAGATTATATAGTGTAACATCCAGCAATGGTCAGTTTTTAGGTACAGTTTGACCATTCAACATCTGGTCAAAAAGGAGACACGAGACTGCATGTGTCCCCTTTAAATCAGCCTGCCTTCATCCCATCAGCTGGAGCTCAGAGCCTCTCTGCTGCTCTGAACACAGATACGTATTGTCAACAATGATGTTCTCTCCTCAAGGTCCAAGCTTTGCTTATCGTCCTACAGGACTCTTCATGCCTCCGAATAAGGAAAACTCACAGCTCGGATTAGTTGCTAAATCAAAGAATGATTTCTTAAATTAAATGAACTTTTAAAACTGATAAGTTAAATAATCATTAAATAAGCATTTGTTTATTGCCACTTATAATAATTATAATATAATGAATCTGTGCTCAATGATTGAAGTTTGAAATGAATGTTATGTTATGATAACAGTGATTGAAATATGTTTCAGCATGTTTACATGACAAGGTCATCACCATTTGCACTCACAGAAGGACAAAGTAAAGTTAAGTTAAACTCATGACATGTAGATAGTCCTTTACCCCAGATCAGAGAATCTGGATCAAAGAAGGCATGTTTCTGAGTTGCCTTGTAATATTCCTCAACTTGTCAACCTCTGGTTGGCTACACAAATCATAACATGAGATCATTTAGACTGGATCACTTGGGTGATTCATCAGTTCTTGAGAAAAGCTTCAGACCGGCCATCTGAAGCCAAACCTCTTTAACCATCAAAGCTTTTGACACGTCGTAAAAATTTTTTTGCACCTGCGAAGCTGATACAGCAAACAGTTCCTGCAGAACAAGCTGATATTGTTTAGACTCCTTAAGAGTCCCAGACGTGCGGTTCCATCCATCTGTCGTGACCCGAGACATCTCTGGACTGGAGAAGTCAGTGCTATGTCAATCTACTGGACCTTGGGTGCCCGAAGTCATCCGACCTCTCTGACCTTCGGATCCATGAAGAGGGTCTCCGAGAACGGGTGAAGCAATGCCTTTTGATAATAATCAACTTCATAGCTTAACGCAAAACAAGTTCTTTTACATCCAGAACTCAGCTCTCCTAGATACGGACGTTCTGATAACATCACCTTCACACATAGGTTTCATATATCACATCTAGTTCCATCCATCACAGTAAATGTTAGTTAACCTGTCATGTTTTGTTTGTGAAAATAAATTCTTACTTTTATAAACCCGACTCTTTTCTGAATCAAAACGAAGTGTTTACAATCCCTTAATAAACAAAGAATCCGAGAATCTTCTGATTAAAGTAAAGACCGATATTCTATATTTATATAGAGTATCACAGCTTGTTGGTAGAGGTAATATATATTGAGCTCTTCAAGCACTCAAATTCTCAAACCCTACAACTGTATGTATATATGTAAGATGGCTTGGCAGGCTAATGCTTTAGAAAATTTATTAATCACAGTCTGACTTAACAGTGGTCCAAAAGATGTTCATTGACACCTTGCACAAGAAGGGCAAGACACAAAAGGTCATTGCTAAAGAGGCTGGCTGTTCACAGAGTTCTGTGTCCAAGCTTATTAATAGAGAGTAGAAGGGAAGGACAAGATATGGTAGAAAATGTGTACAAGCAATAGAGATAACCACACCCTGGAGAGGATTGGGAAAAAAATCCCATCCAAAAATGTGGGGGAGATTAAAAAAAGTGGACTGCAGCTGGAGTCAGTGCTTCAAGAAGCACCATCCTCATATGCAAGACATGGGTTTCAGCTGTAGCATCTACTCTTGAACAAGAGAAAGCATCAGAAGCGTCTTGTCTAGGCTAAAAACAAAAAGGACTGGACTGCTGCTGAATGGTCCAAAGTTATGGTCTCTGATGAAAGTAAATTTTGCATTTCCTTTGGAAGCCGCAGTCCCAGAGTCTGGAGGAATAGAGGAGAGACACAGAATCCACATTGCTTGAGGTCCAGTGTAAAGTTTCCACAGTTAGTGATGGTTTGGGGTCATCTGCTGATGTTGGTCCATTGTGTTTTCTGAGGTCCACGGTGAACGCAGCCATCAACCAGGAAGTTTCAGAGTACTCCATGCTTCCTGCTGCTGACCAACTTTATAGAGATGCAGATTTCATTTTCCAACAGGACTTGGCACCTGCACACAGCGCCAAAGCTACCAGTACCTAGTTGAAGGACCATGGTATCCCTGTTCTCGACTGGCCAGCAAACTCGCCTGAGCTTAACTCCATAGAAAATCTATGTGGTATTGTGAATCAGAAGATGCAACATGCCAGACCAAAACAATTCAGAAAAGCTGAAGGCCACTGTCAGAGCAACACAGGCTCTCATAACACCAGAGCAGTGCCACAGACTGATCAACTCCATGCCATGCTGCACTGCTGCAGTGATCCAGGCCAAAGGAGCCCCAAATAAATATTGAGTGCTGTACATGCTCATACTTTTCATCTTCATACTTTCAGTTGGCCAACATTTCTCAAATTCCTTTTTTTTGCATTGGTCTTAACTGATGTTGCAATCTGAGATACTGAATTTAAATTTTCATTAATTGTCAGTGATAATCATCAACATTAAATAAGCATTTGAAATATATTAGTCTGTGTGTGATGTATTAATCTAATATACAAGTTTCACTTTTTTTGATGGAATTACTAATATTAATCAACTTTGTCATGATATGCTAATTTCATGACCGGCCCCTGCAAATACCAATGTTAAGTGTCAGGTTCAGCCCTCCCCTGGAAATAAAAGATTTAGGGAACAAGGTCAGCTTGCTGAAGGAGGAACCCTACAGAAATAATCTGAATAAATACAGAAATTTGATGTTTTGGACAAAAATAAGACAACACACATGATTTTATAGCTTTTATAAGACATATAACAGAGATACGGATTCAACTTCATACAAAAGCTTTAATTATCTTACTTATTTTTTTACATCTGATTGTGAGAAAGCTGTGCTGAGTAAAGTTGTTGAATTTGAGGATAAGTGAGGATCTAAAAAACCTGCTGTTGCCAACAGATCAACATGATTCCCTAACTTGTAGCTATACCTCATCCCTTCATTATGATATGGCCTTAAAATATACTTTTGTCCTGTCTAGTAAACATGCAGCTTGTGCTGTGGTATGTGTGTGAGCATTTAACTGCTCTTACAAGGCCACGTCAAACAGTGATTTTGTGCAAGAGTTTCTGTTTTTAAAGCAAAAAATTCCTCTTATTAAACATTCAAAATAAATTTTATTAGGAACAAATAATAAGTGATCCATACCAAGCTGAACTTCAGCAAGATCACATTTTAAGGCTTCCCTTAACAGAATTATTCAGTCATCCGTTACAACAAATAGCAGTTAGAATGCAGAGGCGTTTGTTAATAATAACGTGACTGATAACTCATAAGGAATATTTGGAGAAACAGCTTGGCTGTGTGATAACGTTCTGTGCGGCACATTAGATCACCGGTCACCAAAACTCAGGTCCGCACTTGGAACTTCCCAGCTTTGGTCAAGTATTTGACCCCTTTAAAAGGTTTGTACTTTTCTCCGTGCATGTCCAGACGACTCACTTTAAGACCTGCAATAGTGAGAGAAAGGTAGTTAATAATGGTGAGATACACACACAAAGAAAACACTAAAAAGTAAAAAAGCACTTAGTCATATGTGTTATATGTCAAAATTTCATTTGGCCGTATTGTATTGATTTTATTTGCACACACAAGGGCAGTATAGAGCGGTCATAGTTTCTTAGGGGTACAAAAAAATAACTTCTGGGTTCTTCTGTCCAATCACCATACAATGTCAGAATGGCATACGCGTAATACAGCATATGCCAATTTGACAGCACAAGTCTGTCAGACAGGCATATGCTGTCATATCATCATACATATTTAAGCTGTGTGATACCCTGATGGGCCATTTTAGCCGTTAGATCATTATACAGTTTTGTACAGTACTGTATTACACCCTGAGCTGTCAATTTAATATATTTTAAAGCTTTATTTTCTAAAAAATTTTTCAGAAATATAAGGTGGTAAAATACAAATTTGTGAAACGCATTCATCACTTCATTTTTGTGGATGGTGAAACATGAACACAGTCGGCAAATGTTTTCCTCGTACTTTGCCATCTGTATGCTGAACTGGCGCCTCCTCAGAACTTAGCAGAGGTTTAGATGCATGCGCATCAACTGCATGTATGCTGCTCCGATGTGTACGGTCCTCTGTTAGAACACCAGCTGATATCAAATTACAAGTACCGGTGCAGCAGTGTTTGCCAGGTGTCAGCGATGTTTAGGGCACCTGGAATCCACCACCAGTTCTCCACTGTTCCGCTCTTCTGAGTATCTCCAACTCTGTTAGCGAAGAAGGTCCGACTGCCATAGCTGTCTCGCTGGATGGCTCCCAACACAGTCTGGTTATCTAGTAGATGGAACCATTGCTCCTCTAACATTGGACCATGTTTCCGCCATCGTGTAGCAAGATTGTACCACAAACTTCTGCTTAGAATAATTTGTAATTATTATATATAATTACTTTTTCACTGTTGAAGGTTAACAACGGTATGTAACCTGAGGAAATATGGGTTTTCTGTGCCAAAGGTCATTTGACTCGGCTGGGTCAAGAGCTGGGTCGCTGAGAACTTTCACCCACAGATTAAGACCTGAACGCCAGCGAGTCTGGGAGAAACCATAACATCTGCCACCTGCAGCTTCGTGCCAGAAGATGTTGTTCCCATGAAAGCTAGTCATAACATAACATAAAGTCTTAAACTTCCTTTCCTTTATTTTAAGTTGTTACATGATCAGTATTATCACTTTGCTCATTATAAATCTGCCATCGTGTAGCAAGATTGTACCACAAACTTCTGCTTAGAATAATTTGTAATTATTATATATAATTACTTTTTCACTGTTGAAGGTTAACAACGGTATAACTCATGCTGGAGAAGGAAAATAAAATGTGAAATTAGTGGAGTTGTACAGCCTTCTCTGTTGGGCGTCATGCTTGTTTGAGTTCAGGCAGAAAGAAAATAACTTGACAGTAGCAATTCAATGATATGAAGTGATTGGGCTGATACCGATATTAATATATCTGTTATGGCCGATAACAGATTTTTGCTGATACCGATATACTGGCATTAATGCTTCTACAATCAGCAGATTTTATATAGAATGAAAACAAAGCTGAATTTACATTATGGAAACAAGATGGAAAAAAATATTGATTGTTAATATAGACCCAATTTTAGTTATCGGACCGATACCGATATGTTAATATGGGATATATCGTCCATCCCTACTCGACGGTACATTTCCTCGGCAGAGCTGACCTTACTATTCATAACAAAAACAATAATAATGAGATTAAATACATTTTGCTCATTTGAAATCTTAATAAATTGTCATTTTAAACTACATTTTGAGAAAATTATGTGTGTGTTTATGCGCTCATGTGTTTAGCAGACGCTTTTGTCCAACACAACTTACAGGTGATAATCAAGCCAGCAGGTTGCCCTTGAGGCTAACAAATAACACTATTCAGTCAATCCTAGGTGGCAGTGAAGCAGCATAGTGAATTATGGAGGGAAGCGAACGTGGAGTGTCCAGTAGAGTGGGGGGACGGGTGCTGGGAGGATCCTAGTTTAGAAGATGCTCTCTCAAGAGTTGGGTCTTCAGGAGTTTCTTGAAAATCAACAAGGAAGCCCCTGTTCTAGTAGTGCTTGGTAAGTCATTCCATATCTGTGGAACAACACATGAAAATAGTCTGGATTGTCCTGAGCGTGGTGTAGGCACTGCAAGCCGACGATCCTTCAATGACGGGAGTGGCCGGGCCGAGACGTAAGCGAATTCAGTTAGATGGGAGCTGTACCATCCTGGACTTTGTATGCTAGTGCTAGCTATTTGAATTTGATGCATGCTGCTAGCGGTAGCCAATGGAGCTCAATGAAATTATGCAATCAAAGTTTTTTCAATCATGTAAGTTTGACTTTTTTCCACATACAACCCTCCACATTTGCTTATTTGACAAGCATAAATAACGGAAGGAGCTTGTTTCACTCTCCAACCAACTAAACTCCTCTTTGCTCATCAGATTGTCCATCTAATTTGTGTGCTGCAGGCATTTATCACCTTTTTGAGACAAAAAAATGACACATATAAACTTGTTGACCAGCTTCATTGTAATAAAAGCTGTTCTTTGAGGGTTACCTGATATGGCCAGCTGCTGTATCTTCAGATCCATGTTGATTGAGGGGTTGTCCTCAGGTTTTGGGGCTCCTGACTGCATACTCAGACTACCTCGCAGGTTTGGGAGCTTCTGGGGGTTGAGTTTTCCAACATCCCAAACCAGCACCTACCAAAACATGTAGTGAGATTGAGAACAATACAACTAAACACACAAAGCACTACGTTTTCTTGCTAAGGACAGTCTGGTCTTGGCTTGGTTACCTTTGCAGTCAGGTCATACGTGTGGGTTCCCTGAGTGGCTGTGAGATTGACACTGAGGACCGTTTTAGGCATGTGGATAGTGACTTTCAAGCCCTCCACCATCTTCCCCATGGTCTGTTTGGGTCCGATTGTGATGTCCAGACGACCACAAGCCCCTGTCTCTAAGAAACTGATGTTCTGCTTCACATAAACTGGAATGGCTACGAGACTGGGATGAGGAACAGACACAGAGACAGTCTCAGTGAAGGCTAGAAGATCTGGAGAAATAAAATCAACCGGAAAATATGGCTGCACGATATCAGGAAACTTGTGACAACAGTGATTAATAACGTGATGACAATATGACTTATGCAATGAATAAAAAAATCCTTAAGTCAAGAACAAAAAATATAAAACTAAAAGATTTTTACATAAAAAATGGGAAGAGAAATATTTTGATCAAAAGATGTGAGGAAAGGGAAAATGAAATGAACAAGAAAAGGCAATCACTGGGATGCTGGGAAAAGCAGAATGGGCAGAAAGGGCAGAATTAAGCTCACTAAGGTGTTTTTTAGCCATCCACATGGCGGGCATCTAACCTAAGAACCCACCCGATTGGCTAAATGGGTGAATGCCTCTTTTTGAATTGTCATAACTGTCATGCTTCTGTTTGATTGACAAAATGCATTTTGTGTCGCAAACATTTGAGCCGACCATTCATTGTTCATGCGCATGCTGATATTGTGATGACGAAACATTTGTGATGTACTGTGCAGCCCTACTGGAAAACCTCTTTTTCTCAATCAAAATCAAAAAGTAATTAAGTTGAAAATGACTTTGTTTTTGTCAAAATGTGTTCAAAATAAGGATGCACCAAAATGAAAATTCTTGGCTGAGACCCAAAACAGAAAATGAGAAAACCAAGGCAGAAAAAAACTAAACACTGAAAGAAATGATGTCAATAATTAGAACAATAGCACTTATGGTTATGATGCAATAAATCAATTACAAAACCATGAAAACTTTCATTCAACACTGACACAACAACGCACAATATAAATTCAAATTCTAAATAAAATGTTTCACTTGACCCCACTTGTGTACATTAAATAATAATACGTTATAAATAAATAAAATATTAATAATAAACGTACAGGCTTATAACCAAAAGGCCTGCTGAGGACTGTAAAATTAATCCTTTATGCACCAAAGTCACAATATTGTGTTTAATGAGTCACAGCAGCAAATATAACCCCTCATGTAGATATTACTTTACACAGAAAATAGTGGAGATGTTTAAAATAATTACCAAATCCAACATTCAGATTATTTTTGAGTAAACTAATCTCAACAACTGTAAAATGAAACAGTAAAACGATGCTCATGCTTACTTTTGAGAGCTGACATGATACGACATGAGTCTGAAGTTTCCGTCTGGTGGGATGAAAGACAGAACCCGCTCTGACTCCCAGCGCTTGAACCGCACGCATGGATGGAAGCTCACATCATCCAGAAGACGAGGATTCTATTAATATAAATCAACAACAACAAAAAAATTGAATGAAATTTATGCTTAAATAACAAAAAATTATATCTGATTTCTAAACTGAGTTAACAAAACACACCATAAAAGACAGAGTGAGATCAGGCATCCCAGTGAGCCTCACACAGGCTTCAATCACACCCTGGATCTCAGCAAACACTGTTGTACCTGGAAAAAAAAACTGATTTCAATTAGATCACCATAAAGAAAATTAGAATAGCTGAACTGTTATATAGTAATCAAATACATTTGCACCTGATTTGTCCACAATCGCATCAATTTCCTCTATCACATCAAAATAGGCCTCATTATTAGTGTATTTTACACCAGCTCGCCTCCATGGAATGTTAGACAACTGACCCGCTGGTAGCGTATCTCCAACATTACTACCTCCTAGAAAACGCACAAAAAAACATAGTCAACAACAAAGATTTTACTTAGGGATGCACAATATATCGGCATCTAAATTGGTATCGGCCGATGTTAGTCTTATTTTTTTACGTATCGGTTCGATAAATAAAAATGGGCCAGTATTAACAAGCAATATTTTTCCATCTTGTTTCCATTCGTTTATCTGTTTCAGAGGGTGATGTGGGTGGTGTGTATTTGTTTAGTCATGTGTGGTTGTAATCATCTCACAAGTGTAAATGTGTGTGGTGTGTGTACATAATGGAAATTCAGCTTTAATAATTTTTATTCTATACAAAATCTGCTGATTTTAGGAGCATCAATGCCAGTATATCGGTATCGGCCATAACAGTGATATAATCGGATATCGGTATTGGCCCAAAAATTTTATATCGGAGCATCACTAACTTTACTTGCTTGGTTTAGAAATAAAACGTTCCCAAACACTCAGCAGAACTCTGTTTACCTGTGAGCGTATTGACAACCGACCGCAGAATGGTGGGAGGTCTTATCATCTCCTTCAGGACGTTGGACTCTGTTGCCAATGGAAACCCGTTGTCCAGCATCTCCTCCAGCAGCGCGTAAACAATAACCACGTTATCCTTTATCACAGCTTCTGAACATTCTCCAAAGTAATCCTGTGAGCAAAAAAGTAATTTTTTACAAAAGCCAAAACAAGATTGGGTAAAGTAAAAAACGCACATTTATCAGTTTTCTTAGAAAACTGTTGACATTTTGCATGAGTTACGCATGCTAAACCTTGAATACTATGCACTACAATTCAGAATAATTATGGTGTACTAGGAAAACTAGCCAATATTTAGTCCAATGTAACAATCAAAGTGCAACACTGGATTAAGGTTTTACAAAAGAAAAGCATCTTTGTGCATTTTATACTCTACTATACACTATAATAATGTACAGGAATTTATTTTTTATTTTCCTAAGCGTGTGACCCCAAAAAAAGCAAAAATTTGTTGTTTTGCTCAGCTTGTGCATATTGAATGTGTCATATTTATTATTAAATACTTGCAAGTTATGATCAATTAGATGAACGATGATTTGTTTTTCAAATCTGTTCATAAAAGGGGGATTTTACTAAAAGGTGAAGATTGAAAAGTCCCTACTCGTGCCTGAAGGGGAGAGAAGTGACACTTCTTTATAAGTGAAAATCCCACAACTAATCACCTATAATGTACAGGCCTCAGTTTAAAAACCCCACCTGGAATATATCAGCAACTCTGTGCAGGAACTCAATGACAAAGAGAGGGGAGACTTCCGTCTGGATTACAGAGAGGAAGAAGAGTTTGCCCCTATAGATAGAAACGAGATAGTGGTGTGGGGTGTATAGGACAGGGGGCACATTCTCTGGATCTTCTGCCTTCTCCTTGGCCTCGAAGAAGTAATCGCACACACTCCTGCTGATGACACTCTTCCAGTGTTTCTCCAGGAAGATGTCTCCAGTGTGGTTAATGAGGAAGAGGCTGTGGATCATCTCAGCTGTAACAATGGAGCTGTTGTTGTTGTTTGTAACGAGAAAAAGAAGAAATGGGTGAAAAACAGCCCCTGCTTTATATATTACCGTCTTAAAGCGATGTAAAAAAACAACTGAAAAGGTTTTTGTAAAGTCCTGGTAAACTTTAAAACAACTACATTACTGACCATTACATTGGTCATTAATCCAACAGTGAAAACATCCAACTCATTATCTAAATTTACGCTAATTAAAGTCTTGCCATTCTTTGAAAGCTTTAAAAAAAGAATAAAACGAAACTTTTACAAGTTTTACCTGCTAACTCCAGTTGCCAGATTGTTAGTGTCTATGTGACAGATCGGTCTGAGTTACTGCGACGACGCCAGCAGATCTTTGCCCACGTAAACCCAACAACGACATAAATAAAAGCCTTCAAAGCGTGATAAAAATACATTGATACGTTAATTTTTATTAGAAAACACATATTTGGCTGTTTAAAATACAGTGTTAGTTAGACCCATTGATTAAAAGCAAAACTTTCATATTTTTAAACAGGCAACATTTGCAGGCAGCTACAATTCCATGATGCGAATAGACATTTGGGTTTTAGTGCCCAAAAGATTGTCTTGCAGGTGTCCTTCAGCACCCTTTGATCAAGATTTTTTAAATGATCATAAATAATATCTTATCTCTTGTAACACTCATCATTAAACTGTGTAATTACAGAACACGTTACAAATAGACTATCAAAATTAGTTACTTGTTAAAGTCTGTTTGAAACTCTAAACTTGATTTTTACTATCCTAAATCATAGTCACTGATGAATAATTTGTATCGTGTTACTTTTTTACATTTTCCGTAACATAATATATTTTTGGGAAGCATGAACCTATTGCATTCTAAGTACTTGTTCTAAAACTCAAATTTTAAGTAACTTTATTCCTTGTAATTTACTTTTTAAATATTCCTCAAATTATATATCATAAATTTACCAAGTTCACGTTGCTAAGTCCCTGTTATCAGTATAACCCCAAGGCATAAAAATGCGCAATTTCAAACTAGCTGCCTGCGAGTCAATACTCAGGGAACAAAGACCGGGTTTTGTTGATAGCATGACCGCATTTTCATAAGGTGAGCTCAACGTGCATAGTCCGGTTAGCCATGGCTTCTGATGAACCCAAAGCAAAGAAACCTAAACTTTCTGCTTCAGAAGATGAGAAGAGAGAGTCTCCGACCAAAAAGTCTCCTGCCAAACTGAGGTGACGGAAAACTCTTTATAAAAATGCTAATAATTGTAGCGGTAACACTGGACTCTTGCTCAAATGAGTGCATATCAGTTCGCAGGTCTGATGATTACAGTGATTTGTTAATTTAAAGTTTCATGAAACAGTTGTGCGTATGAAAAGTGTGTTGATCTTCCTAGCCCTGAACGCTTAGAATTAAAACCAAGTGCAAAAATCTAGTAATCTAGCACTGCAGCAGAGGGCGTTCAGGTAGGTGTGCTGATATCTGATCTGAGTTCAGATTTAACATCCAAGCATGCTGGAATTAATCAGCGAGCACGCAGAGACATCCCGCACCAGCCTCAAAAACAATGAATTAAGTCACGTGGTCTGCATTTTTAAGTATTGTTTTTTTTTTCCCTTCACCTTGTGGAAATCAGATCATAGGGCAGATTGCGTCACATAAACCTGCTTCTCATGGTTGTAGCAAAGCTCCAAACAAACAGAGCGATTGAACCGATGGAGTCGGCATAAGCAAGCCAATCAGCAGACAGAGGCAGACCGCTGTGGCCCGTCCTCCTGCAGATGCCTCTAATCGCCGTCTCCAGTAGGGGGCGCTGTGGTTGTAGTAGAAGCATCGACCTCCTTGCACGCTTTGCAGAAATTGTTGGGGTTTTTTCTGAATGTTAAGCCCTTTTCAGAGCTGGTTTTAGGTTGCTCAACAGGTCTGTCATCGTCTAGCACAGAGAGAAGGAACAGGATGTCTGCTGCCAGGTAAGAGCTCGCTGACATTCAGCCTGGATGGAGGATCTGAAGGCAGTCAGGGGGTCCTGGGTTTGTGTAATTGGCTGCACAAGCTCATTAATCATCTGACTGCATTCTGGCAGATGTTATGTGCTGAGTGAGATAATGATGAGGGTGTAACCTCTGCAGGATATGTGCATTTTAAAAAATAGTCCATTCATTGCTTTCTCAAAACAGGTCGTCCTTTGTTATTTAAATAAAATAAGAGGCTTTGTGGGAAACATGGCAGCACATATGTTTGGAGTTTTGTGCAAAGGCTCTCTTAGTCTCTTCCATCTGGGGTTTTCTCACAAACACAAATTATTTAGGGGTGAAAACAACACAAGGCACGTCTGAATTCTTTATCAGTCAAATCTAGATGTGGGTTTAATGCAGCTTCCTAGTTGTGTGTCCTCAGAACAGGCTGTCCACTCTTCGTCTGTAATGGGTTACTGATGTTCCAGATAGCTTTGAGAGGGAACGTTGTGTGATGACACAAAACACAGACTTGGCTTTTAGTTGTCGCCCTTTGTCTCGTCGTGCTATGGAGGCTTTTTGCTGCTTGTTTGTTGGCATCACAAGATCAAAAATGTCTCTCAAAACCGGTCCAACCCTGCGGTTGGCTTTGTGCTCATAAAGCAGAAACGCTCTCACACGTGGTGCTCTGCTGTCCTCGTGTTGCCTCACTCTGTCATAACATAACTGCACGCCTGGATGCCCAGATTCTCACCACGAAAGGCTTTCGTCTCCTTCGTTTTTACTTTCGTCACCTTTGTTTTTAACTGTTTGTTGATGAGTCATGAATGTTACATTGGTGTAACCATCTGCTGTGCTTGCTCTCTTTCTGCATTTCTATCTGGGTTTAAAGTCTTAAGTCGCTGTAATAGAAGTCACATGAAAACGGTGTGATCTTACAAACCAGTAAGCGCTTTCAGTCCATTTCAAACGCATTTAGGGTTTATTTCTTTTTGGTATGTGAAATAAAATCAGAAAAATGTGTTGATGTAATTATCTGCTTTTGTTTCAGTGCTAATTCTCTCTTTGGGATGGGAAACCCCTTATTGGACATCTCTGCTGTTGTAGATAAAGACTTCCTGGATAAGTAAGTTTGTAATAAACAAACAAAAAAAAAAAAGAATCCAATCAGATGTGGAAACATTTATCACTGAGCTCGCACCAGCCACAGGGAGATTTAAAGGAGGAAAGACGATCCTGAGGTCAAAATGAAGCCTAATATTCCTGGTTTTTGCAGATCTGTTGTTGTTATGTAGCTTGAAACTTAATTGTCAGCAACAAAAAAGAGAGGGTAATCCTTTTTTCCACCCCTCAGCAGGAATACGAACACATACGTTTCATGTTCTGACTGGTCTGTCCACAAGATAGGGTTTCCTGGGTTATAGCTGAAACTGTAGTTAAGGAAACAATGATCTGATTAGTGGGTTAGCGTTTAGGGTGTGTGCTTTTGTTTTTACATATTGCTGCTGTTTTTAATAATGAACCTAATGTCGCCTGTTTTGTTCTTTAATAATACCCAGGTATTCCCTGAAGCCCAACGACCAGATCCTGGCTGAGGACAAGCACAAAGCACTGTTAGTATCTCCCACAGCGCAGCGCTCCTTGTAGAGTCAGAGACGTGACACGTGTAACCTTCAGACGATGTTTTTACAGCCAGGAAAAAAACACATCTGAATTCACACCGAGCTTGTGCTTCTTTGTTCTGGAGAGGGCCGGTCGAGACAGGCACACGCAAGAGAATGCCACCGTTGACCTCTGCTCCTGCATGGACAGCCAATGGCGACGCAGCACAGGGAGACGGTCTTGTCCAATAACAGAACGGGACACTTAGCCTCCCCAGTCCCACTCAGACAAGAGCAAACATTTAACAGCAGGAGATAAGAAAGTCAGTTGTTTCTGCATTCAAACGAGTTTAGTCTGCTGTTACGCTTTCAGAGCAAGCCCAGATATGATTAAAATGTCACCGTTGGCTCTGTGGAGATGCCATCTGTTCTGAAATTTACGTTATTTTTTTGAGACACTTCATTAACCCGGAAAGAAGAAGCTTGGATTTGAGGAAATCCCGCCTCCACCGTGGGAATTTCATCCATTTCATGATGTAATCCCAGATCTCCAGCAAACCCCCAATTCTTTGTCAGAGAAGCTGTTAACAAGTTGCTAACACACACTTGCATGGACACACACACACACACACACCATTCAGACAGAGATAAGGAGCTACCTTATCTCTGTCTGAATGTTTATTGTCCCAGTCCGTCTCCGACGCTCACCCACCAAACTTCATGACTGCTCAGTTAGCGGTTAGCGTTTTGGTTCTGGTTCTACTCAGCGCCCTGGCGCTCCTATTGGTGGTTTTAATGTTGGGATGCTGCCGGTTTGAAGAAGTAACCTGTCTGAAAACGTACTCTGGTACTGGCTGTGGTTTAACAAGTAGTCTGAATTCACTGTCACAGTCCGGCTCAGTTTTTGAGAGCTCCTGAAGATAGAATCCAACCATCGCTGCCCATTAAACTTTTCTGAGTAGACCGAGTAGGGTCAGAGTTGCAGCCAAAAATGCTTTTCCACGTTCAAGGCATTATTTAAAGTGCAGGATAGATATGAAAGGAATCACTTCTTCACATCAGTGAAGTTTCAGCTTGCCACTTGCTACTCTGAGAGACTGTTTTGTGTTTACAGTCCAGAGGGAGAAGGGATCCAAACTCGACACTTCCTGGATATAAAAAATATACAACCTAAATTAATGTTTGCTGTCAAATGACGCTATAAAAAATCTTCTTAAATGCATGTTTGTGTTTTTATAGCACACATAGATATTCAGAAAGTCAGTCATGTGTAGGGGTGTGACGGGACATGTATTTGGATTGGTTTGGTACGGAACATTCGGTTTGGCACCGACGCGTACCGAGTTCCCACAAGGACTTGTAACTGCAGCACATTTTAGTCTTCAGCCAGCAACACCAGCTGCTGCGTCCACATTCAGGGGCGGCATCCTTCGAAAGACCCGGTTTACCTGGTCGATGCACCAGACGATGCTTCAGTAAGCTGCAATGTCACAAGATGTGTTTCCATCCAGTGTTGCATTAATGCATCTTGCGTTGATGATGGTAGAGTCTGACCACTGTTCAAAGCCTTCTCCAGCACATCCCAAACATTTTCAATGGGGTTAAGGTCTGGATTCTGTGTCGGCCAATCCATGTGTGAAAATGATGTCTTATGCTTCCGGAACCACTCTTTCACTATCTGAGCCTGATCAATTCTGGCATTGTCATCTTGGAACAAGCCCGTACCATCAGGGAAGGTGGAATAACTTGGTCATTCAGTATATTCAGGTAGTCAGCTGACCTCATTCTTGGAGCACATCCTGTTGCTGAACCTAGACCTGATCAACTGCAGCAACCCCAGATCATAACACTGCCCCCACAGGCTTGTACATTAGGCACTAGGCATGATGGGTGCATCACTTCATCGGCATCTCTTCGTATCCTGATGCACCATCACTCTGGAACAGGGTCCATCTGGACTCATCAGGCTAGTTTTTAATAATGTGTTGGACAGTTCTTAACCCAGTTTAATCGTTTCTAGGATCTCCTCAGACGTTTTCTCTGCTTGATGCATGCCAATGATCTGACCCTTATCAAACATACTAACATCTTTTCCACAACCACTTTCCACATGGTTGTTTGAGAAATGAGAAGTAACTCATTGCACCAGCTGGGGTTAAATCACTTGTTGCCAGGTGAAAAATAATCCCCCCCCCCCCCCCCCATGCAGTAATTATCCAATGGGAGGCTCGTACCTATTTGCTTAGTTAAATCCAATTTGGGACTTTTTGGGGGACTGGGCAGTGTAGATCTTAGATATTTTTAGGTTGTCTGAGAATATTTTGTCATAGAATTTCCTGCAAGTAAAGTTTTCTTTTAAATATTAGCAAAGCTGTATCCATTTACACACACACACACACACAAACTACTTCTCACTTTTTCCACTCACTGTACCGAAAATGAGACAAACCTTGACGTTAAAACCAAGGACTGGTCTGGGATTAAAGGCTTACCCCTAGTAATTTGGTATTATTCAGACCTGGATCTGAAATCTGTATCATTCTCAAATCCAGAATCCGTGTGTTTGTAGTTAAAACAGGGAAATGTGGATGATGGAATTATTTAGTTTCATTATTATAGCAACAGGTTTTCACATTTATTACAGCAGGTTGTGTTTAAGAACTTCTGTTTTATATTAATATAATCTGAGGATTGGGTCTTTGTGCAGGTTTGACGAGCTTGTAAAGAAGTTTAAAGTCGAGTACCACGCCGGAGGAGCCACTCAGAACTCTATTAAGATCGCTCAGGTCAGCTTCTGCAACGTAGATCAACCACCAGTGTTTTACTTTGTTAGAGGAATTTACTGAGCTGCTCATTTAAGATGCTGTGATGGTTTCTAGTGGATGATCCAGGAACCTCATAACGTGGGAACGTTCTTCGGCTGCATCGGCAAAGATAAGTTTGGAGAAATCCTCAAGCAGAAGGCCAAGGAGACCCACGTTGATGCTCACTACTACGAACAGGACGAGGAACCCACCGGGACGTGCGCTGCGTGCATCACAGGAGACAACCGGTAAAAGAAGCAGCAGTCATTCAGTACATCTATCAGTTCTGATCGTATCTCTGATCGTGTGCTTTACGCCCTTCAGGTCTCTGGTAGCGAACCTAGCTGCTGCTAACTGTTATAAGAAGGAAAAGCATTTAGATCTGGAGGAAAATTGGAAGTTGGTGGAAAAAGCTCGAGTCTACTATATCGCTGTAAGTCCTCACCGTTGATTCAGACTCATCCAAACCCTGATTTGTTGACTCTTCTACAAATTTTAACATTAAGTCACCGGACAACCCAGCTCATCGGTTATTCACCCCCAACTGGATTACTGATTAGCACGTCAGTAATGAGTGAACGAATGTGTCTAAAGGAGGTTAGATGTATTTCTACATGGGTTCCCTGTCCTGACAGTCATTTTTGTCCTTCCAGGGTTTTTTCCTGACCGTCTCTGTAGAGTCCATCCTAAAAGTGGCCAAGCACGCTTCTGAAAATAACAAATTGTTCTGCATGAACCTTTCTGCACCCTTCATCTGTCAGTTCTTCAAGGACAGCCTCATGCAGGTCATGCCCTACATTGACGTGCTCTTTGGCAATGAGACGGTAAGCCACGTTTCGTCCCAGTGACCTCCACACATGCGACAGAAATGCTGATGGTTTGCATGTTTTCTTTAAATTCAGGAAGCTACTGCTTTTGCTAAAGAGCAGGACTTTGAGGTGAGCAGGTCTTTCACGTGCATAGAGCTGCAGTTTTCCTGTGTTCTGTGCATCAGCGTTGAAGTGTCTTTTTGTTATTTTGTTGTTGCGTTAGACGGAGGATATTCAGGAAATTGCAAAAAAAGCCCAGGCTTTACCCAAAGTCAACAAAAAGAGGCAGAGGATCGTGGTGTTTACTCAGGGGAAGGATGATACAGTCATGGGTTCAAGTAAGACTGCTTTTAATTCATGTTTCTGTGTTTTTTATTGATCTGTTCTGTTTTTATCGTGTCGTTTTTGCTCTTTTCTACTCAGGTGATAAGATTGAGACTTTCCCTGTGCTGAAGATCGACCCAAAGGACATTGTTGACACTAATGGTGCAGGCGACGCTTTTGTTGGAGGCAAGACTTTCCAGATTTTTCTCTTGGGTTTGTGTCATCTGTTGAAGTTTGTGTAATTGAGTTTTGTGTGTGTGTGTACCTGTAGGCTTCCTGTCTGGGCTTGTCCAAGAAAAACCTTTGGATCAGTGCGTGAAGGCAGCACACTACTCCGCCAACGTCATCATCAGACGAGCAGGCTGCACCTTCCCAGAGAAACCTGACTTTAAGTGAAGCGTCTGGGAAAACTTTCTTCAGCCAGAAACCTCAAACTCACACTGCCTCCACTATTTTAGTCCAGATATATTTTTTTAAATTTACCTTATTTTATTGAATCAACCACCCATTGTACGTATTTTTAAAGCAGGAGCACATTTTCACACCCATCAGGAGTTTGTTTTGTCCTCAAGGGGTCACTAGAGGATCACACAGCCCAGCCAGTTTTGATTTAGTTTTTTATGAATACATTTTTTTTTTGTTTTTATTTCTATCTGTGTTTATTCCCAGATGCCGCCAGGCTGCTCTGATCACATGACACTCAGCTGTAAGCGTTTGTGTGGACGTCTGAGTCTTTCTGCCTCTTAGAGGCACAGAAAGTGACTAAAGGATGAAGCACGACTGCGAAGGACGATTTCAGGATTTAACCCTGAAACGTGCAGCAGTGATTTTACATTTCAGTGTTTTTATTTTTATTTTTTATGAAGAAACCAAATACATTTTCATTTTAATGCACACTTTTTTTTTTTTTATAAATGTGTGTCAAATCTTCCTGATGCGGCTTGATGCTCGTTTCACTCTTAACAGTATTTAGAAGTTCCCTTTTTCGTCCTGGTGAGCAACGTGCCTTTTCTTTTCTGCAAAAACAACAGTTTCGGATCCGTTGAGCTGAACGCCCTATCTGTGTTCTCTGGAAACTGCTCTGTTTCATCTTTTCTGAGAGGCGTTGACATCAGCGACGTTCCCAGCAGAAGATCAAACATATTAAGTGAGAAACGGGAACATTTTTCTGACTAAATCTACATAACTACATTGGACAAGACTCAATCATATCCATCTCATAAATTATTTAAATAAGCAGTTTTGCAACTAAAATGGAACTAAATTTGCTGATCCAGATCATAAATGCAAACCTTCATAGCCCAAAAGCCTGGTTCAACTCACTGACTTGTTAATAAACATTATGACCCGTGTTGGTGTTGTTTTGATTAACTTATAAAGCCAAAAAAAATTTTACTTGAGCCTGCTTTACAGTGTAGATCTCAAGTATTTTTTGCAGGGGAACCAGTAAGATGCATCAATGACATTTTTAAAATGATTATTAGATCACTGTTTATTTTTCACCCCTGAATTTGTGATGGATATAAATGTCTTTTAGTAAAATGTGTTGTCAGAGGTTCAGCCTCTAGTCCAACCCAAAGGCATAAAGAAATTTAGAAAAAGAAGCAGGATGACTCAGATTTTTGGGGCCAAACATTTGAATCTACTTACATGAGTTTGCGGTGTGATTTGTGCAACTGTGAATGCTTGAATCTAACAACCATGAGTCAGAATTTCAGTGAACACATACAAGTTTCAGGAGGTTTACTGAAGATTAACCTGCTTGTGTTGAAAAATCTGTTTCTACATCTGATCGGCTTTTTCTTTGTATGCCCAGAGGCACCAAAAAGCCTTACGTGACCTCAAAGTTTCCTTCATGGTGGAAAACTGGAACAAAGTAAAACTGAATCTGATTATTCATTTTTTTGTTTTCTTTCATATTGAAGAACCATAGAACAAAAACTTAAGTATTAGACTCCAAAATTAATAAACATGTTGAATAAAATTATATTTGTGCTATTTTTCGAACGGCTAAATAAATGACCAAAAACGCTGTGGTATCGTGTGGGTCTCTACTGCCTCCATAAACACTCCAGATAATTGTTTTCTGTCAGTGATTGCTTTTAGGGATTATGTGGCTAAAACAAGCTGTTTCAAAAAGTCCCAGTTTGTGATGTCACAAATAGGTAAATTAAGCCGTTTTACAAAACAAGGTGGTCAATTGGCTGCAAATGCTGAATCAGCATCAGGGAGCTTTAGGTCGTGTATAAGTGGTCAGACCATGACAGTGATGTGGTGCAATCGTGTCCTTTTTACAAAAGATTAGGTAATGGCGGCATAAAGAGGATATTGGGGGCGGTCTCTGAAACACCCTGGACTTGTTTAACTTGGACATCCCTGGCTTTGTATTAGCGATTGAAGCTGTGCTCAATACGTTTTTTTAACGAGCCGCACCTTAAGGTGTCTTTCCCCCACAGTCTCTGGTGATCTGAGCTGCAGCTCAAACGGAGAACGACTCGTGGAGCATCTCTGCAGATTATCGTCTCAGCTGATTCTGTTTACGCAAGCGAAATTAAATTTACGGCCCATTTTTACTTTCATTTTTGATATAGTGGCCAGCCAGAGCTCGACAGTGACTTCCTGTGTGGTCGTGACACTGATCACACATCTGTTGCGCCAAGGCATACTCGTCGTTTTTAAGACAAGACAATTACTGCAGTATGAGTACCAAGCGAGGCTGAACGCCACGTTTATAACACACTGTTGCGGTAATATTATGCGGATTTGCTGGCACAGTGCGTCTTGTTAAAAGGGCTTTAGAATAAAGCCACCTCTCGTGTACAAGAGAGCTGCAGCTGGAGGAACGGCGGCTCTTCTTCGAGGACTTCCCTGATATTGGAGCTTCTCAGCCTATAGCAGCCTGGGTGTGGGATGGGTGGGCATGGCCCGCTCCAGCTTGTTTTGAAACAGCTCATTGTGGAAGATACTGAAATTTTCAATAATAAAACTATTGAAATTGTTTCACGTGAGGGATTTTGTGCCAAGAACTCCGTAAATAAGTTTTGTATTGACCAATGAACTGTTACAACTTTAGATACAAGTCATCTTGAAATGTGTGACGCACAGCTTCGAGCACACGTGTTTTCAGAGCACTGGCGTGTTGCATAAACTGTTATTACAAGAAAAAGCTCATGTTAAAGTTCACTGGACCTTTGCCACACAGAATCTCAGGCATGTAGTTCAAACGTGTTTAAAAGTGTCCCAGCTGCTGATAACTGATGTGTGTGTGTGTGCGCATGCACATGCGTGTTACCAGTGAGTGTTTGATTACAGAGTTATAAAAGGAACCAGGCTGCAGACATCTTTGTGTTGATGAAGTACCAGATTGTGGAGAAGAGGTGAGTTGTATGATTTACCATGTGGATTCGGTTTGTATCATCTCAGGCTTTCTGGTTTAATTGTGATTTATTGTGACGTCTAATAGTTTTGTTATATATTTGTACAGAATCTTCTTTTTTGGATCAGTATGTCTCTTAGAGATCCTCCGTATGAACCTCCCTCTGTCTCAGACCTGCAGGACTTCCTGCTTGCAAACAGACAACCAACTGGACATGTAAATCAAGTCTGGCCAAACCTGTTCATTGGCAACGAGTAGGTGCACACATAACAAGCATGCACATGCATAAGTCCTGCAGAACTTTAACAAGTGATCATGTTTCAGGGTGGCGGCTCGTGATAAGGGCATTCTCCACAGTTTGGGCATTACTCACATTGTAAATGCCGCTCATGGGCCCCTCAACCCCGGCCCTGGAGCCCGTTTTTACGTCAACACGGGCCCTCGTTTCTACAGAGACATGTCTGTGGATTATTATGGGGTGGAGGCTGATGATGCAATAGATTTCATCCTAAGTCCTTTCTTCTATCCAACAGCACGGTACATCAGAGCAGCTCTGGGCATGGGAGGCAAGTTAGCACCTCATATTATAGAGTACTTCCGTGATACCGTTGTGCAGAAACCCCATGGGACTGTTTTACTGGGTGTTTACGTTGCTGCATTTCTGTCCCAGGGCGGGTGTTTGTGCACTGTCTGATGGGTGTGAGCCGCTCTGCCACCTTAGTGCTGGCCTTCCTGATGATCGTCGAGTGTTTGAGGCTGCAGGAGGCGGCGGCTGTCGTCAGGCAGACAGAGACATCTGTCCCAACCCGGGCTTCTTGCAACAGCTCCGTAGTCTCGACATGAGCCTCGAGAAGGAGAGGAGAAGAAAGAGACTGGCCCAGTCACTGTAACAGACACAAGACTTTTGTGTGAACCCAAACATGCACCAGCACACACAAGTGTCTGGACTGCTACAGTGGAAATGAGGACACGCCATCTCTGACAGAGCTGAGGGAAATTCTCTGGATGAACAGGAAGCTTCTTGCACCTGTTAATCAAGTCTGGCCCAATCTCTACATTGGAGATGAGTGAGCGAGTAAAGCAGTGGCACCACGAAGTGCGATGACGCGTGTGTAGTAAAAACCATTGTGGTTGTGTGTTAAGGTCTGTTGCACGAGATAAAGCAACCCTGTCATTTCTGGGTGTAACTCACATACTGAACGCTGCAGCAGGTCAACACCGGTCAGCGCTTTTACGCCCACATCAAAGTGGCGTGGAGGCCATCATCACTGTGCGTCTGAGCCGAGACATTGGACCAAACTCTGGATTTCTGGAGCAGCTCAGACAGCTGGATCGGAGCCTTCATCAACAGAGCAAACCGAACATCAGCATAGTGGTTAAATGATGGTTAAAACAGAGCTCTTATCTGCTGGATGGAGCGTGACATCTATTTTAGCCTTGTTATTTTATTTTACTGACATTTTACTACCTGATTACGTGAGCTGGCTTTAATGAGCACACAGTCAATTTCATTGTACGGCTGTGCAATGACAAAAATGATCTTGAATCTTGAGAAGCAGATCACCAGTTTCTACAATAAACAACTGAATCCTTTAAATTTAGACTGAATCACAAACCTCTTGTTTCATGACAAAAATTTGAAATTCACCATGATTAATGTGCATTTATCTTGAAAAGGCAATGAGAAAGTGTGTGTGTGTGTGTGTGTGTGTGTGTGTGTGTGTGTGTGTGTGTGTGTGCGCCCATGCGTCTGTCATATTATCCAGCTCACCTACCTAAAAATATCACCAGTGAGACCATTTCAGATCCATGGTACAGTCTTTATGCTTTCTGTGTACAAAGACACACACACACACACTGTTCACTGACTGAAACGAGGTTCCCTTCTTGCCGGGAAACAAATCTGAATTAGGTGAGTACTTTTTTTTTGTTGATGTTCTCTTTAAGTTGAATCCTTAACTTCTACAAATTAACAACTTCATAAATATATTGGTGACAAATTTAACAAAAACTCACCAAATTAGTGAATCTATCTTTTTGTGAGTTTATTCAAGCATCATTTTGTCATGTTTTTCACAGTAAATAGATAAAGTTGCCTTACCTTATTAAATCATTAAATAAATTAAATATTTTTAATAAGAATGTTGACACATTCAGATATCGTGATATTTCAAGTACTGCATCAATATTTTAAATGATTTTTTATGTTAATTTTTCAGTGATATAGGCGGATCATAGACTGTGACAAATGGCAGGATGCCTCCTTCAGGTCCATGAGCATCTTTGTTTTCTCCACCTACAGCACAGGTCAAAGGTCATACCCAAAATCTGAGCTGCAGAATCTGACCTTCACATATCTCACACATTTACATGAAACAACTTCTGAACTTCAGCAGCTTCCTTGTGCATATGAGAGCTATGCCTTTAGCAGTGTGGAGTGTGAATTTTCTGAATGACAAAAGTGAACCGTGTCCTCCTATCTGATGAAGTTCAGAAGCATGAATCCATACACAGCAGTGAAGGTGGACCCAGAAAGTGATTACATCACACCAGGAACATTGGACCTGGAGCAGCTCTTCTGGACCGGTACCACAGCTCAATATGCACACGTCAATCAGGTGTGGCCACGTATCTACATTGGTGACGAGTGAGTGAAATCATACAATCCAGAGATCCTCCAACATCAATGGAATATGTTTGTGCAGACATCTTCATATTTATGGAAACAGGAAAACAGCTCTGGAGCTCACCGAGCTGAAGGATCTGGGCATCACTCACGTCCTAAATGCAGCAGAGGGAAAGTGGAATAATGTGTTCACTGGTGCTAATTACTACAGCAGCATGAACATCCAGTACTACGGTGTAGAGGCTGATGACAAACCCACATTCCTCATCTCACAGTACTTCTTCCCTGCAGCAGAATTCATCCACGAGGCCCTCAGCCACCCACAGAGTGAGTTATAGTTTGTGTTTTTAACTGCACTAGTTTTGCCTTGCTTTAACATCCCATAGTGTCCGTTTCAAATTACTGCCCTAAAAGTGAATTGTTTCCCCTCCCCTACACTGTGTTGTCAAGCCAGCTGACCACATATTAAATTATGTTAAGCTTGATTTATACTTCTCTGTCTGTGAGCACATGGAGACATGCAACGCCCTGATGCGTCAACGCAAGGGCTCTGCAGCAGGCTCGCAGAGAGTGACAGAGACATGCCTTTTAATAGTCAGAGACAGACACTGTATTCCTGTGATTACCGGTAGTCAGGATTTCACTTCCTTTAAATTCATCAACAGCATCGCCATTCCCTCCTCAAAAAAATTAAACGAGTGATATCTAGAGACAGACATGGAACAGATCGGGTAACGTCTGGATATAAAAGCATCTGCAAATGCATGGGGTGGGAGGATGGGGGGAGTGAATTTCCAGTCTCCATGCCATGAACATAATGCTGGAAGTTTGCTTGAAATTACAAATATGGGAAGACGTAGCAAACGGGTAACATACAGGAGTTTCCCTGCCAAAACGGGAGATTTGACAGCTAGGATACTGAGGTCTAAACATCAGTGACAAATTCTGTAAAATGTACCTTTTGCATCCTTTTGTACTGCAATTTGGGTAGCTGCTGCCTCTATACACACTCCAAACGCGAAAAACAACCTTTTCATCCTCTTTCTGTTTGGTTTAAGGAATTACGAGCCTAAAACAAGCTGCCTCCAAAAGTCTCCTTTTGTGATGTCACAAATGGAAAAATTAGAATAGAATCACCTTTCAATCAATCAATCAATCAATCAATCAATCAATCAATCAATACTTTATTAATCCCAGAGGGAAATTAGAGTCTCAGTACACACACAATTCAGAGATCAGACATACATGGGCAAGACACATGACAAGAATTGGTGACTGTGGTCATTCGCAACCTGAATCGCGCTACCATAATAGAGATGAGAGGGTTACGTGAGGATTGGTTCAGGTGGAGGGAAAAAAAGGCACTTCAGAGTAATCCTCCACCGGGAGGGCAGCTTTGCTCTGCAAAAAAACACCTCAAACAGATATGCAACAGACTTCTGACAACACAACATAACTTGAGACTCCAATAGGAAGGCAGGGGGGAGCTGGGATCCTGTTTGGTCCCTGTTGGGAGGGAGATCGTGGGAGAAGCGAGGAGCACATTGACTCCTCCAGCTGATGACCTCGCCAGGCTGAAGTCCACCAATCTGAAGGGGGGGGGGGGGGGGGGGGGTCGGGTTTTCACAGCATCTGTCTGCATTCCTTTGTGGGGGTTTTAGTTGCTTGCAGCTCAAGGCTTCCAGGGCGTCAGATTCAGATAACAAGAATTTGTTTGGGTCAGGCTGAGATCATTTTCCTCTCTGCCTTCAGTCTTTAAACTGATCATTTCCAGTCCTTCAGTGAAGCCGATTTTGGGTTTTAAGCTTAAACTTGTCCTTACCGTCCAGCGACTCTCTCCGAGATGACATCCATTTTGCGCACTAATACCGGTATCGCAGCTATAACATTGTCCAGCTTACGATTCACCTCGAGTAACGTCCCAGTCTGAGAAGTCTCCACACGGACGGTGCTTTCTGCGGGTGCGGGTCGCCCTCCAATCGCTCCCGTCCTCCAAAATTTCCAGAAAACTAGATATCCTCCCACTCCAATCAGGAGAAATCCAGTGATCATCAGACCAAATATCCACACATCTTCGATGTCCTCAATGGACAGCTGGCAGAGGCATATGATCTTCCACTCCTTCCAGGAATCCAAAATATATCCCACCGGGTGTGTCCCCTGTGGACATGTGGGAGCCCCCTGCTCCGTTCTCATTGTAGAAAAAGTCTTATCGATCGCATTGAATGACCAGTTTATCAGATCCATAGTTAGTAAAAAAAAGTTTTTCAGAAGAGATGCGGAGAAGCTCTCTGTGGGCAGACAGGACAAAGAGCCTTGGGGAAAAAAAAGATAAGAGAGCGAAGTGCCAGAAGAGCACTCTATACACACAAGAGAGAGGTGTTGCTGGAGGAGCAGCGGCTCTACTCAGAGCTCTTCCCAAATATCTGAGCTTCTCAGCCTATAGCAGCATGGGGGAAGGGTGGGAGTGGTCAACTCCTACTTGTATTTTTTTAAGTGACAGAAACCTGAAACTGCTCAGTCTGGGAGGTACTACAAGTGACAAAAATAAAACCGCTGAAATAACTTTATGGAAGAGGAATTTTCTGAAAAGAACCTAATTTTATCGATCATTGAACTAATATAACTCTAAAAAAGTCATTACTTGTTTTCTTTAAGATAATATGTATTCTGAAGAAAATACCAGTCTGTTCTATGATCTAAATAGTTGTTTTGTTGTTGCAGGTAAGGTGCTGGTGCACTGTGTGATGGGTCGCAGCAGGTCAGCAACTCTGGTCTTGGCATACCTGATGACGAAACACGGTTTAACGGTAGTGGATGCTATTGAGCATGTGAGGCAGCGTCGCTGCATCCTGCCTAATCATGGCTTCCTAAGGCAACTCAGAGCACTGGACATTTCATTGCATGAGGAAATTTATAGAGGGAAACAAAAGACAAATGACCAATAACTCAGATAAAGCCATACGGTTACCCTGTTGTGCACATATATGCATACATTTTCATAAGCTTATCTGGGTCGGGTTGCGGTACGCTCCACGGGGCACCCCAAGGAGTGAAGTTGAGCACCTTCTCCAAATCCACAAAAACATATGTAGATTGGTCGTGCAAACTCCAGGACCCCCCCCCCCCCCCCCCCCCCCCCCCCAATGGTGTAGAGCTGATGCTGTGATCCACAGCCATGACAAAAAATACATTGCTCAACCTGAATCAAAGTTCCAACAATTCGACAGACCCTCCTCTCTAGAACCCCTGAATACCAGGGAGGTTCAGTGTGATCCCCCTGTAGTTGGAACACACCCTGCAGTCCCCCTTTTCAAATACGGGGACCACCACCCCAGTCTTCCAATCCAGTAGAACTGCCCCATCTGCATCGACCAACACAGCCCTACAACATCCAGAACCATAAGTAACTCAGAGCAGAGCCTTGCCACTGAGAAACTTTTTCACCACCTCAATGACCTCACACACCAACTCAGGCTATTTCCCCACCATACCAGAGAGGTGACATTCCACGTACCGAGAACAAGCTTCTGCAGCCAAGAATCAAACCGCCAACCTCCCTGCCTTCGGCTACCACCCATCAAAATTGTGCACATACAGTCAAAGTTTTAAACAGCTCTGTGGAGAAAAGCGTGAAATGAGAAAACACAGCTTGTATATATTTGTACATTTTGGCAAAACCTCATGAAGTGTAACATCAAGTTCTAAGAAAGGCTAATGAATAAAGTTTGTATTGATAAAACTTAGAAAAAGTCAAACACTTTTGTAATCTCTCAAATAAGTCTTGAATAACAGTTTTACGTGTTTTCTGAGAGATGTTCAAAGTTTTTTTCTTAAGACTTTGTAACTTATTCACTTTATTTTGTACCTAAGTAATGCAAAATTCATTTTTGAATTCTGAATTCATCATTCATCATTCATATGATCCACTGTGTCATGATGTGAAGGTGGAGATGGCAGACCATGTGTGGTGGTGGGTTCAGGAGGCAGAAGAGCAGGCATGGATGAAAAAATAAAAATGGTTTAATGGTGGAACGGGAGCGACGGGACAAAACGCGCATGAACAAACAACAATGATACGACGAAGACAGCAACAAGGAGGGAGGTATAAATACACAGGGAAATCAGGAACACATGGGCAGAGTAATGAGGGACAGGTGAGAACAATAAGGTTAATCAAGGCAGGAGAGACACAGGCCTAGTCCACACGTAGCCGGGGTTTTTTGAAAACGAATATCCGCCCCTCCAAAAACTTGCATCCACACCACCGCGTTTTAAAAACAAACACTGTCCACACGTACCCGGATAAATATGTTGTTAAGGACATGCCAGACCTGTAGGCGGCAGTACTTCTCCCGTTCTTAACCTCGTCCTTCGTCTGTGGTCTTCCGCAAGGAGCAGTAATTCCGCTTGCAAAAACAAAAAAGCAAAAAGCGCTTGGACAATTGATGGATCGGGTAGTGACAGAGCGCAGCTCTGAGGGCATCCATGCTGCCGGCTAGTGTAAACACAGGTCGCACACGTGATGTCAGCATTTTTTGTCGCGGAAAGTGACGTTGCGGACCTTAAAACTCCGGTTTTGTCTGTCCACACGCAGACACCCAAAACGGAGAAAACACAGATCTTCACTTTGGCCAGAGTTTTTAAAAAGATCCGTTTTTGTGTGAAAAAACTCCGTTTTCGTGTGGATGACAGGCCAAAACGTAGAAAAATATCTACGTTTTGGCAGATCCCCGGCTACGTGTGGACAGGGCCACAGTCAGGGAGGTCGGGGCGGATCATGACACACTGATGCACGTCAAGCATTCGGGTAACTTCTTTAGAAGTCACCTGTTGGTGTTATTATACTGACTTGTGTGTAAAACTCTAAGTTTTGATACTTTGTACTGATTCAGCAAAAAGAAAAAAACTCTGGCTCATCCCTTGAGTTTAGGGGTCTTTTATAATATCTAGATGATGAGAGTCAGAGTTAAGGCGTAACTATCAGACCACAGCCAAAGTGAAAACAGGTCAGGAACTGGATTATGATTTCCTGAACAGAAATTGTAAATAAATTTTAAAAAAAATTGAGTTTTTTTATTTATTTAAAAAAAAACGCCAAAAACACTAAACAAAGAATCGGTTTTATTTTAAATTCTTGGTCGTCAGACTCACTATTAAAAACAAAATTCACATGTTTATTTCATCTAAAAACAAGCAGAAATTTTTAAATAAAATTTATAAAATCTTAACGTCTTGGTCCAGGGTTTATTTAGTAGAGTAAATTTCACTGAATAGTCATATAAATCATTTTGTGTGCGCACAAAAATTTGCATTTTAAATGTTTAAGTTTTTTTAAGTGATTTATTTTTATTGCTTTTATTTTATTTTATTTTTTAAGATGGCTGTCTCAGTCATCCTCTACGTGTTGGTCTGCTAATTATTTGGAGTGTGTTACAGTAAAGGGCTTGAAAATCTCACAAAAGCAAAGCTAGATCTAGGGGTGAAAAGAAACAACATGAGTAAAATTATGTGAATTATTTCAGCCACACACCTTTAGCAATAAAAAAACAATTCACAATCAAACTATTTACAGTCTCTGTTACTTATTAGTGATCAAAGTGTGACGCACAAAGATGTGGAAACCAATGGAAGCAGAAGACGGCAGTCAGAGAAGAGGACACAACCTCCGTCTCTGTGTCAGCTGTTCGTCCAGCTTCAGGAGGAGCGATAAGAAGTTCCTGTTGGGATAAATGGCTCGTTTTTGTACAACGTGCCTCAAAGCATCTTTCAGCGAGAGACACTTCTTCATCATCAGGTAAACCAGAACCAAAGTGGCAGATCGACTCACTCCCATGATGCAATGCACAAGCACCTTTCCTGAGGAGGAGGACGGAAAATGGAAATTATGAAAATTACATTTGGATAAAGCTGCAGACTTTTACAATCAGCTTTATTTTACCATCTTTGCTCTTCAGGCCTTTGTGTATGAAGTCTGCAGCAGGTTGGAAGTGTTGGCTGAGGTCAAAGTGGTCTGAGTCTTCTGCTGCGATGCCAGAGTAAACACACGCGTTTCCATAAAAGCTCTGGTCGCCGATGCTGCCCTGCTTGGAGTGTGCTGCGTTCAGGATATGAGTGATGCCCAGCTTACATAATGTCTTTCTGTTCTGTGCCACAGCCCTAAACAAAAGGCACGAGAGAACACAGGTCAATGGCTGGATAAATCCTACAGGAAGCTGATGAATTACTGTGATTAGAAAATATGTGTCTGCAATTATAGTAAAAGAAAAGACTAGTACAGGTGCTAATAAGGTTATTTCACATTCTGCATTTTACAATGCTCCTTAAAAACTTCCACTATGACGAGTTGTTTCTGACTATAACAACAAAAGGCACTCACACATTTCCTATGAACAAGTTGGGCCAAACTTCATCCACAGGTGTGAGCTCCAGCACACAAGAATCCAAGATGACCTCCAGCTCCTTAATGAGCACCAGGTTTTGTTGCTGGCTGCTTCCTGACATCTTCCCTGTTCTCAGAGTGTAACTTATAGTCTTACAGTCACACTCTTCACTGGATCTTCAGCCAGCAGTGAGCGGCACGAGCAGGTGGCTGTTTTTCAAGCGTCCAACTCCAAAATTAGCCTGGCGTGTGTTCAGTTTGTTCCTTTTGACTGGATGCAGATTATCTAATGTTGCTGTTGGATTGATTGGTCTGTTTATCCATCTCTCTCTCTCTCTCTCTCTCTCTCTCTCTCTCTCTCTCTCTCTCTGTCTGTCTGTCTGTCTGTCTCCCTCTCTCTCTCTTTCTCTCTCTCTCTAATCACAAGAGCAACAAGAGAGGGGGCTGAAAACTGCTCAACACTTTAGTTTACAAACGATACAAATAGAACGCTTATGCGTACGGTGGGACGCAAAGGTTTGATCTTCCTGATATTCCTGTGTAAATTGTTGGTTGTTACAATAAAATATTACATCATATAGGTGGCACACACAGTGATATTTGAGAAGTGAAACAAAGTTTATAGGATTTACAGAAAGTGTGCAATATTGTTAGACAGGTGCATTAATTTAGGAACTTTTGTCATTTAATTGATTCCAAAACCTTAAGAACTATAGAGTAACTACAGAGATCACTCTAATCTATTATTCATTAGATATAAAATACTGAAATTTCCTGACCTGGTAGAGTGGAAAATATTGCAAATAATGTACAGGGCAGAAACAAGTACTTTACCAACTAATATTCAGAAACTGTTTCACAAGAGAGTGAGTGGATACATGTTAAACAGAATTGATGCCTTTAAAAAATCTAAATTCAGAACCTAAATGAAGGAATGTAATATTTCTGTATATGGTGTAAGATTATGGAATGTCCTTTACAGGGAAATTAAAGAATCAAGTTCACTTCCTGTATTTAAAAAAACATATAAAATCAAATGTACTAAGTGATTATGAAAAGGTAAATTAAAATGTCAATGATTATCTATCTATCTATCTATCTATCTATCTATCTATCTATCTATCTATCTATCTATCTATCTATCTATCATCTATCTATCTATCTATCTATCATCTATCTATCTATCTATCTATCTATCTATCTATCTATCTATCTATCTATCTATCTATCTATCATCTATCTATCTATCTATCTATCTATCTATCTATCTATCTATCTATCTATCTATCTATCTATCTATCTATCTATCTATCTATCTATCTATCTATCTATCCATCTATCATCTATCTATCTATCTATCTATCTATCTATCTATCTATCTATCTATCATCTATCTATCATCTATCTATCTATCTATCTATCTATCTATCTATCTATCTATCTATCTATCTATCTATCTATCTATCTATCTATCTATCTATCTATCATCTATCTATCATCTATCTATCTATCTATCTATCTATCTATCTATCTATCTATCTATCTATCATCTATCTATCTATCATCTATCTATCTATCTATCTATCTATCTATCTATCTATCTATCTATCATCTATCTATCTATCTATCTATCATCTATCTATCTATCTATCTATCTATCTATCTATCTATCTATCTATCTATCTATCTATCTATCTATCTATCTATCTATCTATCTATCTATCTATCTATCTATCTATCATCTATCTATCATCTATCTATCTATCTATCTATCTATCTATCTATCTATCTATCATCTATCTATCTATCTATCTATCATCTATCTATCTATCTATCTATCTATCTATCATCTATCTATCATCTATCTATCTATCTATCTATCTATCTATCTATCTATCTATCTATCATCTATCTATCTATCTATCTATCATCTATCTATCTATCTATCTATCATCTATCTATCTATCTATCTATCTATCTATCTATCTATCATCTATCTATCATCTATCTATCTATCTATCTATCTATCTATCTATCTATCTATCTATCTATCTATCATCTATCTATCATCTATCTATCTATCTATCTATCTATCTATCTATCTATCTATCTATCTATCATCTATCTATCTATCTATCTCTCTATCATCTATCTATCTATCTATCTATCTATCTATCTATCTATCTATCTATCTATCTATCTATCATCTATCTATCTATCTATCTATCATCTATCTATCTATCTATCTATCTATCTATCTATCTATCTATCTATCTATCTATCTATCTATCTATCTATCTATCTATCTATCTATCATCTATCTATTTATCTATCTATCTATCTATCTATCATCTATCTATCTATCTATCTATCTATCTATCTATCTATCTATCTATCTATCTATCATCTATCTATCATCTATCTATCTATCTATCATCTATCTATCATCTATCTATCATCTATCTATCTATCTATCTATCTATCTATCTATCTATCTATCTATCTATCTATCTATCTATCTATCTATCTATCTATCTATCTATCTATCTATCTATCTATCTATCTATCTATCATCTATCTATCTATCTATCTATCTATCTATCTATCTATCTATCTATCTATCTATCTATCTATCTATCTATCTATCTATCTATCTATCTATCTATCTATCTATCTATCTATCTATCTATCTATCATCTATCTATCTATCTATCTATCTATCTATCTATCTATCTATCTATCTATCTATCATCTATCTATCATCTATCTATCTATCTATCTATCTATCTATCATCTATCTATCATCTATCTATCTATCTATCTATCTATCTATCTATCTATCTATCTATCTATCTATCTATCTATCTATCTATCTATCTATCTATCTATCATCTATCTATCTATCTATCTATCTATCTATCTATCTATCTATCTATCTATCTATCTATCTATCTATCTATCATCTATCCATCATCTATCTATCTATCTATCTATCTATCTATCTATCATCTATCTATCTATCTATCTATCATCTATCTATCTATCTATCTATCTATCTATCTATCTATCTATCTATCTATCTATCTATCATCTATCTATCATCTATCTATCTATCTATCTATCTATCTATCTATCTATCTATCTATCTATCTATCTATCTATCTATCATCTATCTATCTATCTATCTATCTATCTATCTATCTATCTATCTATCTATCTATCTATCATCTATCTATCTATCTATCTATCTATCTATCTATCTATCATCTATCTATCTATCTATCTATCTATCTATCTATCTATCTATCTATCTATCTATCTATCTATCTATCTGTCTGTCTATCTATCTATCTATCTATCTATCTATCATCTATCTATCTATCTATCTATCTATCTATCTATCTATCTATCTATCATCTATCTATCTATCTATCTATCTATCTATCTATCTATCTATCTATCTATCTATCTATCTATCTATCATCTATCTATCTATCTATCTATCTATCATCTATCTATCTATCTATCTATCTATCATCTATCTATCTATCTATCTATCTATCTATCTATCTATCTATCTATCTATCTATCTATCTATCTATCTATCTATCTATCTATCTATCTATCTATCATCTATCTATCTATCTATCATCTATCTATCTATCTATCTATCTATCTATCTATCTATCTATCTATCTATCTATCTATCTATCTATCTATCTATCTATCATCTATCTATCTATCTATCTATCTATCTATCTATCTATCTATCATCTATCTATCTATCTATCTATCTATCTATCATCTATCTATCATCTATCTATCTATCTATCTATCTATCTATCTATCTATCTATCATCTATCTATCTATCTATCTATCTATCTATCTATCTATCTATCTATCTATCTATCTATCTATCTATCTATCTATCTATCATCTATCTATCTATCTATCTATCTATCATCTATCTATCTATCTATCTATCTATCATCTATCTATCTATCTATCTATCTATCTATCTATCTATCTATCTATCTATCTATCTATCTATCTATCTATCTATCTATCTATCTATCTATCATCTATCTATCTATCTATCATCTATCTATCTATCTATCTATCTATCTATCTATCTATCTATCTATCTATCTATCTATCTATCTATCTATCATCTATCTATCTATCTATCTATCTATCTATCTATCTATCTATCTATCATCTATCTATCTATCTATCTATCTATCTATCTATCATCTATCTATCTATCTATCTATCTATCTATCTATCTATCTATCTATCTATCTATCTATCTATCTATCTATCTATCTATCTATCTATCTATCTATCTATCTATCTATCTATCTATCTATCATCTATCTATCTATCTATCTATCTATCTATCATCTATCTATCTATCTATCTATCTATCTATCTATCTATCTATCTATCTATCTATCTATCTATCTATCTATCTATCTATCTATCATCTATCTATCTATCTATCTATCTATCATCTATCTATCTATCTATCTATCTATCTATCTATCTATCTATCTATCTATCATCTATCTATCTATCTATCATCTATCTATCTATCTATCTATCTATCTATCTATCTATCTATCTATCTATCATCTATCTATCTATCTATCTATCTATCTATCTATCTATCATCTATCTATATATCTATCTATCTATCTATCTATCTATCTATCTATCTATCTATCTATCTATCTATCATCTATCTATCTATCTATCTATCATCTATCTATCTATCTATCTATCTATCTATCTATCTATCTATCTATCTATCTATCTATCTATCTATCTATCTATCTATCTATCTATCTATCTATCTATCTATCATCTATCTATCTATCTATCTATCTATCTATCTATCATCTATCTATCTATCTATCTATCTATCTATCTATCTATCTATCTATCATCTATCTATCTATCTATCTATCTATCTATCTATCATCTATCTATCTATCTATCTATCTATCTATCTATCATCTATCTATCTATCTATCATCTATCTAACTATCTATCTATCTATCTATCTATCTATCATCTATCTATCTATCTATCTATCTATCTATCTATCATCTATCTATCTATCTATCTATCTATCTATCTATCTATCATCTATCTATCTATCTATCTATCTATCTATCATCTATCTATCTATCTATCTATCATCTATCTATCTATCTATCTATCTATCATCTATCTATCTATCTATCTATCTATCTATCTATCTATCTATCTATCTATCTATCATCTATCTATCTATCTATCTATCTATCTATCTATCATCTATCTATCTATCTATCTATCTATCTATCTATCTATCTATCTATCATCTATCTATCTATCTATCTATCATCTATCTATCTATCTATCTATCTATCTATCTATCTATCTATCTATCTATCTATCTATCTATCTATCTATCATCTATCTATCTATCTATCTATCTATCTATCTATCTATCATCTATCTATCTATCTATCTATCTATCTATCTATCATCTATCTATCTATCTATCTATCTATCTATCTATCATCTATCTATCTATCTATCTGTCTATCATCTATCTATCATCTATCTATCTATCTATCTATCTATCTATCTATCTATCATCTATCTATCTATCTATCTATCTATCTATCATCTATCTATCTATCTATCTATCATCTATCTATCTATCTATCTATCTATCTATCTATCATCTATCTATCTATCTATCTATCTATCTATCTATCTATCTATCTATCTATCTATCTATCTATCTATCTATCATCTATCTATCTATCTATCTATCTATCTATCCATCTATCTATCTATCATCTATCTATCTATCTATCTATCTATCTATCTATCTATCTATCATCTATCTATCTATCTATCATCTATCTATCTATCTATCTATCTATCATCTATCTATCTATCTATCTATCTATCTATCTATCTATCATCTATCTATCTATCTATCTATCATCTATCTATCTATCTATCATCTATCTATCTATCTATCATCTATCTATCATCTATCTATCTATCTATCATCTATCTATCATCTATCTATCTATCTATCTATCTATCTATCTATCTATCTATCTATCTATCTATCTATCATCTATCT